CTGCGATCGCCCCCCCAGCCCCCGCCGCTGTTCACAGGCACGCCCACCTCCGTCGTGGAAGACACAAAGCGCCTCATCGAGCTCTCGCGTGCCGTCCAGGATGGCGTCGCCAACAACGTTACTGCTGAAACGGCCTCCTTCGACAAGGTCGTGCTTCCACTGGCCCGGGACGAGAACACCATGGCCCTCGAGTCGCATATCCTGGGCTTCTACCAGTCCGTCTCGACAGACAGCAAGCTCCGAGACGCCTCGACCGAGGCTGAGCGGCTCATGAACGACTTCGGCATCGAGTCTGCCATGCGCGAGGACCTGTACAAGCTTGTCGACGCAGCCGTCAAGAAGAACGAGAAACTCGACCCGGAGTCCCAGAAGTTGCTCGAGAAGGAACACAAAGACTACCTGCGCAACGGGCTCGGACTGCCTGCGGGCCCCAAGCGGGACAGATTCAAGGAGATCAAGAAGCGGCTGAGCGAGATTGCCATTGAGTTCCAGAAGAACCTTAATGAGGAGAACGGCGGACTGTGGTTTACCAGGGAACAGCTCTCTGGTGTTCCCGAGGATGTGCTCTCGGGCCTGAAGAAGGGCGAGGGTGAGAACGAGGGCAAGCTCAGACTTAGCTTTAAATACCCTGATCTCTTCCCCACGCTCAAGTACGCTGTTGAGCCTGAGACGAGGAAGGCGGTTATGATTGCCAATGAGAACAAGTGCAATCAGAACATACCCTTGTTCAAGGAGACCTTGCTCCTTCGTGACGAAGCTGCTCGGTTGCTGGGATACCCCAACCATGCCGCGTTTAGGCTCGAGGATAAGATGGCAAAGAACCCTGAGACGGTCGATAGCTTCTTGGGCGATTTGCGCTCTAGACTGACGGATGGTGGGAAGCAGGAGATCAAGACGCTCATGGAGATGAAGAAGAAGGACGTCGAGGCTCAGAAGAAGGCGTTTGATGGTCATTATTTCCTGTGGGACCATAGGTTCTATGACCGCATGATGCTGGAGAAGGACTATTCTCTCGATCACCAGCTGATTGCAGAGTACTTCCCGCTTCAGACTACTATCCGCGGTATGCTGGAGATCTTCGAGCAGATCTTTGGTCTTGTCTTCGTTGAGATCAAGGGTGAGGAGAGAGCTAAGATTTCTAGCTCGGGCAAGGGCGAGGATATCGTTTGGCATGAAGACGTGCAGGTGTTCAGCGTCTGGAACGACGAGGGCGAGGGAAGCGGATTTGTCGGATACTTGTATCTTGACCTGTTCCCTCGTGAGGGCAAGTATGGCCATGCCGCTAACTTCAACCTGCAGCCAGTATGTTCATCTATACCAATCAATATCTATATCTCTATACTGACTTTGGAGTGCAGGGCTTCATCAAAGATGATGGATCTCGTCGATACCCTGCCACCGCACTGGTCTGCAACTTCTCCAAGCCAACCGAGAAGAAGCCCAGTCTGCTCAAACATGACGAAGTCGTCACTCTCTTCCACGAGCTCGGCCACGGAATCCACGATCTTGTCTCCAAGACCATCTACTCTCGCTTCCACGGCACCAACACCGTCCGTGACTTCGTAGAGGCTCCCAGCCAGATGCTCGAGAACTGGTGCTGGACTCCCTCCCAACTCAAGTCCCTGAGCAAGCACTACTCCACCATTTCACCAGAGTACTACAAGGCCTGGAAGGAACATGCGGGAGAGAAGCCAGATCCCGCAGCCGAGATTCCAGACGAGCTGATCCAGAACCTCATCAAGACGAAGCATGTCAATGCTGCCCTGTTCAACCTGCGACAGCTCCACTTTGGAATCTTCGACATGACTGTCCACGAGCCCAAGGACCACGAGGAAATCAAGGCGATGAACGTCTCAGAGACGTACAACAAGCTTCGAAAGGAGATTGCTTCTCTTGATGGGCCTGAGGTTCTGGGTCAGGGTTACTCTTGGGGTCACGGAGAAGCTACTTTTGGCCATCTCATGGGTGGCTACGATGCTGGTTACTACGGCTATCTCAGGTATGTCTTCCCACTTACACCAATCCTTTAACACAATACCCTGACATATACTAACACCTTGCAGCTCCCAAGTATACTCCACCGACATGTTCTACACCGTCTTCAAAGATGACCCCATGAACAAGAAAGAAGGTCGTCGCTACCGCTACTCCGTCCTCGAAAAGGGAGGAAGCCAAGATGAAATGACTACCCTCAAGGAATTCCTCGGCCGTGAACCAAAGCCAGACGCTTTCTACAAGGAACTTGGCCTCGCCTAGACTCTTCATACATCCTCCTTTTGAGCTTTTACATTCGCCTCCATAAATTATGGCATGCATGTTCTACCGGTGCAAGTTCTGCGGTTGGGTTGTTGTTCATTTAGCTTAGAGCTCGTAACTAGCTAGTTAGTTTGGTCGTTATATCCGATGGTCAAGCAAGTTGCCTTACTCCCCTCTCTTCTCTCCTTTCTTACTACCATAGTCCTAACAAAACTTCAACCCGCTCTATCATTACCGCCTTCTGCAGCTTTGCACCAGCTCCAGTGACTAAGCCAATTACAGGCAGGAAAGTGCACTCACTGTGTTGTGTTACTATCTAAACCCAGCTTGGTTGTTTGTTTGTTTACCCAGATAGAGACAGGAAGGTGCATTTTGTACTATGGGAAGGCTCGATGTTGATGTTTATTTACATCTCAATTTAAACTTTAATTTAAACTTAAATTAATGATAGCATGAACTCAATTACTAATTGAGTCACGTGTATATCAAGGTTCCAACCTTCAACTTTCTTTACTTTGAGGGAAAAAAAACATCTACAAAGTGCATACACCCTAACAACGGCAGACCAAACCAGCATCGGCAAGAAATGACAAGTCAAGAGCAGACGCTATCACTGTGGCCAAAAATGGATTGAGGCGCCGATATCAAGCCTTTGAGTCAAAAGATTTGGAATACCCCCTGCAGCCACACTCGCCTCCAACTGTCACTGCCAGCATACAGAGATGATACCAACAGGCCTATTTCGTCCATTTTCACCCCACCATTTTCTTCCTTTTCTCTCCCTGCGGGCGGTGGGCGCGGCCTAGATCCAGATTCTTCTGGGAATTCTTAGCGATCGAAAACGACGAGTCTATAACCCGGCCACCTGGCGTCGACCCCTGCTGCGTGGGGTGTCACGAAAACCGCCATTGGCTCAACGTTACACCTTACCGATTAGATATGCCTATTGCGAGCCTATTTGAACTGTCCGATTTAGTTGATGGTGTGCCTGACATCTGTTAAAAGACAGGGGCGATCATTAAGGGTCAGCAGCGCCAAAATGTCATAGCAACGTGGGCAGTGGCTTTTTTTCTTCTTCGACTGCTTGACAGATTATTGTCGGGATACCCCGATAAACACGAAGAAGAAGCGGCATGGGTGGTTGTTTGAAAAGATAGATTGGATTCTTTCGGGGTTTGGTATGTGTGACTTTGAAACCGTATTGGTCAAAGGCTGTTGGCCCGCTACATTGATTGTACATAACGCAGGTATCTATACTTGTGGTTTAGCAACTAGGCAAGTTATACCTTGTGGCATAATGATATGCAGATTTCTTGGTATAGATACTATCAAAGAATCTAGACAAGGCCAAGTAAGGGCTCAATAACCTATATACGCATACACTTATCAGAGGGCAAAAATCTATTGCTAGCAGAGAATCTATTATCAGCATCCATTAATTTCTGTGTTTTCATATGGCGTAGAGAATACTCAATTGCATTTAATACACGATGTTTCCCAAATTAGGCCTATGGACGATTTGACAGTCACGTGACACAGCTATTCAACCTGCAGCTTTGAACTTGTTGAACAAGCAAAACAGCAAGACAGAGAAGTTCAATTCCCCACTGAAGCTGTTTGGATATCGAGAAGTTACATCAGACCAGTCGGTTTGAAGATATAATGGCGACTACCGCATCCCGGGACTCCCCCGCTCGACAATCGCCCACTCCGCAACAGCAAGAGCTCAATGCAGAACAGTCCAAAGCCAGCCAACCTCGAGGCCGCATACCTATAAGAACCTACCATTGCCGATTCTGCAACCATCTTCTCGTCGCATCGACACAGGATCTTTCTACGCTTCCTCGAAGACGTGCTCCAGCTTTAGACAATGCGATAATACTGCCTCTACCGAAGAAGTCTGCCCGAGCAGAGGATGAAGATGACGATGAACAGGAAGAGGACGAGGAGGAGGAGGGTAAAGATAAAGAACACAACGAGAAAGACTCGGGAGAGGCTGAGATATCACAGCAGATGGAATCAGCTACGTTGAAACCGAGCTCGAGGAAAGGGAAGTCCTCTGCTTCCTCATCTCCATCGCAACATTACACGATTTTGTTGTCAACAACTACACCGGATAGAAAACCGATTATTCTACGGAGAGCAGATGGGTTTGAGAAACGGCTACTGGTCCGGTGTGGCCGGTGCAAGGTCGTGCTTGGATATGTTCTGGACGAGGTTCACTTTAAGAAAGTAGAGGATAACAAGGGTGGCGCTGGGGGGATGACAGAAGGGGAAGATAGCAACGCCTCCGGCGCAGGAGAACCGGAGGTGATTTATATCCTTCCCGGCTCACTGGTCGAGACAGACGAACTGGGCACTGAGATTAAGATTGAGCAGGAATCCTGGGCTGGGTGGGAGTCTCTTGCAAAGAAAGCTGGGTAAATGAATGTTCACGAAAGTAACGATCTGTCAGTTTTGAACAAGAAGTTGATATTACGATTTCCATAAAATAAAGGCCCAGACACCGATCTCTACCGCTTATCACCAAAGAAAGATACTCTTCGACGTCGTGTGACAGGATGATTTCTGGACTCCCTCCCTAGCCATAAACAAGTTGTGAAGAAAAATGATATATTCGTGACACGTAAAACACCGAGGCCGGAATAAAAGAGGTTTTTTGAAAGGGATGGACAGCTTAGTTGGCGAGAATCGTTCGGACGAGCTCTGTAGAAGTTCGTATATTAGTTGCTTGTTCATTCATTTTAAAACCAAAGAGATGCCTTACCGGTGTAGTTTATCTCGCCGGAGCTGGTGTCGACGGCCTTGAGGAGCTCGTCGACCTCTTCATCGGACATCTTCTCGCCGAGGTTGGTCAAGACTGTCGCAAAACCCGTTAGTACCGACTATTCCTATGATATAGCAGTGATTCTTACTGTATCGAAGCTGTCCAACACCGATGTAGCCAGTCATGTCCTTGTCGAAGACCTGGAAGCCACGGCAGTACTCCTCTGGCTCTCCTGGGTCACGGAATCCACCAGGTCGGTTAAGCACTTTGGAAAAGGCATCGAAATCAACTAAACCGCCATGTATCAGTTTTTTTGCCCTTACTTCAGTCACCAGCCAGTGTATCAAACTCACAGTCTCCGCCAATTCCCTTCTCCAGTTCGCTGATCTCAGCGAGAGTTGGGTTCTGTCCGCATGCTCGCAGCAGATCGCCTAGTGACTCGAGGGCAACACGGCCGGTTCCGCGCTTATCGAAGAGAGAGAATGCTTCCTTGTAGTTTGTAGAGGCCTTGTCGCCATTGTTATGGTTCTCGTTAGCCGATGCCATGATGATATACTGAATTTACCGACTGGTGCTGCCTGGTTTCTGGGGAATAGATTCGCTGGTTCTTCTTTCAAGCGAGTTTGCGAGGATGGGCAAAAGAGAGGTCTCTTATTCTCCGAGAGCCACGTCAGGGTGAATTCGTGAGACGACCACACGAAACGAAACGCAGTCGCAGGCTGGATCTTCTGGCAAGTCGCAAGGCAGCTTTTTTTTTTTTTTTTTTTAATTTATTTTTTGTTTACTGTGGCGACGCAGCCAGAGCCAGACAAGACGCTGCTTTCTCGTTTCTTGGGTGCGGCGAGCGGCGAGGGAGAGCAAGGGGGAGCAAAAGAGCATTTTTCACGTACCATGGTTCTGCGTGCTTGTGTTCCCGAGTTGCGTAGGCGACGAGGATGGAGGGCAGAGGGTTCAGGATGTGTTCTTTTTGCTTGCTGGACAGCTGGACGTGGATGGCGATGGTGGTTTATATGTCAGGGAGTGTGTTTTCTGTCTTGTCTTCTGCTGATCTGCTGCTTTTTCTTCTCTTATCGCTGCGGCCAGGCCAGCCGTCTCGTTGCCATGGGAGACGGGGACGCCACCAGCAAGCCCCTGACCAGCGCATACACCGGGGCTACGACTCCGGAAGTACAGTACTCTACAGGTGAGGCCGAAGAGAAGAGAGCTGGAAGATAGAGAGCGTCGACGATGGTGGTATAGTTATAATTACAAGAAGTTAGGGGGTCGGAAAGTCGTATAAACAAACACCCAGAGAAGATGAAGAAGACGAAACGAAGACGTAGACGAGAAAGACAGTCCAGTTCAACTGAATAGCGAGTCGGTAAGAGAAAGGAGAATCTTCATGAAGTCCCAATAGTAGTTACCAGTCATTACCTTTTTTTTTTTTGTAGCCCCGAGTTCCCTTGGGTCAAAAACATGCGCCCTCAATATCCTACTTCTAAGCGCCAGAGACACGGAACAAACGAAAGAGGAGAGCAAAACAAACACAAGGAAGCAGGAAGAGCAGTTGAGCAGCGCTGGAACGGAAAAGGGAGTCGCTTAACGAGGTGGTGGCGGTGTGAAGAGGGTGTAGATGTCTATGGCGATGATGACTTTTGTTGGTTGTGAGTATCAGACCAGACCAGACGTCCGTAGATATATGATAAATGTAGGTAGAGAAGTAGGTAAATAGATAGTAGATAGATCGCTGTTCATGAGCTTGGGGCGATAGTGATAGAAGAGCCCTTGAGCTTTTCGATACAGCTTCCTAGGAGGTTGGCCGCTTCGTGGAGCAGCTCCCATCTGGTGTTGATGAAGTCTGCCCTCAAAACCATGAGAAGTCCCATACACCGATTTCGATCTCGGATCTTCTCAAGGTCGTTCGGGTGATGGACACCGCCCACTCGTTCGAGGAAGACGTACATGTCATGTCGTTGCTGCTCGGGCGTGGTCAGTTCTGGCGGTGATGGGCGGATGGGACCGTCCAGCGCAAAGCCGTATGACCAGACGACCAGGGCGGCAAAGTAGAGAACCCATGGCCGGCTCATGATAAAGTCCTCTCGTGCGCAGTACTCCTGTACATTCATGCTCAATCCGGTCACTTGATGGTCTGACCTTGAATGGTTATTCCGCAGCAGGACCTGCGACAGGAACTTCAACGCAAAGAAAGTAGCGTCTCGAGCTGAGTCCTTGTTGGCCCATCGCTCGACCATTTTCTCTTTTGCGCAGCTGAAGTCTCTAGGGGTGATGGCTCGTCCGAGCAGCCGGGCGGCTCCAGCAAATATCTGGCAGTCAACTACGTCGACATGAGAAGCCATATGAGCAAGATGGTGGAGGACATTTCTTGTCTCAGAAAAGACGTCCTCTTCAAACAGGTTCTGCTGCCGTTGCTGGTACCCACCGGACGACGAATAGCTGCCGGTAGGTGGGCTGGGGTCGTTGGCTAGAGATTCATCAAAGTCTCGCTTCCAGTTGTCGAATGCTCGGAGCATGGAGGACCTCCACTTGTCTCTGAAACCGGGTACTTGAGAGACACCCAAGGAATTAACTTGTAGATCTCGCTGGTTCATGTGCCAGCTTACACTCAGCAACCCGGCCATTATGATTGTTCGACCAAAGGCGTTGGTTCGCACCGTCTGGCCCGTCAATGTCTTCTTTAACCCTTCAAGGAACATTGTCGGTTTGAAACCGCTAGAATTGAGCCGTAGCTGTACCTTTGCCGCTTCCGCAGGACAAGGAGCAGACCAGAGACTCTCATCACAGGGCAGCGGCAGCCTCATTTCGTGAGCGGCCATCTTCACCGAGTGTCCGAACATAGTGGCATGGGTCGAATCCAAGACAAACGCAGCAAATGCAACCCTTCGGGTCCCCTCCGATTTTATCCAGCGCAGCCATGATTCGTCAAAGTGGACTGGCTCAGAGCTGCCGGAGGATGAGGGGACTCCTGGGCGCTGTCGGTTGTCCGAGGGAGACGGAGGCGAGTTGAAGGCCGTCCGGCCTATTAGGGAACTACCACGGCGCATCAATGTTAGTGTAGTATCGTGGTGTATGTGTGCTCGTTCATGTAGCTCTCGTGTAGAGTACATCTTCTCATATGTCTCAAGAAGTAGCAGTGTTTGGAAGACCCAGAGCTTTGCCGGTGGCCTGAAATCGGGATCCATGAATAATTCCCATCGCAGATGAACGCATATGAAGTTTGCCAGCTCTGACGCCGTATCAGTAAATTGCTGACCACGGTTGTTATCCAAAGTAACAGCTCCAAGGGCCATTACAGCGAAGAGCAGGAGATTAGGTGTTTTATCGGGTGTAAATGTGTGTTTGTGCAGGATAGGCAGTTGTGCATGGCAATGGTACCAGTAAGAACTGATATATGTCTGCATCATGCGCAGACTGAGTATATGATTGTCTGCATCCATATTACCCTCCATGAATGTCTCCTTGCGGCTCTTCAGTGAGCCACTGCCGGATTCATTGAACCTCGTCTGTATTAGATCTAGCAGCTCGCTTCGTTTCTCTTCTGACATGACAGAGTATGGAGGCGCAGAGTCAAGAATACTGGTAACGCTCATTGGATGATGTTGCTGCTGTTGTTGCTGGGGATTCCCGGTAACGTACCCTGATATGGCAGTCGAATCCGTAGGGTAATATGGATTTTGGATCTGTCCGGAGAAAGGGTCAAGGTAGTTGGGCATTATCGTTGATACTGCAGGGAACCCAGCAGCGGATGATGTATTCGAGCTTTCATTGAAGAGCCAGGCTGTGAAGTCATCAGTCAAGGCAAAGGGAGAGCGGTTCAGTATCTCGCTGCCAAATACCGGCAGGGCATATGGCCCTACTGAGTCCATGTTGGATACCGATGTTTCCGAGTGCATGGTCGTTGGCATAGAGGTCATCTGGCTTAAGGTGCTGGCCAGGTTTGCACCAGACGAAGACTGGCTGTGAGATCTACTCAGGACAGAGCCTGTGAAGCCAGAGTCAGGGAGGACGGCCGGAATATGCATGTTCTGGCTCTGTGGCATGTACGTGTTAGTAGCCATGCCGTTTGCCAACAAGCCGGACGGCATGCCAAATGGAAACACGGTATGGTTCCCGGCAGGACTCGATATAGACTGCTGCCGTGACTGTACGGATTCGGACGCAACAGACGCCCCGGGACCCATCTCAGCGGCCCCGTTCAGGGGAGATATCGAGTATGATGGCTGTGGCGTGTTATTATGTGTAATATTAGTAGTTTGGTTGTATGGCTCGTAGTTCGAGCAGTTTGGTTCACCGTAGACGGCCTTTTGCTGCGGAACAAGGTATCCCCCTGTATTTCCATCTGACTGCCGCCGTATAGAGTCCGCACTGCCTTTGTGGTATATGCTCTGGGATGTCTGTAATGGTCCGGCATGAAGCTCTGTAGGAGTACCGGCACCAGCGCCTGCACCAGCGCCAGCAGCGCCAGCACTAGCAGCAGAACCGGCCATGTTCGAAGCCAGGTAGCCCTGGACAGGTATGAAGCCATTGCTGCCGGCGCCGTTGACAGGCTGTTCCGCTATCCGCGAGCGAGGAGGCATCGATCCTGCTGGTGACCTGGCCTCGCTGGCCGGCTGCGAGAGGGCCGGGTTGTTGCTTGTATCTCTGGCAGACGACGACGAGCCTGCGCCCGGGCCCTGAGTAGCGACATGATCGCGCTTCTGCAGCTGCGAGCCGTGGGTATTATGGCGCTCCTGGTGCCGGATGCACAGGTCCTGGCGAACAAAGGTGCGGAAGCAGTTGGGGAAATCGCAGCGATATATTTGTTTGGGCGAGTCTTTCGCGAAGTCACGATGTCAGCTCAACGTCAAAAAATGTCAAAATGTCAACAACCTCCACCACAAACACCACAAAAACACCCCGACAGGTACCACAGGAATGCGCAGCCAGAGATACGTACGATTTAGCTGATGGCGATACAGATGCTCTGCTCGCGAGTAACTCTTCCCGCAGCCCTTGTGCTTGCACTCGAACTTCTTGCCCGTGGCCGCTTTTCTGGTGCGTTTCCGCTTCTTGGGCGACCCGTCCGGCTTGACAGGCGACTGCACCTCGTCTGACGGGCTGTGAGAGCTCGGAGGACTCGGCTCCAGTTCTGGTGCCGGTTGACGTTCCTGGCCCTGGGCCTGGGCCGGTGGTGCCGGTGCCTGTGACGGTGCCTGAGCCTGAGTCTGAGTCTGAGTCTGAGTCTGAGTCTGGCCCTGCTGAGCCTGAGTATAGCGGTGCGCGGTGACGGCGGAGAGAGCAAGCGGGTCGGCGTCGACAAACATCGTCATGGCGACCTTTACTCTACCTCTGCAAGCTCGACTCTAGATGCAGTCCGGGAGAATGACATGACCCACCCTCGCCCAGGATGAACGCAAAGACTCGGGACGCTGAAGGTAGACCTGGAGCTGCTCTGCGCGATGGCGCTGGCATCGGCCGGATGACGGAAACAAAGACGACGAGGACGAGGCCGGAGACGAGACAGCGAGGGGGATGATGTGTGTGAGTGTGTGTGTATATGTGGTGTGATAGTGGGTAACTAAAAAAGGGCCGCTGCTTCTGCACGTCTTGATATGTATGGACGGCGTCTTGGGGACGGCTCTTTTTTCTTTTCCCCGGGCCAGTTAACTACAACAGCCTCTGCGTCGTGCGTCACCAGTGCGAGCAGTGGAAGGGCGAGAGGGAGAGACGGGGTACGGGGTATACTATTATCAGCCAGCTGGGCGCTGGGAAAGGGGCAGAGTCAAAACACGACAAGCAACAGACGACGGCAGATTTAGTAGTCGTCGGGGCACTGGAGATGAACGCCGAAGAGACAGGATGCTGGAGAAGCCAGCCCAACGAACTGTTTGGCCTCCATGTGGGATGATAGAGATGAGGCTTCAAAAAAAAAAAAACTCGCTCGACCTGCCTGCCTGCCAGCAAACCAGTGCGTCTTATTACATGCAGCTATATTAATAACGGGGACACCACCGCCTGTTGTATGAACCTCGCCCTTTACCTTTACGGAGACCAGCGGGAAGCCCCAAAAGGGGACGTCCAATATTATATCAGACTGACTTTTCGAAAGCTCTTCCTAAGGCGCTTATACGCAACGGTTTCTCCACCACACAACCTTGACCTTCTCGCCCATGTCACGGAGTATATATACACGGCTCGATGCCATCGCCTAAAGATGACATATTTCGATGGCCTACGGTGGCTCCGAGATCAGTGACAAGAGGTCACTCCCAGCGGCGTGGGGTGCGAACTCCTTTCAAAAGTGCGATTGATGACCTGATGCTTGCTTTTTCCTACGCTGTCTCTTTCTCTTTATCTTTTTTTGTTTTTTTTTTTTTTTCTCGTCTAATATGATTGCCCTGTTCTTTTTTTATTCTTTTTTAAATTTATGTGCTTTTTTGGCTTTCATCCACTGGGCATTTCGGATCGATGCACCCTTTTACCCGGAGTCTAGTTCATGATTATTGATTCCAATGCAAGGCAGCTAACTAGTGTTAACAAGTTCTCATCATGATACCCGGCCCTATGATCGGAAGCGCAGACCTTGGTGGACCTGTCCAGGGGCCTCTGGACCAGGGCATGGGGCAGTTTTGGGAGGATCCCTCATTTCGTATTTCGGCCACGGCGGGAGGCAATGAAATGGCAGATCGAGATAAAACAATTCGACCTGGGGCCTTCGGGGATATCAAGAACATGCCCGCCTAACTACTGGCTCAGAACCTCCAGCGACATCTCATACCAGTCCTTTTGTTTTTCTTTTGGTTTTTTTTTTTTTTTTACCTTACCGCTGTCACACGGCGAAGCCCGCAGCGGGAACCGGATCGGGCCTCAGTGAAGCGGACAAATGAGCCATTGCCATGCCGCCATCGAGCCCCAGGCTAATATACACTTGGCTGGGTTACTTCAGTGCTGTTGGTGCGGCGCTTCTGGCTGCTGCTGCAAAGCCTGGAGAACATTACGAAAAACTACTGCACGACTTACCAGCCGCATGGCTCTGCTGGGTCATATTATGCATTTACTACATTGGAAAACGATACCTTCTTCACGGGCGCTTCTTTGACGGTGATGGCCTCAGAGGCCGAGATCTGACCTCCTTCGCTCGCTTGTGGGCGGCTTCTATTGCCGTCGTCGCATTCATATTTGCCTCTTCCTTTTCAGGGGAAGCCTCGTGGCTACTGGTATGGAAGCATGATCTGTCCAACCCCCCAAATCCCCCACCTTCCTTCGAACTCCCTTGGAATAATAATCACTGCTTAGCAAACCCCGAGACGAGATATATTTGGCGGTTTGAGAGCAATTGAGGATGAAAAGAATGCTTGCTGACTTACTCCGTACTAGCCTGTCATTACAACTATCGTCCATGTGATATTTCTTTTGCGAGAAAAACGCTCTTTGTTACCGCCATCGGACAGCTCACCTGGGGATTTTATACCCAAAGGATGGCCCTCCTTCGCCCAATTAACTGGACCGGTTGCTGTCTTGCTCTCTTTGGTTGACTCGGTTTTCCTATTTCGCCAGAGTGGAGATTTGAATTCATCACCGCTACCCTCTATCCTGCGTCTGTCCGCTTGGATATGCCTGGGTTGGTGGACGTCGAATAGCATCCGGTCAACAACAGCCTCTAAAGGCACGGATGTAACATCTTCTCTCTCACATGGTGTTACACCAAGAGTACTTTTCGTATTGACCGTATCTCTCGCCCTACGCGGCCATGTACCAAGCTTTACACCCGTCCAGATCTTGGTCTCCTTGCTTTCGGCCTCAAAATGGATAGCAATATTTTCACTGGTATGTGTCAAAATAAGCCCGCACTCTCATTTTGCCTTAGTCTGTAGAGTATAAATTAGGGTATAAACGTAGATATAGAAATATTGCTGACGTTGAACGATATATATCAAGGTTTCGGGAAATGGCCCTGCTTCTGCAAGCACTCTAGATTCATTTGCACTCTTCTCGGTCCAGGCAATAAATGTCAAGCAGACCAATGAATTTCTCGTTCTATTTTTGTCAGCCGCAGTAGCCTTGATACAAGGGGTAATTGCTCTCCCGAAGGCCACACGACATCAAAATTGGCTAGCTCTGCTTTTGTTGATCCCACTCGCTGGCATTTTGCGTCAGGAAGCCTCCATTGACCTTGGATATTCCCTCTGGGACGGAACGGTTGGGCGTGTTGCAGATGTCCCCGTCCACCCCATCCAACAACTCGCATCAGATGCTCTGAAAAGGCACCAGGACATGGTGGCAGGCCAATCCAAAACTTTGGAGGCTGCCATTAAGGAATATGAACGCCGATATGGCCGAAAGCCTCCTCCTGGATTTGACGTGTGGTATAAAGCTGCAACACAGAAAGGATTTATTCTCGTCGATGAGTTCAATTCGTTAATGGAAGGGCTGGAGCCATTCTGGGGGGTCCCTCCCGCTGTGCTTCGTGCCCGTGTGGCTGCAGCAACGCAGATCTCAGGTTCAAGGCTCATCCGCTATTCTGTGAGAAATCGCAATCTAATGGCCGAAAATGACGGTGAGGCTACTTGGATTACCAACCAGCTAAGGTTATGGTTCACTCCTGAAGTATTGGCTACTGTGCCTGATATAATGTTTGCCCTTAACTTACTTGATGAGCCAAGGGTCGTGGCTCCCTTTGATGAATTAGTGGAGGCTCAATCTGCAAGTAAACTGAATGGCTCCGTAGGGCTCTCAAAATCTTTCTCAGAAACAGTCGGATTCGAGAAGGCAAATTCCAACAATATGTGGGATAGCATGACATTATCCTGTGACCCCAAATCTGCAGCTAGAAAAGGCCCGAGCAGATTCAGGCTCCCTCACAAGGGGCTGGCCAGCAGTTTCGTCTCCAACACGAGCGTTGCCCACGATGTCTGCTCCATGCCAGATCTCCAGATCCAACACGGATTCTTCATTGCTCCCGAAACGGCAAGTATAGCACATTCGATCGTCCCCATCTTCTCACAGGCCCGGCCTTCAAGTTTTCAAGACATTCTTCTGCCGAGTGTATACTATGGTGCAAAGCTAGAGCTGCATGAATACCAGGAAAGCCAGGATATGAAGTGGGATGAGAAAGAGAATGTCGTCTATTGGGCCGGCTCTTCAACAGGGGGGCATACCAACATCAAGAACTGGCATACCTTCCACCGTCAACGACTGGTGCTAGTAACCTCCCACAATGCTACGAGGGTTAGACTTATGAAAAAGGTCCCTGGACCCCCCTCGACAGGCGGTAACACCACATCTACTTGGCGCATCTATACATCTAAGATGGGACAGATTGCGTCCAAGATCAAAATCCGAATTTCAGCCGTCATCCAATGTGAACAGGATGCATGTGATGCGCAAGAAGCCGCTTTCCGACCAGATGAATACCCAAAGGATGATTTCAAAGCAAATTACCGAGCAAGGTATAATTTAGATGTTGACGGCAACGGTTTCAGTGGCCGTTACCTTCGCGGACTCTTGTCCAACTCTGCCATGATGAAGCAAACAATGTTCAAAGAATGGATTGATGATTGGCTGACGCCTTGGCTCCATTATATACCCGTTAATATGGACCTGGTGGAATTCCCAGAGTTGGTACGGTTTTTCACTTCTGAGCCTGAGGGGCAGGAGATTGGGAAGAAAATTGCAATGGCAAGTAAAGACTGGGCGCAGAAGACAATTCGGACGCAAGATCTAACACTTGCGCTTTGGCGGGTGATGTTGGAATATTCACGGATTATGAAGGATGATAGGGACTCTTTGCAATGCTGTTCTTGATTTGACTGCTGTTGACATCATTTTTGTTTGCTGGGGCGGATTTTAGATCTAATATACACTGGGTGGACATCTTTTGTTTTTGGTTGGAGGGGATATCTGTTCCGTACACGGGCGAAGGCAGGGTGATGTATTCATATTTCCCTTAATAGATTTCTAGATTTTTGGTTCTACTGTTAGCATGGGGGATACTTACGAATGTTCTGATGCTTACGCCGGCAACCGGGAATAGACGTCCTTGTAACCCCCCTATTCTACCTACAGCCTTGTCCATGGATGGCAAGTATGCTCTAGAATACTAAACGATATATACCATCAACAGAACCCAACGCCCATCTTGTCCGATATATCCATCTCAAGCCGTACGTCTTAAAGTATAATGCAAGAGGATCGAGTACGAATTTGAGGAGTGTTGTAAACGTGAGGTAAAGAGTACCCGAGTCGGTTAAAATAAATGGCTTTGGTACAGGTTTTGTTGAAGCGAGCTGATAGTAAAATTGGGAGATGATCAGGCCAATCAATTACTGTTGCGAAAGTATCGTAAAGAGCTTTTCTGTGCCACCTCTTATCGGTCGTTACCTATGGTGGAAAGACTTGTCCATCACTCGAGCTTAACGATATGAAATCGATACCTACCTACCCGGTAAAGCGGAACCGTGTAGCCTCTAATCTGCCTAAGCCTTCCCTTGGTGCCACGTTCCGGCGTCTATATGAGTTTGTGAAATCTGCGAAGGAGGTGTATGAGTTAGTGCGACGAGCGAGGTTGTTGAGATCGTTTAAGAGGAAGTGTGACGGTGATCGGGTAACGAACCTTGAAGGACAACTCTAATCTTCCTCATGTCGCCTAGTTGGGCATACTCCGAGAGAGTTTTCATCAGGCGCTCGCTTTCGCCGGGCTTGACGGAGCGGGCGGGCAGCATCTGGATTGTGGCTTCGATCCAGCTTGCAGTTTCTGCGGGTAGGAGTTCGAAGCATGACATCAAAACTGCCGAAGCATCTGGGAAGCAGTCACCAGGAAAAGTAAACATCATTCCGGTTAATACCCGTTGCACGAGGAAAGAGCCCTGTGACACCATTATTTGCTTCACACCAGATCTGATCTCCGGCGTGTTCGTATAGACCTCGCCTTCCGGGGTTGTGAAGTTGGACACAGCCGGCTTCTCAAACCCAAAGCTGACCAGGTCACGGAGGTATTGCAGGGTGGCGGTTAAAGGTTCGATCTGCTGGAGGGTGAGTGCACTCAGAGCAGCAGAGAAAATGGGGACAGAGAGATTTGACGTGACGGTATTCTTGGGGAAGAATCTAACTGCATCTGTTGCCAGTCTGAAGAAGTCCTCGATCACTATAGCAACGTATTAGTATTAACAACAACAGACCTAAAGAAAGGTTATACATACTGTCAGGTAACTGCTCTGGAGGCAGATCGTTGAGAATTCGGAGGAAGAGCACGACTTGCTGTTCGAAAAACTGATAGACAGCAACGCTCGTGGGGTTATCAACAAGTTCTGCCCCGGTTGAGAATTCTCGGACAATTGCATCTGTAGCCCAGAGGAAACATCCTTCTCTCGAAGCCTCGAAGCCAGAAGAGATGTTTTGGGCGAGGGTCGGAAGGAGAGGAGCCATTGCATTGCGGTATGAGATGATCATGTATCGCCAGCATCGGCAGACTCTCTCAAGGATTGGAGTAGATTTCGTGAAATTCATAACTATCGTACTGAGAACGGGTAATATATCTCCGCAATATTTGACTCCAGGGTTCTCTTTTCCTGGTTCGACATAAGGAGAAACCACCTGGATGAAGATTGCGATTAATTGCAAGTGATCTAGAATGTCCATCCTTGTCAGCTCTAACTCATAATTGAAGGAAACAGCATATACATACCAGCCACGGCCTTTTGACCGTCTTCATCTTTGGCGTTGTTAGCCAAGTTCATAATTCGAGACATAAGGGGGTTGCAGAATAATTTCAGCCCTTCGTATATCTTTTCAACCGGCTGAACAGCAAGAACAGCCGCAACACCCTCAGTGACCTCTTCCTGACTAGATGGCTTTAGACCATCAATGACAGACTCATAGAAGGTATGAAGCTGTGGAATGTGAGAGCCGAGCAGTTTCTGGCAGTCGGTTCCGAGGAACTTGAAAGCAAGGGCTGCCGCCTGCACAACTTCCTGTGATTCGTGCTGGAACCCAGAGATGACATAGTTGAGCTGTGCCTCCAGCGTTTCTGGATGCTGTGCGGTCCATTCGGTATATCTACCAAGCGCCATGATTGCCTGGAAACGGACCTTCTCCTGGTCTGGTATGCGCACAATGAGGGGAATGATTTCTGGCAGGACGTAGCTTTCCTCTGCTTCTACCATTCGTCCCATCGCACGCATGCTGAAAAGGGGTGCTTCCAGTTCTTGCCAGTGAGGGACATGGTCGTGTCTTGCCTGGGGCCCGTATTTGGCAACCCAAGCCTGAATAAGACTGTATGCCTTTCCAAGACAGTCGGAGACACCTATAACCGCACAGCAGTCCTTGAGGACGTCTCCCATTGAATGTCTGAAGCTTCGGAACTTCTCTTCCTGCTCCCTGTCTCCATCGAACAGGTCGCTCTCGTCTCCGTCCGAGGAGGGATATTCTAGATGTTTGATCATGACATCCACGAGTTTCGAGAACAAGTCTCCCAGGGTAGCTCTAGCTCTTGCGTACCGCTCCAAAGTCAAGTATTGTTTCAGCTCATACCAGAAGACGAAGGTGATGGAGATGGCATCCCGATCCTTGTCAACTGAACAACACTCTAGCACAGCTTCCACCAAGTTCCTGAAGTCTTCAGGTAGACGTGCAATTAGAAGCACCCAGGCCTCTGCAGCCTCTGCAAACAACCGAGTAAGGCCCCGTAGTAGGTCGACATCTTCTGTTTCTGCGGCTTCTCTGATTCTGGGTCTTAGGGCAATTATTCTTGGGTATAGGGCCTTGATGACGTCCATTGAGTCGTCGACTTCGAGTGTGTCTCTATAGATCATGCATATGCAGTCTACCGCCGCTTCAAAGGATCTTTCCTCTGCAAGGGCCTTCATAATGATGTCCATGAGGGGGGACTCCACAATCTGAGCTGCGGGTATTTCACGCATCCATGAAGTAATACATTCTAGGAGAAGTGGGTTCGTTGCCGCAGAAGCTATAACAGAGAGAGATATATAGTTAGTAGCGCACCCAACTAAGCAAACATCGAGTAAAAAAAGGGGGGGGGGGGGGGGGGGGGTAAAACCTACGAGAAGATTGAGAGTACTGTGTCAAAAGACCCAGGACCTGGCTTGCGTTCTCTTCCAAGAGCTCCCTTGTTCTTGAAGACAGCTCCTCTTCCTAAGGGTTACGCACGACTGATTAGATAAAACAAGAACGATTTTTCTCTGGCCGCAAAAAAGGGGGAGTTGATAAGACGGGTATATATGTTGGTGTTGGACTTGCGCAAAAGCGGTGGTAGATGGGAGGACAAAGGTGGATGGATGTGGTGTGTGAGCTCTGCCGGAACATACAGTCAGGTTGATTTTGCGCCCTTCTATGACCTCTTCGGGAAGGATCTTGAGGAATTCGAGGACACAGTCTCCAGCTTCGTTGCCGAGAGCAGCTCCTACGGTAGGAAGGACGTCTTTCCAGGAGGTCATCTGGATAGCAAGGGTGGCCAGGGATACACATAGCTGTGTCCGTATGGGGCGAGGTCCAGATCTATAGTTTGACAGTAGAGACAGTATCGACGTCCTTAGTTCGGGCTGAGCGGACTCGGGGAGCTGGTCGAGATCATATGTAATCTATCAGAAGCAGACACAGCCCGTCAGCTACCATGTTGGTATTGTATGTCGTGGTGAAAAGGGGGTATATATATATGTATATAGATAGATAGATACGTCTAGGGGGGCTAAGCGCGGGTCCTCACTTTTCCCTTGAGCGTGGTAGCCGCAAAGAGCTTTGCCTCGACCTGCGCATCGGCAGTCTGGAGAATCGCATGCGTCGTCGTCCATGCCTCTGTCTGTTTGATACGAAGAGCAACAGCGGCGTCTCGTTAGCCAAAAGGACGGTTCCATGGAGGGGTAAACATCGACTCTATCTATGACAGGATACGGGGGAGGGACACGGAGATGGCTCAACTGATTTCTGGAACTTCTCGAGGAACTCATGGGCGTGAGTCTTCTCCTGGCGAGAGACGCTGCTCTGCATCGTCTGGAGGGCAGCGAGCACCGGCGCAAAGGCCTGCTGCTGCGCTGAAGCACTGCTCGCTGTCGCCATGGCGCGGGTTCACTGCTATGCGGCGGGCGGCGGAGGATCGGTGCGGGCGGCAAGAGATCTGGCGACGTAGCAGGGCTGGGAGTGTCAGCGCGGGGCCTGCGGTCGTCATGAAGCAGAGGACGCTGCGATAGAGAGAGGCGAGGCGGGAGTGAGGGATCGCTGCTCGTGGGTGGTTGTTTGTTGTTGCTGCTGCAGGCGTAGTTTTTGGCCGTTCTGGATATCTTAATTATTGTTTTTTCACTTTTTTTTTTGGTGATGGAGGGAAAACCCACTTGGTTGTTTTCTCTCTCTCTCTCTCTCTTTGCTCACCAGCGAAGTTTTCGACACTTTTTGACGGCCGACAGCAGCTTCACCACGACAGTGAAAGAGGATAAAGAGACGGTAGCAGAGAAAAGGACGACGACAAAGACGAGACCATGACCGGCCGAGGACAGCGAGGCGGCGCGAAGACGCTGCTGGCTCCGATCCATTTCATCTTCAAGCTCCTGCAGCAGCGGACGACGGTCTCGATATGGCTGTACGAGCAATTGGCAGTGCGCATAGAAGGGAAGATACGGGTACGCAGTCGTCTCTACGCCTGGTGGTCTACTCTGGAGCTGGAGCTGGAGCTGGAGCTGACGGTTTACTAGGGCTTTGACGAGTTCATGAACCTCGTGGTGGACGACGCGGTCGAGGTCAAGCTGGCTACGAAGACGGAGGAAGAGTCCAGGAGACAGCTTGGTAGGGAGATGAGATTTTTTTTTTTCAAGTCATGTATCCTGCTGCTGCTACATAGCATATACTAATGATACGGGACAGGCCAAATCCTCCTCAAGGGCGACAATGTCTCGCTGATCCAAACGGTGCAGTCATAGGACCGACGGGGCTGGGTTTACAAGCAACGGTTCAAAGGCGACTGGCGTTTTACGGTACAACATGTTTTTGCTAGGAAGGGTTCAGTTTCAGAGACGAGAGGGAGGAAAAAAGGGGGAAGACGATGAATTTGAGAGGTGTTCAGCTTCTCACGACTCGTCCGTCACCTACGACCAGGCTGTCGACGAGGTTGTCGTACTCTCCCACAGGCACCTCTTCTGGAGGCTGAAGGACCTGCTCGGCCAGACAGAAGGCGGCTATTGAGAAATATTTTTGGTGGGTTAGTGTGTCTAACGGAATTAGTTGTGCTGTTTGATGCTGCTGTTTTGAAGTCTCACCGAGATATGGCATCTGCCCTTTGCCCACGTTACTGCGATATCTGTTGATAAAACGGTCATAATACCCCTTTCCATGCCCCAGTCTGCGTCTGCCATGGTCAAAGGCCATGCCCGGCACGACAATGAAATCCAAGCCGCAGTCGTCACCATCACCACCTTTCAAGGCGCCGTCCTCACCCCGTAGGCCGTTCCCGCCCAGACAGTTCTCCCTGCCGGCCACCGAGCTGGCGTCAAGCGTAGGAATCCCCCACCCGTCTGGCTGTAGAGACTCGTAATCCTCGAGCGAGCGCAGGGCCAGCATTTCCATGATCGACGACGGCTTCGTTTCAGCACTGCCTCCGAGCTTGTAGATGTATGGCACAAAGACCTGCTTCCCGCGTCTAAAGGCGTCCCTCACGATCTCCCCGGTCCTCAGCTCGCCGGCCGGCATCGACAGGTAGACGCTGACGCGCCGTGCCGACTGGTATTCGGGGAGTGCGAGCAGGCGTTCAGTGGCAAGCGAGGCTACGACAGACAAGACATCAGCAGCCGTAAGGATAGATAGACGTCAATCAATAATATATAGAGGCAAGAAGAGGGATCCCAAACATTGAGACGTAACCGAGTCTGCAGAGACGCCGGCGAGGATCTTCCTGATCCTGCTTCGCATCTCCTTCTTCGCCGTGCTTATCGAGGCCATCGTCGCGTTTCTTCTTCTGTCCTGCCAGTCTCGCTGTCCTCTTCCTCCTCCTCCTTCTCCTGCTGCTGGCTGGCTGGCTGCTGGTTTGTTGACGTCGTCTGGAGTCCTGCTAGTGAGTGGCGAGTCTTGGGGGGGCGACCAGGGCAGCGCAGGACCGAAACATCGACGGGGTCAAGCGTAATATTATAATTAGTTAGCTATATCGCCAGTTAGCATATAACAGAGACGAGGAGAGCAGACGAGATCTCCTGCTGAGCCGTCGCTGCGTTGCCTGTCGCTGTTCGCTGTCTGCCGCGCTGTCCTCGACTCTCGACGTCGACGCGGGAAGAAGAGAAGAGAGGACGACGTAATATCGGGTGGCTCGTCCCTTTTTTTCTCTGATATTTTGCCTACGCATTATTAGTTATTATTATTTCCCACCGTCGACTCCAACCTTCGCCCTCCATCATCCATCATCCCCCGTCTCTCTCTCGCTCTCTTCTCCTGCTGCTGCTGCTCGCTATCGAACCGACCTGCTGTCGCTGCCGACGATGAACCTGCTGCTGCTGCTGCTGCCGCTCGGCCTGCTGCCGGCTGTCTCTGCAGAGTTCGACCCGCGACTCGTAGGCACCTGGACGACCAAGTCACGGAAGGTCGTAACAGGCCCGGTGCGTACACTCACTTTACCCCCCGGACAGCTGAAGGAGGCGCTGAAGGATGCAACAGGCTGGCTGACGACCTTCTCCTGCAGGGCTTCTACGATCCGATCAAGGACAGGCTGATCGAGCCGTCGCACACGGGCATCTCCTACTCCTTCACTGAGGATGGCTACTTTGAGGAAGCTCAGTACCGCGCCATTGCGAACCGTGAGTCCACCACATAACTATACACGTAACCCGGGGTTTCAAGGGCAGACGGACTAAGAAGAGATGTGGTTTTATAGCACAAAACCCGGCCTGTCCCAGCGGGATGATGCTGTTCCAGCATGGGACTTACGAGATCAAGCCTAACGGGACCCTCCTGTTGAACGCATATGCCTTCGAAGACGACGGGCGTCAGTTGATATCAGACCCTTGCAAGGGCGAGCGAGCAAGCTACTACAGATACAACCAGAACGAGACCTTCAAGGTAGGCTGGTCTTTTTCGTTCTATATATATCCCTGCTGCAGCTGTGGACTGACCAATGTTCTACAGAGGTACGAGGTCTTACTCGATGAATTCCACAACATACAGCGGCTCAACCTGTATGGACACGACGGCACACCCATGAACCGCATGTTCCTCATCTACAAACCTCCCCAGATGCTGCCAACCAAGCACCTCAACCCCGTCGTCAAGGTTCAACGACGAAAACGAGACCTTGGAGAAGGCGAATTCGACAGGTCTCCCATCAAGAATTCTGTCCTCTCCCACCTACCTGTAACCGCCAATGCCGACCGCTGGTGGTGGGTTGGCGTCCTCATGACCTCCATCGGCGGGATTGCTCTCATCTACTCCTAGCCTTCTAAGCCTTTTTCTCCGCTGCATTTTTCCTTCCCATCCTCGACGCGAGGAAAACCGGAAGAAGCATACAAAAAGTTATATGATATAATGCACCATTTTGGATATAGATGGCGTTATGAACGGTCTGGCACACCCCGGGGGATGGGGTTCCTTTTCATTCTCTTTTATTTTATTTTATTTTTTCACTTTTTTTTACCTTTGGTCTTTGCCTCGGGAGGCTCATTGTTGATACGTGGGGAGGGTATTCATCTTCCTTTATACCTGCGTGTGCCGGAGTAGTCGGTTGCTACATACAGCTGTACTTGTACCCCCTTCCTTTTTTACCCTCTTGTCTATTCTACTTCCTCCCGTCTGCATGGCGTGTTTTTCACCCCTTTTGTCTTTCCTTTTCCTGTTATGTTCTGCCATTTCATTTCTTCCCGTGGCTCGGTCTGTTCTCATATGGCCGACGGGTAATTGCAATGTTTAATTATCATCAGCATCAAATAATGTTAATCCCTGTTACGGTCGTCTTATGCACCATCAAACAGTTACAGATCTAAGGAATGGAGATGATAGTGTTACATTTGGATTGTGCCTCTAATTTACACTGCTGCTGCCCCTTACACTTCATACAGATTCGGGACTGTATACCACCAGGATATACATGCTAATCAACATACCAACACTCCTCACAGAAATCCTAACAGAATGAATAAAATGATCACTTCTGTTCCAGTGCCTTAACCATCTCGCCAGCAATCTTCGCAACAGCCGTCTTGCTCGCTGGCTTCCCATCCAAAGATCCGCCTGCAGCAAGGACCTTCTTCATCACGCTTCCAATAGCCAGCTTCTCACTGGCAGCCTTGAGTTCGGCAATCGCACTCTCAACAGCAGCACGTATCGCATCTTCGCTCACAGTCTCAACCTGAGCAGCGTACTCCTCAACAACCTTCCTTTCTGCCTCTGCCTTGGCCAGCAAGTCCTGACGGTCAGCAGCGGCATACTCCTTCCCACTGGCTTCTAGGTTCGACGCCCGCTTTCGAAGAAGGTCGAGAAGGCTCAGGTCAGTCTCAATGGGTTTCGGTGTTTTGGCTGCATTGTTCACTTCTGATATTATTCCGCGCAGGACGTCAAGTCTGTTCCAGTAGAGTTAGCATTGAGTTGTTGTTTATGACAAGCAGAACCCGCGAAGGAAGAGCAGAGAATCCATACCTGACTTTGTCTTTTGCCCTCATTGCTGCCTTCAAGTCTGTCTTTATCTGTGCAAACAATGGAGCAACACCTGGCGTTGAAGATGTAGAATAGCGAAGAGAGTGCCGCAGCAAGGGCGACTGGAAGCGAAATGACCGAATCATGCTGACTGGTATATCTTCTCTCTCTCTCTAAGTATCTGCAATAGTAGCGGCAGTTATCTGTCTTCTTCTTCTTCTCTTCTTCTCTTCTTCTAGTCGTAATTAATTGTTCTATCTTCTTCCTGCGTCAAAGTTGAATATTTATATGCAGATGGCCCGTGCACCCAAAGCTTCATCTTTTTGTGTTGCTTAAAAAAGTCGCAGACGAAGAAAAGAAATCAACAACTTCGACTTCATCGTTATTTGTTGCCATTCCACCTCACCACTGCCAGACACCAGTCTCTTGTCTAGGGAGAGCCGTCAACAGTCCCTCGCTGTGGCCACCTGAATACCTTTCCCGACTGGCAACCGCTCGCCCTGTGTGTCTGGGTGCTGCGCGACTATGAGCTTCCCATTCACACCAACACCGAAGCCGCCAGGCACATACTTCCAGACTCCGGCGCCCTCGCGCTCCCATGGACCGCTGTTCGCCTCTAGGCCTCTCTCTCCGCCCTCGGGGAATGTTGCGGGCTCGAATCTAGGTGCCTCTACCGCCGCTCGGCCCAAGATGCCAGCCCCAGAGATCAAGGCGAAGCCCGAATCCATAAGCCCACGCGAGCGAGCAGCGCGGACAATAGACGAGGCGCTCCTGCAGGAGTCGCGGTACCCTGATCTAGACAGCTATCTTTCTCGTACGTTTGCATTTGCCCCGAAGCCTGAAGCCGAACGCGTTGCGCTGGATATGAGACCACGTCCATGAATAACTAACGTATTTTGATCCATCAATTAGAGGGCTATTCTTCGGACTATGACATCCCCAGCTCACCGGCATGGGCGCCGTTCCATAAAGTGAAGATGTATAGGATTCCAGACCAGATATTCGACCAGTATAATCGTGCGCAGGTTTCAACTAGCATGGGCTTGTTTGCAGAGCTAAATCACGCCTGGGTTACAATCGACAATGCTCTTTACCTCTGGGATTATACGCATCCAAATCCTCAATTGATAGGGTTTGAGGAACAGCCAAACAGCATCAACATGGTCAAGCTTGCGCGGCCTAGGAAGGGCGTCTTTCTTCCGGCAGTCACTCATATGCTCGTGATATCTACCACGGCAGATGTTTTCCTCATGGGACTTGCGTGTGAAAACACCGGCGGATACAAGTCAGTGACTATATACCAGACCGGCATGTCGGTGCCCATCAGAGGTCTAGACATCAATGTCATTGCCTCGTCCGACTCGACCGGACGGATCTTCTTTGCTGGATCTTCAGACAATGATGTGTATGAATTGACATATCAGCAAGAGGAGAGATGGTTCCAGGGCCGCTGCAGTAAAGTCAACCATACAACCAAGAGTTTTACCGCATTTGCGCCTCAGTTCAATCTGCGTAACAAACCAACAGAGTTTGTGGAGCAGATGGTAGTTGACGACAGCAGGAACCTCTTGTACACTCTGTCTTCAAACTCATCGATCAGAGTCTTTCACTTGAGGCCCGATGGATCCGTCAATCTTACAATCACCAAAACTGCCATCGACATATATTCTAACATCGGCCATATCATCACCTCAAATGAAACACTCAACCCTAGGGTCAAGATCGTCTCTATCAGCCCCATTCCAGCCCCAGAAGCATCTAGGTACCACCTTATGGCCACAACTGCTACTGGCTACCGAATCTACCTCAGTGCTACCGGCTCATATAGCTGGTCTGCCACCCCAAATGCAAATAATGCTCCTACCAGCATGCAAGCACAGCACGTTAAAACCCCACCATCCGACTCTCCTTCAGACCAGGTTCCTCAAGCTGCCCCTGTCCCGGGAGCCCCATTCCATACCACTGGCCCTTCTAAAGTCTCAATACACTCCCTAAACCCCACCAGCTCTGCCGAACGGTTTCCACCTGGGTACTTTTTCTGTTTCACGCAAAAAGACAATTCCAAGCAAGCGGACACATTGTTCATTTCTACGCCAGACTCTGGAAAACTTGCGATACCCCGGGATCCCTCCACGCCTATCAAGCCAGAGGAGACTGGCATTTGGCTCACCCTTGGTAGTAGGGCAGAAGCAATCGGCCTTTACACCCCATACGATCAAGGTGGCCCCACGAGCAGCGGCTTTGGAAATGAGTTGGCAGTCCAATTTGATAAGCCAGCTGCTGAGATTGCCATTTTGACCAACACTGGAGTTCATATTATCCGCCGAAGACGACTTGTTGACATGTTTGCGTCTCTTATTCGTAATTCGGATGGAGAGGACGGGTTAGAGGATCGCGTGCAGACATTTATTCGGATATATGGTCGAAGCGAAACCATAGCAACTGCGCTAGCAGTAGCATGTGGCCAGGGAATGGAAGTTTCGCCGGATTCGCGCCTTTCGAAAATAAATGATCCTGACGTTCTCGAATTTGCCCGAAAAGTCTTCATTGAGAAGGGTGGAAAGCCAACCATTAATGAAAATGCTGTTACTGATGGATCCGTTCCAGCCATCGATACGGTTTTGCCTTCTCCTCGGCACGCGGGCATTGCATTGTATACCTCAAGACTTCTGCGATCCATCTGGAAGACAGTAATAGCCCAACAGGGCCGAACACCTGCTGGTGGTCTTTCCATTTCTCCTGCTGTACCTACATCTACCTTGCTTACCATCCAGCGCGATCTCTCTGCTCTCAAGGACTTCTTCAACACAAACCGAACATTCATCGAAGGGTTGAGTGGACCTGACGCGCTATCGAAGGTAGCAACAAAACAGGAGGAGGTTGCTTTGCAGGCTGAACACAGAGGCCTTCACTCCCTTGTGCAGTTGATCTCCCATACCATTGAGGGGATCTCCTTTATTCTCGTTCTTTTTGATGACAGAGCTGAGGACGTCATTGCCCTGCTGAACGAAGATGCCAGAAACCGTTTCTTGGAGCTGACCTTTGAGCAGCTTTTTGCTACTTCCAAGGGACATGAGACTGCAAAGGAACTTGTCAAAGCCATCGTGAACCGCAACATTGCCAAGGGATCTAATGTTGAAACCGTTGCCGAAGCTTTACGACGAAGATGTGGTACTTTCTGCAGCCCCCAGGATGTTATTGTATTCAAAGGACAGGAACTTCTCAAGAGAGCCACTGAAGCTGGACCAAACTCCGAGGTTGGCAGAAACCTGCTAAATGAGAGTTTGATGCTTTTCCAGCAAGTGTCAGAGAGCCTCCCTATGGATTACCTGAAACCCAGCATCGAACAGTATACCCAAAATCAGTTCTTTGCAGGTATGTTGGCTCTAGCCTGTTCTGGAGATTTCAGTATGCTAACGACTATGCAGGTGCCATACAACTTGCTCTCAGCGTAGCTGCTGATTCTGACAAAGCAAATCATGCTCTTTCATGGATCATGGATGGAAGACCTGCCGAGGTAAGAATGGATATTACAGCAAAACAAAATGAGATGTCTGTGTATTAACGTGTTATTTACTAGGATCCACGAAAGGAAGCGTATGACTCTCGACAACAATGTTATGACCTCATCTACAAGGTCATCCTTGCCGTGGATGAACTTTCTGAGCAGGACAGTTGTGATGGTCCGTATAGCCTGATTGCACGAAGAAGAGCTGAAGCGTATGATGTTATTACCACCTCGCGGGACGAGGTTTTCCTCACTAGCCTTTATGATTGGTATCTCGCACGCGGTTTGAGTGACAGACTTCTCGAGATCAAGTCTCCATTTGTCGCTACCTATCTCGAGAGGAAGTCAACAGAAGATATATTCCACGCTGATTTGCTCTGGAAATATTATGCACAATCGGACAGATTTTATGATGCAGCTGTCGTGCAACTCCAGCTTGCAAAGAGCCCCTTCAAACTTACTTTGAACCGGAGAATCGAGTACCTGGGTCAAGCGAGAGCAAACGCATCCGTGCAATCACCCGATGTTGGACGAGCAGCACGACAGCGCCTCCAGCACGAAGTCGAGGAGCTCCTGGATGTCAGCCATGTTCAGGACGATCTATTGCAGCGCCTTAAGGATGACCCTAGACTAGACAATGAACGGAGAGCTGATGTACTGGACACCATGAATGGAGGCATTATGGAGATCAGCAAAGTAAGCGCTTCTCTTAACATTTTCTTCCAACTGTTGAAAACTGACAATATTTTCCATTTAGATGTACAATGAGTATGCAGCCCCTGGAAACTACCATGACATATGTCTCCAGATCATGTACCTTGCAAACCACCGAAACGCCTCCGACATCACCACTACATGGCAAGATCTGATCGAAGGAGTCCATGAGGAGACCTTGAAGAACGGGACACCTCTACCGTATGAAGCTGTCATTGAAAAGGTCCGCAGCCTGGCACTTAGACTCCGAATGTCTGATGTTGCTTTCCCAGTTAAAACTCTCCTTCCAATGCTAGAGCGCTATAGGCTTGAGCATCAGAAGAACGACGGACCTCCAACCTGGGTTGTCGACCTTTTCCTTGAACTTCAAGTTGAACCGGAAGTTCTATATACCGTTCTTGAGTCCTTGTTTTACAATGATGAGGTACCTTTCCACGGAGCTAACAGAAAGTTCATTGGCAATGACCTTGCCTACCTGATCTCCAGGTGGTTCAATGAAACATCCCGGCTCGGAGGTGCTGCTTTTGGAAGCGATGTGATTGCCGCTAGGGTATCCGAAATGCTGCTCTTACTACAGCAATCTCGATTAGATAAAGATGTGGTGCAAGCATGTCGAGATATGAGAGTCAAGCTTGAGCAGTCCTTCCGATAAATTATGTGTTCTACAGCCACCATACCAGCGCCGTTGCATATGTCTTGTCCTACGTCTTCGTTTATTCTAATGTACTCCCAAATCCTCTCGCCTGTTAGAGGCTTATGTCGTTATCTCTATGTCTTTTCTTTTCCTTCGTTAATATTCAGGATGGGGTACCGTTGGGGAGGGCGTCTTAAATGATTGTATTCTAGATCAGTTAAGACCTTTTTTATGTTCCAAATGCATATAAGCCAGCATTAGTCTCGCAGGTCTAGGTGATATGTGCCATACAGCTGTCTATTAACTTCTTTACTGCTTTATACATCCTTCCCATGGCTATTCGGCCCTTGAATTCAGGGGTGAAAAAAATGATCATGTGACCCAAGTTGTTTTGAAGGATCAATTTTGCGTCGACAACATCTTACAATTTCTCTACACCAGCTCCTATTTGACCAATATCTTTGTCTGGGTAGATACAATGGCTGGTACCAAAGGCCATTCGAGTGGCCAGAAGCCAAAAGGCTCGTCATGGAGACGTACTGCTGATTATGCCTATGCTTTCTTCTTCATACTCCATATTGTGATTATGTTTAGTACGTCGTGCTTCATACCCAGGTCAATGGAGAATTTTTTATATTATATGGCAAGGTAATGAAAATTTGGATTGGCCATGTACTGATCGAAATCCTTCATAGTGGTTGATCTAGTTCCGCTATACCCTGAAGCCTTGAAGCCAGCCTTCCTCGACGACATCCGCAGCTTTTATATCAACACCTACCAGGACAAGTTCTTTATCGACCCTCCAGCTTGGTTTGGAAGCTACATTGTTATGGAGCTTGTTTATCATGTGCCAGCGAGTATAATCAACGCCTCTAAGCTTTTGAACGGTAAATATTCCATTCTCATCTTCAGACAGTAGAAAAGAAAGTTGAGCTAACACCTAATCACAGACGACTCATCTGCACCACTCCATGTGCTTGTGTGGGCCATTCAGACTTTCATCACTACCCTTACTTGTGTGGTGGAGGTATGGAGCTGGGCTGATCGTACAACCGACCAGAAGATGAATATTAGCTTGCTCTATGTTCCATATATGATATTCGGTGAGCTTATACGCCTCTTTTCCTGTACGATTCTCCTAAAGCTAATCAAATCACACAGCTGGACTCGTTGGACTAGACATGTTTGTCCGTTTAGGAAGCGTTTTGAAGAAACTCAAGCGGGATTGAGGAACCCTTTTTTCAACGCTTGGTATACAGCATATTTAGACTATTTCCGTATCAAATTCTAGACTAGCTAGTTAACTAACTGGTTAGTTACCTTGGTGGCCTGCAATAGACCTCACGGAGAAGGACGCAAATAGAATACCATCCCTTGAATTCCAGGGATCGTACCATAATTCCTCACAACATTCCGTCTGTCTCGTACTCTCTTTCATGCTACTTGTCGGAGCTTTCATCGAATCCAAATATGGTTCCGGTAAAAGGCTTGGCATCGGCCGCTCTGCGTCACAGACTCAAACGAGCTTATCAGATCGCGGATCGTCGTTGGATCCCGAAAAAAATGTATTTATAGCGACGCACAACCACATCGCCCTTTGTTCATATATTCAGCCCCGGTCGGATGCATCTATCTGCTCTGTGCCATTGCTCATGCTTGAGTGAGATGTTATGATGAATCCAAAGGCAGCGCTCCGGCTGCGGCTGCTCCAACACCAGGTAATTATATGGAAATTTACCGCATCCTTGCTCACCGTACAGCTTGAGCTGAAAGCCGTGCTGACTCTTTCTCCAGCCTAATACTTCTCGATGCCACGGCTATGGCAGCCTACCTCCTTCGAAGCGACGTTGCTTCTCCCACTTCACTCCGGCTCCGTCCCCGTCGCTCGTTCACCGGATCCATGCCCATACTCAATACCCAGTCGAGATCCCGGACCAGCTAGGCCAAAGTGCGAAGGAGAAGGAGGAAGATAAAGTCGGTGATATGATCTCCTCGAGACAACAGAGCCATTCTAACTTCCCGGCTGCAGGAATTCTTCCTCGATCTCCTAAGCTCGGCAACTACAAAGCGTGAAGCCAAGTCATATCTGTCCCGGTTTTCACCCCAACCACCACCCAGCAATGCACAGCAGGAAGATAGGGTCTCGACCAACCCCCAAGCAGCAGACACTGGGAGAAAATACACAGAAGTGTCTATAACAAGCTCCACCGGAGAAAAACTATCACCCACATATGATATATCAAAGCCCAAGGACACAATTACTGAAAGCTTGCATGTTGCTCTCGTGAAAATCAAAAACCCGGAGTCACTAGACGAGCAATGTCTCCACGGTATTTCCAAGACTCTGTCACAACTAAGCAGGCTTTCTATGTGCTGCTGCATTGTATTAGAAGTGAATACCCCTGGAAATGACATTGACTACCGGAAGCTTGCGTCCACCCAAGCCAGTCGCATTGCAGCCAGAATTGATAAAGTTCACAGCCCAGGTGCACGGCGACTAGATTCTGCAGTGTCTCTAGATCCGTCTACACATGATGTCTCCATTCTGTCAAGGAATTTCCTTCTTTCGCCCCTTTCTCGTGGCCAGATAGTGGTGATTGACCCCGTGGGGTACACAAACGATACGTCGAAAGCTCTCCCAGTTGCAGCAGATGAGATCATATTGGCATTAACAAAGGAGCTAGCTGGTTTATCTAGCAAGTTTGGCCTAAGTGAGGCTTCTGCTGACACGGTCCAAAATGTTCCGCAACCACAAAGGGATATATCAATTGAAAGATTGATCATTCTAGACCCACTGGGTGGTATTCCGTCCCTAGGCCGTGGACTGCATAAATCTCATGTGTTTATTAATCTTGAACAGGAATATGAAGATATACAAAACGAGATAACCCAAGCAATCCCTAACCCGCCAGAATCAGCTCACAGTGGACTTCAGGCCGAGTTGGAAGGCCATCTGGCTAACCTAACCTTACTACAGAAAGCACTTGCTCTCCTCCCTACCTCTTCCTCCGGCCTTATTACCACTCCTCAAGGCGCAACGACCTTACCTCTAAATCATAATGGCATCTATGGAACCCCAGCCGTGGGTACTCGCCAGCGGCGGAATCCCTTGATCCATAACCTTCTCACAGACAAACCTGTTCTTTCGGCTTCACTGCCTGCCAGACGCCGTGGTGGGGAAAAGTGTGATAATGACCCTAACAGTCAACCGTCCCATCCTACTTTTGTGAAGCATGGTATGCCACTTATCATGATCCCTGACCCCCGGGTTAAATGCTGGACCGCAGCGCACAACGACGGCTCCCGCATAAATCTAGACGATCCTGCAATAGATCTGCCACGGCTAGTCCATCTCATTGATGACTCGTTTAACAGAAAGCTTGACGTCAAACATTATTTGGATCGTGTGAAGGATCGGTTAGCGGGCTTGATTATTGCCGGGGAGTATGAAGGGGGAGCAATTTTAACTTGGGAGCTCCCTCCAGGTGTCCCTGATGACGGTAGTCCTGAAAGCATGTCCCGAATGGTTCCTTATCTGGACAAATTTGCCGTCTTAAAAAGAAGTCAAGGGGCAGGAGGTGTTGCTGACATCGTATTTAATGCCATGGTGCGAACCTGCTTTCCAGAAGGTGTTTGCTGGCGAAGCCGAAAAAATAATCCTGTCAACAAATGGTATTTCGAGAGGTCGAGAGGGACATGGAAACTCCCAGACTCTAATTGGGCAATGTTCTGGACTACCGACAATGTCCCAGAGAATGAGCAACTTTTTGAAGATTATGAGAGTGTCTGTCGCTCAATTCAACCGAGCTGGGCAGATAATAAAAAAGAAGTGGATTGATGTTCGGCATGATCTATATACGAAATCTTTGTCTCGGGCTATGTTCAAAAGCTTCAATATATATTTTTCTCGTGACGTGAAAATGAAACTGGTTCTCAGTGGAAGAAAACATATATAATATCAGGTATAAGTTCGGAAACACTGAGCTTGTTCTGGACAAGTATCTAGCTGAACGATTGGGGGCATGGCTAGTAATTTTGAAGCAACTAACTACCTTGGCATCTTGGGAGATACCCCTCGAGGAGGACTACGGATGCGTGCAACTAACGTATTCGCTAACTAATACTGGCCCGGAACATATGGGTCCATATTACCACAACCACTGTGGGGCGAGGATATTTCGCGCCGGTGTTCATGGTATAAATACCTTTCCTTGACCCATCTTCCTACATTTCGGGTTATGTTGATATATATTTCATTGCCATCAACCGTTAGCCCCTTTCTACACAGAGTCATGGTTCTCCAACGCTTCAAGCTTATGCTAGTTTACATTCGACATTTGATACCAATTGCCTGGACCCTGCTCTCCGAGAAAGCAAAGGGACTCTTTCATAAACTGACATACCGGACAACCGAGTCTTGCAAGAATGTAGTCATAATTGGAGGCTCATTCAGCGGACTTTATTTAGCCCAGAAGCTGATTCAATCTCTCCCTACCGGTCATAGGGTGGTCTTGATTGACAAGAACTCCCACTTCAACTACACATTCAACTTTCCTCGCTACTCAGTCCTGCAGGGCCATGAGCACTTGGCTTTTATCCCATACGATGGCATTGCCAAAGATGCTCCAGTCGGTATATATCAACATGTCCGTGGGCTTGTTACCTCCGTTACTAGGGATACAGTCACTTTGGAGACTGGAGAGATAATCCCATATACTTATCTTGCCTTTGCAACCGGCGCAACTCAGAAACCTCCTGCAGGATTGTTAGCCACCGAGGCTCAAGAAGGATGTACTGAATTACGGGATAGGCAGAAATCCATCATGGAAGCGAAGAATATTGCTGTGATTGGGGGTGGGGCAGTGGGGGTTGAACTGGCAACTGATATCAAAAGCTACTATCCAGAAAAGAGTGTGACATTGATTCATTCGCGCGAACGCCTCCTCCCACGATTTGGCGGTCAATTGCATGAGAACGTGATGGATGCGCTTCAAAAACTAAACATAGAGGTGCGGTTGGGAGAACGACCCAAGCTACGCTTCAGAAACGAAAAAGGAGAGTCGGAGCAAGAAAAGGACCAATCGTTGCTTTTCTCAGACGGCAAGGTTGTTGCATACGACTTAATTGTAAGAATCGCGGAGTAGAGATATCCGAACCGCCTTTTCCGTACCTGTGCTAATGAACAAGTCACATAGGTCCCCTGCACGGGTCATCGCCCCAATTCCGACCTTGTCGCCAACCTTGAACCGGATGCTATCTCCAAATCTACAGGTCGTATCCTTACCCAACCCACCCTTCAGATCGTCAGCAAAGATGGACAGAATCCTAGAGTTTTTGCTCTCGGTGATGTAGCCGAGACAGAAGGCACTTTGATGGCCCGATCAGCATATTTCCAGGCACGAGTAGTGGGAGAGAACATTCTCAGTATGATTCGAGGGAGTGACCCAAAGGCAAAATATGTGCCAAACCTTGCCATTGAGGGGGCACTAAAATTAACTGTAGGCAAGGTAAGATTGCTCTCGTAAAACGCGGTTATCTATGGATGATCATCTGTTTGTAAAGCTGCTAAAATCTCTTCTCAATAATAGTCGGACTGGCTCATGTATGTGAAGCCTGCTGATAGTGACGCAATCATTGACTCCGGAAACAACGGCAATGAAGATTTGGATATACACGTAGCCTGGAAACACTTTGGTGGAGATATCAAGAATGCTAATAGCTTGGCTGAAAAGTTGAGCTCGGTACAGTAAATTACTTGGTTATGTACGGAGTACCCAGCACTTTGAGAATAAATTTAGCTTATGTACTCCACAAATATTTATCTGATCGCTTCCTTCGGCCGGTTCAGGCGAATCATCACCGCTACACGCTTGCAAGGGCAAAGCGGACAAGTGTGGTTGAAGAGAGCAATTTCCTTTTTAAGTTTCCAGTGGTGGGCCTCGGGAGTTAAACTTTGTCTTATCTGATTGATTGATGATCTGATAAGACAAACCAGTCGACCCAGAGGACAACTAGGGTGTAAACATACCTAGCTCTTGCTTGATTCGTGACTAGTTATCTATTTTCCCGGCCTTTTACCCCCGTTTTAGTCTCGTCTCTAACCACATGTACTAAAGTGCCTGGGATATTTTAACCTAGGGGTATACACTGAATCTAAGTAGATATGAAAATGATATCTTTCTCGGTTATCCTAGCTAAGCAGTCAAATACAAAGAAATGAACACTACTTTGTTCCCTTTTTCATACTGACCCAACACCCTTCACCGCTGGATACAACTAGTGTCAAGGTTTGTTTTTCTTCACCCAATGGTGCGCCTGGGACCTTCGTTTCTGCCTCCTCAATCGTTTCAAACGTCTGAAGTAATCGAACAACTGTATAGCCCACCTCCAATAGGGCAAATTCTTGACCTAGACATATCCGTGGCCCTCCATTAAAAGGCAAATAACCATAACCGACATCCTTGAGTGCATCATTCTCCCAGCGTTCCGGTCTGAAACAATCAGCGTCGGGTCCATATATATCTTTACGGCGGTGCATAGCGTAGACGCAATACCCAACGGCTTCACCGCGTCGGACCAGAAGCGGAGCTGAACCGTCGGGACCACCGCCAGTTGGGAGAGTGGTTGTCTTTACAGCCGCACGAGAATTCACAGGGACCGAGGGATATAAGCGAAGAACTATTGACCGGTAAGCTTAGTGCTACGTAATAGACTGGACAAAGGGAGTTATATACCTTCTTTGATGACTAGCGACAGGTATGACAGCTTCTTGACCTGGCTAATTGTGGGATCTGGTGCATCCGGACCCATGCCGATTGTATCTCTGACTTCGTCGCGAAGTTTAGATAGAACGTCCGGGTGCTGAACAAGCAGGCGACTTCATTTTCTGATAGTCAGCAGGGACCAGTAATACTTATTTTCATGGCGAAAACCTTGCAACTTACAGAGTCCATGTGAGACAACACGCCGTAGTGTCCCTCCCAGCCAAGAGAATATTCAGACATTGGTCCCTTAGTACGCTGGGTTCACGGGTTTCCTGGACAAGAGCGTCGATAAATACATATGTCTCTTTCTCCTCGTCGGAGACTTTCTTTTCACGAGAAGAATGTTTCAGGGCCTTTTGAACGGCATTATCTATGAAATCATGGCACACCTTACAGGCGTCCTTAAACTCTCGGCCTCCAAGAAGCCAGTATAAATCGCCTAGTCGGCCTCGCTGAGCGAGGTAGTCTTGTCCTAGGTTGAAAGCATTTGCAAATTGAGATTCGTGGCCTGTGATGCCTTCAGACTTCAGAGAGGGTAGGTAGTGGCCAAATAACAGGAAGAGGGTTGTTTCGAAGGTGAGACGAAAAAAGAGGGGTTGTAAATCAACAACTCCAGAGTCCGGCACACTTGATATGAGGTTGTTTACAGCATGTCTGATTTGCTCGAAATTACGGAACCGGTTGGTCATGAACTGGGGCCGTAAAAGCTCGCGTGAGTGTTTCCATTGCGGCCCATCTTGGGTGAATATGCCACTACCTAATAAAGGGGCGAAGGTTGGAGGTCTCAAACCAAGTCCAAAGTCTTTCAGGCGCCAATTAGTTAGTAGTTGGAAAACACAATTTCATCTAACACCGTTACCAACCAGTAAATTGCGTGGACAGAATAGCCTCAATATTCCGGGGTTCAACTGTGTCTATTCCTCGGGCAAAAAGGAGGTTTTGTTCAAATGTGCTCCCCGAAGCTGCAACCTCCTCGAGGAAGAGTTGGAGTATTTGTTGCCTTTTTTCGTAGCGAACTGCTTTTACAAGCATATCAAGTCCCAGTGGCCATTTTGCGCTCCATTTTCGAGGCGGCTGGCATCCCTTTGATGCAGCAAACTGTTCGTCCTCCTGTACTTCAGGTCAGTACTTGTCTTGTGTGCTGTCTTGAGCTGCCCATTAAATATCAAAGGAGTTTCGCCTGCGGCAACTATTTAAGCGCCGAGGCAAAATACACAACTTTCTGGTGCGACGTACACGTGACTGGTTGTAGGACCTGACAAGTTTGTAACATATTAGGGGGAGAACTAAACAAGCAACGATGAGACTGAGCATGTCGCGTGCAAATGGGTATGTCTTGATATCAGTTTAGAGAATAGTCGCGAGGATGGCCTCTCACCATCATGGAGATTGTGTCTTTTTAAAAGGGCGCCTGTGAACCAACCCCCCCCTGTCGTGTTTTGATTCTAGCCAGGATGCAGAAAATACTACGTCGCGGGACCAGTGACAGCCATGCACAATGCGACAGATGTCACGCCCTAGCATGGACATTTGGTAAGAAGCCTGGGGTGTTGATATATTAAGCCACTGTGTTGATTGGCCCTAGGGTGCATGGGTTTATGCACAGTCAGGCGTAACGAGAATAGTTGCCGCGGGCACGGCGCGAAGAATGGTTTCGGCCCCAATTAGAGAGACAAGGCGCTCCAGCCTGGAGAAGGCTCAAGAGATCAAAGCAGGCATTCTCTCGAGGGATCGATCTCCTCAGTTAAACACTTGACCAAAAAGTTAATAACCGCATAGCTACTGAAGTTGAACATCGTTTAAGGGATAACTACACCTAGAGAAGGATACTGGCACTTCTTATCCGATGGGCCTTTCAATGGATTAGCTATGGATCCACTTTCTATTGCGGCTGGTACTATTGGCATTGCAGACGTCTGTTGGCGTGTTATCAAATATCTCAAAGACCTTCCTGCAGCCGTTGCGGGCGTTCAGAAGGAAATCGACAGCTTGATCGCAGAGGTTGAGTCCCTACGGACTGTTATTCGGTCTGTCGAAGAAGCATTTGAAGGAAGTTTCGCCAAATCATCAAGTGAATCCCCACTGAGGGCAGCCAACCTTCAGAGCTTGTGGAAAGACTTCAAAAGGAGCCTTGAAGGGTGTCAAAACCTTGCAACTGACCTTGAACACCTGGTTCAGGAAATATACGGTAAAAATGGTGCCAAAGTCACCAGCAAGCTTGATGGATTGAGCAAAGAGAACCGCAGGCGGGACAAGGCTGCCGGTTTGCAGAGGGTCCGTGAAAAGCTCTCGACTGAGAAAGACAACCTCCAAATCCTCCTTACCGGAATCAGCTTGTGAGTATAACCAAATATCCGTCCAAATATCCGTTGTATGTAAATCTGGTGTAGTCCTAGATGGTTGACCATGGATTAGATATAATCACCATGTCTCACAAGATACCCTGGTTCAAATGTCCAAGGACCTTAGGTCTTTGGACCAAGATTTTAAGACACAAATAATGTCCCTGGAAAGAAGGATCCAACTGTCTGATGGTATCGGGACGGAGCCGGACCAAGAAGACATATCAAAACTGTCCAGAATCAAGCAGTTCCGCAGTTCTGTACGATCTGTCGCTGCAGCAGTTTCTATCACTACTCCAAATAAGTTCTTTGACGTTCCTCAACCGGTTAGCAGCTTTTATACTGGGCGAACGATGTACTTAGAGCAACTTCAAAATATACTTTTCTCCCCGGTGACTCTAGGGTTGGCACCTAAACAGCTTCGATTTGTTATATATGGCATTGGCGGTTCGGGGAAAACACAGTTCTGCTCAAAGTTCGCGGAACAGAACCGAGACTGGTAAGTCTTCTACCCTTAGATACCTTAATATTGTAGCAGATAAGAACTAATTCTCTCGTTCAGCTTTTGGGGAGTCTTTTGGATCGACGCCAGCTCTCATGAACGAATTAGACAGACATATGCTGAGATTAGCAAACTTGGAGAAGTTGAACCAAACCATAATGCTGCAATGCACTGGCTCTCCAACCGCGAAGAGCGATGGCTATTGATTATGGACAACGCTGATGATCCTCATATTGAGCTATACGAGTATTTCCCTAAAGGAGATAGGGGCTGTATCATTATCACAACACGGAATCCTGCGCATAAGGTATATGGCAATATGGACCCTGGTTTCTTCGAGTTTCAAGGCATGGAGGACGATGACGCACAAGCTCTTCTCCTACGAGCTGCTCGACTATCTGAACCTTGGGATGCAGATTCTTCCTCGTGGGCAATTAAAATCACTCGGCAACTTGGGTTTCTCGCACTCGCACTAATTCATGCTGGTGCTGCTATACGAAATGGCTTATGTACCCTGAAAGACTATCTATCATTCTACGATAAGAATTGGGAACGTATCCGACGCACTCGCAGGCTATCAATCGATTCCGAAGATCGACGAGATGATTATATGAGTGCTCACGCAACATATGAAGTCTCCTATAGTGGCATTGCAAGAAAAGGGACCGAGTCTTCGGAAGATGCCATACAATTACTTAAGATATTTTCCTTTTTATACTTTAAGAACATTCGATTTGATATCTTAAAGAAGGCAGTGATTAACTGTGAGATCGAGAGAGCTGAGCAAGAAAGGAAAGATCGACAGGAGGCAGAACGACCATTGACCTGGCATCAAAAATACAAATCCATGCAGTTGGCCGTATTGAGTTATTTGATGCAAGACCGGAGCCCGCCTGCGCTGCCACTCTCCATTCGAGAAGGCAGAGCTTCCGGTTTTTTCGACGAGGTACGAATACGCTACGCACTGAGAGAACTCATACAAATGTCCTTGATTACCCACCATGAGACCAGTGACAGTTATTCGATGCACCCCTTGGTCCATAAGTGGGCACGGGAAAGACCAGACATGAGTGCATCAGAACAGGCTGTTTGGTCACAAGCGGCAGCAACAACGCTGGCCCACTCTATTCTTCTTCCACCCCTCGGGGAAACAGAAGATGATGAAATTTTTCGCCGAGATATTCTCCCCCATATCGACCATGTACAGAAGTGCCTGCAAGGAGTCAACGACAAAATAATTGCTAACAGGAGACAGCGTTGGTATGGACTACTAGATTGGCCAGGAGCCGAATCGAGGTTTGGCCGAGAGAAAGCAGTGTTATATGCAAAATTCAGCATTGTATTTGCACAGAATGGACGCTGGAGTGACGCCGAATCGCTTCAGCTAGCTGTTAAGCGGTATGCAGAGGGTGTCCTTGGCTCGGATCACGCTGTCACCCGTCGGATAACGCTAGCTTTGGCCCTAACCTACTGGAATCAGGGACGAGGTGATGAGGCCGCAGACCTGCAAGATGCAGTTTTGCAGTCCTGCATGTCATCCTTAGGTCCTAACAACCATGAGACATTGATGGCCATGGACCTTCTTGGACAGGCAAGGTGGCAGCAAGGGAGGTATAGTGAAGCAAGAATGCTTCAACAACATGCCGTTGACGGCTTAGTCAAAATCCGAGGTCCTCGCCATGAAGATACCCTCACCGTCATGGGAAACTTGGGTCGGACTCTTACGAAATTCTATGAAAACTTGGATGATGCGAAGCAATTGTTAACGCAAGCCCTTGATGGAATGAAGGAAATTCTTGGTCCTACTCATCTGAAGACATTAGCAGTTAAGGAAGAAATAGCCATGGTCAACGTGCAAATGGAAAAACAATTGACCCAGTCTGCCACGATAATTGAGGAGGTCCTTGAATGCCGCAAGGAGAAATTAGGCAAGGAGCACCCATATACACTTCTTGCCATGGTTAATCTAGCACGAGTGAATATTGCCCTAGGGTTCTACGATGAAGCAGAGGCACTCGTACGAAAAGGACTAGAAGTTGCGGATAGGAACCTCGGTCGCAAGCACATAGGAACCTTGATGGGACGGACAGTATTAGGTGTCATTTTGACCTGCCAGTCTCGATTTGATGAGGCAGAAGAGACTTTGCTTGGGGTGATTGAAAACCTGCGAAATCTCTCATCCTACCGAGGAGATTTCCATCCTGACCGTCTAGGTGCTATGATTGAACTTGCCAAGTGCTATAAGCTACAAGGCAGATACGATGAGAGCATTAATCTCTGCGACGAGACTATTAAGGGACTGAGCAAGATAAGCTTGAAAGAGCATCCACTTGAAAAGAAAATGAAGAGATTGAAAGTGGAATTGATCGAGATGAAAAAAAGCAATAAGGAACGGGAAGCAACTAGCCATTAGAATAGCCACAGATAAATCAATGCACTGTATAATGTACAAGCAAACTAGCCATATTTGTTAAAAATATATAGTCTTTTAAGATGTCGTGGGTGTTTCGTCCTCATATAAAGTGCAAAACTAAAAATATACAATTTAAAGTTTTAAACTTTCTTGGGAGAGCACGGACCACTCTCTTTTTATCGCGGAGTTGAAAATGACGAGAAATCCAAAGAGCATCGCAACAAGCGGTTGAATATCTATGTCCATGTTATGCCTCTTGAAGATGAGGAGATGAAACGACAATGCCAATATGCATAGAGTGCTGTTACCCTGTTTCCCACCTTTACACCTCATACAGCAAGGCCGATGATCGTGCTTTGGGCAAGGGAGTCCGTCTAACGCAATGTGCACGATGTCAACGATTTGCGGATAAATACGTCGAACATGACTTTGTTGTGCTTTTCATTGATTTAGTTTTAATCAAGCCGCAGGTAATACGCCTCAACCGTCTCCTGTTTTCGGTATCTTTTCTCATCTGACCTCTGCGGCTATAAGGTCTACAGACACCTGCTATTTAACAGACTTGGACGGGATGATGATAAATTTGATGTAAGGACATTTGACCCCGCTGATAGATGCTATTAACGATGGTTATTTACTGATAGCTGGGACCTTATTGCAGCGCTCTATTATCCGTCTCGGGATCCTGATCCTCCTTTTCGACGTCTACCTCTCCTGGGCGCGCATCGAGAAGTCCTCTGCAATCGCCTCCTCACGGCTCGGAAACACCCCAATAATAGTACAATATGTATTTTTCCTCACACTGAACGCCCTCGCGACCCTCGCGCACCACGTCACGGTTCGATTCCTGGCCACGATTCTTGTTCTGAAACCTGCGACACAGTCTCAGAAGGCCCATGAAGCTCCACAGCGTGCGAATACTCTCCCGTCCTCGCCATCTGACGCTTACGCAACCGGAAGCGCCATACCAGCGCAGTTTTCAGCAAATCCCAACTCAACAGGTGGATCAAGCACTGCTGACCTGGCTCGATCGTCGTCTGGTAGTGATACTGTTGGTGATGGGGCTCAGAGTGCTACACCGTTACCTACGCTCTCCGTTGAAACCGACTTCCCTCCGCTTCTCAGACGATCGTCCACTGCACCCCCACAGATACGCCCAATCCCTCCTCCGGCGCTCGCTAGTCGAAATGCAATAAGCACAGCTCTCCTGGTTAGCAGCTGTACCAAGCTTTTCCCGATACTGCTTGTGATATGGGGTACGGATGCGTCTGGGGAAGCTTCAGGTGCATTGGAAACGTCATTCCCACCCACTGGCAGCGGTGAAGGGGAAGCTGCCTTGAATTCTTCCATATGGTCGTCGCAATCTCTCCAGTCAGTTGTCCAGAGTACGCTCTTGACCCTTGCCCAGCCGTGGTCATCACTTCTTTTGTCCGTGACAAATACCCACCTGGTGCTATTAAATAATACCGAGGCTTTGCTTATTCTCTTGGATTGTGGCTATACTTATGCCATTGCGATGACACTTGGGGGGCAATTAGCTAGATGGGCTGTAGAAAGGTGTTTCCTAAGCCTTGTAGGGCTGTAATGTGTAATATACGGAGCTTATGAATGAAGATATGAAAATATATTCGACCCAACGGCAAAAAAAGAGTGACGTCAAGACGGATGAAGTAAAATCAGAATGTATCCGTAATGTGTACTCTCTTGGGTATGGTTGTATATAAGAATACCCATGGAAGAAAAATGATATTACCCAGTGATATATAATGCTACAGTTCCTCATCAAAAGGAAAATCTGTGAAACTGAAAACGAAAACCGCTGAAAGAAAAACCCAAGGAACTATAATAATATCAACATCTCAAATATCCGCATTTGTTCATGGATCAATGGGCGTGGTGTGGTCTTCGATCACTGCTCTTCGGTACGAATAAGGGGTGTAGTTGCGCGAGGAATGTTACGGCTGTGATAATATGCATTAGCACGGGAATATGAATAGCGTCAATAAGGCCGGAGGGCATAACTTACCCCACATAAGATAGCAGAATGTGAATCCAAGAATCAACGAACTTCGCCATACCCTGCATATTCAATCAGTTAGCCATGTAACCCCCAGAACGCAGCAGCTGCCTAGCGAGAAGATTGTGCGTATATTGCCGATAGACGTATACACCGCAATGTCGATAGCTCTGTAGCCAGTCTGATATAGAGACATGAGGAAATAGGGCGATGGAACTAACGGTCTAGTTTCTCCCTTTGGGCTGAATACCCATGCTAGCGAATTTGCAAGGACGACGAAAACGAGTCCGATGATGACGCTCCAGCTAAACGACACAAAGTAAGTCAGCGCAAATGCTCTTATGAAAGACCAAGGGGAGGTCATGTCTTTTACCCGTTAGCCATATTGTCTCTCCTATGCTTGTCAACCTCGATGTCCTCAGCTGGATATGTTCCGGGAATCGTCAATAGTCAAGAGTCGGAAATGGGAGGCTGCTCGTGGCAACGGAGCAGAAGGGAATCCTCGGGGACGCAGCTGGGAAAAACAAGCTCCCCCTTGCGTGTATAAAGATGAGCTCCGTGTGAAGTGAGCGTGCTGGCTGCGGTGTTCCTTGATGCTTGATGCTGTCCGTGAGCAGACTCTCCGATGATGAAGTTGAGATTACATAAGCAAATATACAGGCCAAAGCTTATCTTGAGCCTCTGATTGGCCAGGGCAAAGCTCCTGTTTTTGAGGTTCGATATCAGTTTTCGACTACTATCTCTACGAAGGTACACTCTTTGGAGTGATGACCTTGTACTAACAGACTACTCTCTAGGAGTAAAAGAGAAAACATCTTATCTGTGGGGTATTAGAAGTTATTGCATTGTCTATTTTCTGTCTAGGTGCGAACGCGTCTCTGACCGTCTAGCTGCAGGTCTCGATCGGCTCGAAGTATGTCATCATGATTCCCTCCAACAATGGCTTCGCGACGGTCTTCAGTGCGGCGTGGGCCTTGCAGTCGTTGTCATAGAATTTCATGTCATCCTCGGAGGCAAACTCGGATACGACGGCGAGGTTGAATCCCTGGCGGCGCTGGTCCTCGAAGGTTGATCCGGCCTTGACGGAGAGGATATATGGAGCACCATCCTAGAACCATGCCGACTTGATTAGCCATGTCCTCCGCTGATAGTTGGACGATTCGATGCACCCAATGGAATCAGCATGACAAATCGGCCTCTCCCTCACGGCCAGAAGCATGAGAATGATGCCCAGTATGTCTTACCTTGAGAGCGTCCTTCTGCATCGTGCGGTACAGAGCAAGGACGGTCTTGCGGTCCTCCTCCTTGGGGATCTTGAATAGGGTGACGCGGCAGATCGTCATGGTGACAGAAGTGTATGTGTGTGTATGTCTTGTGTGTGCTGTTCTTCCTCGGGAACTCTGGCTATACGGCGTGGCCAACGAAGCTGGAACGCAGGAGTTGCAAGCTGAAATAGATGCTCTCTTGTCGCTCTTGTCTCTTCCCCTCCTGCTTTTCCAGCTATCGTGACCTTTATCTTCTCCCCCTCGATGCTCCCTGCCTGCTTACCTACTTGCTGCTTCGGAAAACATCCGCGATACCGCTTATTAACGGCTTTGGAGGGAGCCTGCGTCACGTGGAGAGACTCTCCCCCGAAATGCAGAAACCGGCAAACCAACTACTTTGACGATATACACTTGGACGTTGATACTCTTATCGATGGCGGCGGCGGCTGTGGCCTGCGATTGTCTGTGGAAGAGATGGCTCTTAGCATATATGACGAACATACTCCGTATATTCGGGAAATGCCTAGAGCTTGGAGGCCAAGATAACCTACTCTATCTATGCTCAGCCAATCTTTTTCGGATTTAGCCGGTGGCTGGCCACGAACCTGCTAACCGGCTCCCAGACTCTCTTGCCACTGTCTAAGATGTTCAGGAAAAAAAATATGGCAAATTACGTCCACAGACTCGTTCTGGCAGCAGTTCCTAGAAATGTGCTGGAGGAACGGACCGTTGCCATGTGAAACTGAGCCCTTTTGCCTCCTCCGAGCAGTTAAGCTTATAGCCTGGAAGTTATACTCCGTACGGAGTAATTATTTTGACACTGGTTTAAAAAAAAATAGGGAAAAAATAGGGGAAGAAACACTCCAGCTATCAAAGAAAGCGAGCAGGCTATGTGGTTGATGAACAAATACGACAGGCCGTGGTCGTCGTCCGCCCTGCCATTGGGATATCCGGACGTCCTGGCGGGCAGCCTTGTTCTACTTAAGGGGGATCCCTGGGCTATATGTTCCTGTCTACCCCATATATATAAGTATAGACTCTGCTGGGAGCCGCCACCTAAAACGCAAAAGCTCCTCGCCCGGACGCTGCAATGGAGGTTGCCAAAGGCTCGTTTCTCGCTCCCCCATGGCCCTGAGGGAATTACTGAGCACTCCATATATGTAAACGTAATACGAAGTGGTAGTGCACGATGATCAGGAGCTGCCGGAGCGACAAGTGGCCTAAACCGCCCTCCCAGGATCCATCGCTGCATGTCGATGCCTGTCGAGTGCCAATTGAACAGCGCCAGCAGATCTCGCATGTCCCAACGGCTTCTGTCTTCATCCCACATAAGTAAGTATATAGTAGCTAGCTGCACAGAAATACTTTTATACTTAAATCGATGCCACTCTTGCTTTAGCTCTGCGTCCAGTGCATCCCACGCTTCCTCGTCCTATCAGCGTTCCTCAACCCCGAAAGCCTCCCGGGCCTCGCTGCAAAGAAACGCCGGGCGAAGCTACCAAACTTCCACATGCGTGATGACAGGCCTGGATGGCCACCGTCGCCCGCCAGCGGTTGATCATGGTATTACATATTGTTATTATTAAACGGCTGGCTTCATGGCTCGCCTAGCCAAAGCCAAAAGGGCCTGCTCTGCCTGATTAACTAGCTTTCGACACCGCCGGCGATGACGTTGGAGCTTCAATGGAGCCTCTGAAGGACCCTGGTCCTGGGTGGCCGCAGTAATATAATTGAATTCTCCCTTCTTGCGACAGCCAAAAAGTCGTACGCCTCCCCGTCGCCTTTCCTCTCCTCCGTTCGAGCAACCTCCCAGGCACCGCGAACGAAAGAAAAGAAAGAAAAGAAAGAAAGATACCCCTTGGGAGCAGCAAGCGAGCGTCTTCCATTCCCCCATGCCCTGTTGCGTGCGCCCCAGAGCCGTTGAATCATAGCATTATACATCCATATCCATACAGTAGCTATATATATATATATACAGAGTACTTTATATATATATATATATATGCTACATTACACGGCAGCGCCCACTGCCCGCCCTCAGCTCCTGCAGCCCTTCCGACCAGCGCCCGGCTCTGGATGTTGTCATTTCAGGACCATGACTCGACGTTTACCATGCTCAATGACCTCGGCCCTGAGCTCTTCCGCAACCGGCCGCAGACCCTGCGCACGCTCTACACGGCCGTCCTCGCGGTTGCGATCTACAACTGCCTGGAGCTCGTCCTGCTCATCTTCATGACATTCAGCAAGTATGAGGGCCTCTACTTCTGGAGCCTGCTGCTGGCCACCGTCCCTGGAGTGCTGACGGACGCCATCTTCCTGCTCATGTACTACTACATGAAGCTGCCGCCGGCGGTCGCCTTCGCCTTCGCCAGCATCGGCTGGTGTTTCATGATAACCGGACAGGCCCTGGTCCTGTATTCCCGTCTCCACATGGTGCTACATAACCGATTGGGGCTGCGACTCGTGCTGGCCATGATTGTCATCAGCGCCATCCTCTTCCATATTCCCGACATCGTCACCGGGTTCGGCTCGATCGTCCCCAATCCAGCCCGACCCCAGTTCGTCCGCGCCTTTCACATCATGGAGAAGATCCAATTGACCGGATTCTCGGTGCAGCAGTTCATCCTCTCGGGGCTGTACCTGTATCTCGCGACCGGCCTGCTGGCCTTTGTGTCCGCAAAGGCCCGTCGAAAGGAGCTGCACCGGCTGATCGCCATGAACGTTGCCATCATCATCATGGACGTCGCCCTCGTCGTCTTCGTCTACCTGAACTGGTGGGTGGCGCACGAGTCGCTCAAGCCGTTCGTCTACAGCATCAAGCTGAAGCTCGAATTCGCCGTGCTGCGGACGCTGGTCTCCATGTCCAAGTCGGCATCTGCTAATTTGCCGGACTTCGTCGATCCCGATCGGCTCGAAGGGGATGTCAGGTACGCCCCATCGATACCGATGTCCCGGGTGCGACGGCATCGACACCCACATCGGACGGACTCAATGCTGTCAGACGAGGTCGGATGGGACCAGACCAGCACAGCGCACACGACCAGCTCGAGTCTGGAGCGCTTCAGCGCCGCCGAACACGCAGAGGACGAGACTCCTCTCCAGTCCAACAACAACATGTATGTTTTCAATAAGCGATCAAAAACATACCCGTGAAGTCTGTTATGAATATGAAACAACATTTTGCGCAACTTAATTAAAACAAAAAAAAGAAACCGTTTGAGCGAACAGATGGACTGACTAATCTACGTTTTTTTCATTTATCAAGTTCACATTCAGGTAGTCAAGCTTTGAGCGCCAACCACGGCATTTCCTAATGCCCCAGGCGAGAAGGACGACGATGACAATATTGAAACCGACGAAACGCACGACGGCCATTCACCACCCCCTGACTAGTACAATGGCTTTGAGCCCTCCGTCGTTCGAAATGCTTCTTCCAGAATGTTGAGTCCGTCCTCCAGCTGTTGCTGGGTTATCACAATAGGCGGTGCGATCCTCAGACAGCCATAGAAGCTACCCTGCGAGGAAAGCATAGCAGAAACACCCAGCTCAAAGGCTCGCTCGGAAAGCCGTCTGCCCAGATCGGTATCTGCCTTCTTCGTCTCACGATCTGAAACAATCTCGACCCCGGCCATGAGCCCACGGCCACGTACGGTGCCAATACAGCCGTATCGAGCCATCAAACGCTCTAACCCCGCATGTAACAGCTTCCCGAGAACAGCGGCTCTTTCAACCAGGTTATCCCGTTGAATGATCCGAAGCACCTTGAGCCCAACCGCGGCGGGCAAGGGGTCGTTGACGTGGGTGGTATAGAACAGGAAGCCAGCGGCATCAGCCTCGGCTGCTATCTTGTTACTGGTTATTGTCGCGGCCAGCGGCAGGCCGTTACCAAGGGTCTTGCTCAGGGTCAGGATGTCTGGGACAACTCCGTGGTGGTTTGAAGCTATTAGATCGCCGCAACGTCCCATGCCGGTTTGAGCCTCGTCGACGATCAGGAGCATCCCTCGCGCCTCACAGTGGGCTTTCATGGCTTTCATATATCCATCCGGCAGCGTCATCATGCCTCCAGAGGACAGAACTGGCTCCATGATTACGGCGGCCAGTGATCCGCAGGACTGTTTGTCAACCAGAGACCAACCATAGTCCAGCTCCGTTTTCCAATCATACGAGCCGTCAGCATGGCGGAAGATCGAGCGGTATTCGTCCGGAGCAGGCAGCATGAGGTTTCCCGGCATCTATATATCTCCCGTTAAACGTCAGAAGTGATATGAACAGGGGTGCGACGAAACAAGACGGACTCACCGTTGGCCCATATCCAGCCCTACCATTCCAATACTGAGCCCCGTTAGACCCAAACGTCATACCATGCCAACTCGCCGCCAACCCCACGATCTCAAACTTCCCAGTGACCACCTTTGCCAACTTGATAGCACATTCATTGCTTTCGCTCCCGGTGCTTAAAAAGATGGCTTTGTCCAGTCCCTCCGGCAGGGCCTTGGTCAACTCCATTCCCAACTCGATCACGGGCGGAGACACCATGCTACTATACACATGGTCCAGCCCGATAGCATGCTTGGTGATAGTCTCGACGATTTCAGGGTGACCATGTCCGACCAGACAGGACATTTGGCCCGATGTCCAGTCCAGCACTTTCTTGCCTGACGCTGTCCAGAAGTATATGTTTTCCGTCTGAGTGACTACCTCGGGTAGGAAGTTGGAGCCATACTTCAGCAGACAGGCGTCGGCGTCTCTGAGGAGGGCTGCGTTGTCGACTTGTTCAGGCATACTTAATTCCCTTCTTCAGTCAGTAGTAGCTAATGAATTAATTTCTAATTGATCTTATCTCGATACAAACCTGAGGACGGTAGAATATTTATATAGCTACTATATACTAGTGCATTAATTCTATGACAACTTCGTCAGCCGTTGGAGAACCGAAGCCCGAGAGCCATCCTACAGCTAACTAGTGTGCGGAGAAGTCGCCGGGATTTTGTAGCCAAATTGAGCCTAGAAGCATTCACATCAAAGAGACGAAGAGTGTAGATAGACTTTCAGCCTCTCCAATGGCCGCCGAGCCATCGTATGCATGGTTGAGTTGGGCGAGAGGAGCCGTCCAGCCAAGTGTTACTCGTTTATTTGGTCCATGATACGATATGACTCAGGAAAAGGGGTGAGTTCCAGAATCTAGAATCCTGGGGAAATGCAGGAAGGAGGTGCATGTACGGAGTGTATATATATACGGATGAACTTATACCCAAGAATCAGACGTGGATCATTTGATACAGATATAACCAGGAACCTAGAAGATAAGGACATGGGAGAAAACTGGGGTCAAGAAGAGAGCAATGGGCCAAAGTACAGCATCTATACAGGCGTGTGAAACTACGAGTTCACGGCGGTACAGATAATAGGGACGGTGATAATCGTAATTATCTAACCGATTGATATGGAAAGGGTAGGAGTTATAGAAAGATATAAATATAGGAGTGTCCTCCAAGCTCTTTCACCGTCCAACTGTTGATTTTTTATTTTTTTTATGTCATGGGGTATAAGTAGACATTTACGCACCCTCTCGGCTCTTGCGGTAGTTTGCCTATTCATCAGTTAGTGACAATACAAGATAAAGCATCGAAAGAGAAAGGCAGATTATACTTCTTGCTCGACCTGCAGGCCATCAACGATGGGACCAAGTTCGCTGAGGATCTCATAGGCCTTCTTATGGTACTCAAGCTGAGCAGCAATCAGGTCTGCCAAATTGCGCAGTGGCTCAGGGGTATCAATGACCTGCATTTCATGTTAGATTTGAGAAGTATGACCCGGCGTAGTGGGCGACTTACGTTCTTCATTACGCCAACTGCCTCCTCAGTCTGTCCGACGAACTCATCCTCTGCTTGCTCAATCTCGGCGCGAGCATCTTCGCTCAGGTGGTCCATGTCCTTGGTGGCACCCTTAGCAGCCTTGGTCGAGTCAAGCATGAGTCTCGAGTTCTCAACATTCCTTCTTGCCTTGGTCGCGAACATGAGGTTGGTGTTGAGGGTGGTGTTCCATCCAGCAAGGAAACGAGACTGAATCTGAGCATCCTGCGCCAATCGAGCCTCTCCGATCTTCTCAGATGCAAGAGCGAACTTCTCTAGGCCAACTGCCAATTGGTCTTCGGTGCCAGGGGTGTTGGCATTGACGATGACCTGCGAGCTAGCAAGTGCGGCGCGGGCAATGGCATGACTGAAGGTCTTTGGCTGGGGCTTTGCAGATGGCGGAGCGGTTAGAGCAGACTGTGCCTCTCCTGGAGACGAAGCCTGCGAGAGAAGCTGAACCTTCTCGCTGATGGTGCGGCCTAGGTCGTTGAAGGATTCGCGGATGTTGGGTGGGTAGTCATAGGCCTCGTTCGAGTATTGCGAGCTGCAGGTTGAATACGACGGGTTAGCTTGGTGGAACAAAGCACATGGACACCGCGTGAGTAACGGGTATGCAGAAGAAGGTAGAACGTGGTGAAATAGAGCGGTCCTGCGGGTTCAAGTCATGGGGTCTAGCAAAACGTACGTGACCTGGAGGAGCTTCTGATGGACGGTCTTGAGCGCATCAACTCGCTTCTCGAGCTCGAGGTAATCATTTGGAAGTTGAGTCTAATGATGCCAAACGGCCATGCGCCGAGGAGCGTATATCAGCGTATTGCTCGGTTATACGTTGTGATGTGGTGGATGGATCAAGTGGTTTGTGGCAGTGATGGAAGGAAGCAGTACCCTCTCCTCAGCTTGACCAAGCTGTTCCTTGACGTACTGCTGCGTTCGGGCAGCAAAGGGACTGAACGTCGCACTGTAACGAGACTGCTGTCAGCTGCTGGCTGGATCAAGGGGGGCGATGGTAAGAGTAAGTAAGAGTCCTGCGCCTGCACCGCTGGCCGCCGCGTAGGTGGACTACTTATCAGGGTTGGCCTAGCTGGGGACAACAACATAAATAATACATACGTGAAGTTCTTCCCAAAGGCTTGCACTTTGTCCATGGCTGCGGCAGGGCTCTCCGGCTGGAGCGCGTATAGCTGTCGAAGAAGACGAAGAAGAGCTGGCTGTCGTCTGCCGTCTGGTCGTCCGGATGGATTCGATGCCCCGGGCTGGTGTTTTGGTGGTTCTCAGTTGGTTCGTTTGGAAGCTCGTGAAATAGTTAAAAAGAGCGAGAGTCGCAGCAAAACGTCAGCAGGAGGGAGGAGCTGACTAAGCGGCTGCCTTGCGCGTTTACTTAGAGAAGAGACGGCTAAGGGGGAGTATTATTACGGAGTAAGGGCTAGAGAAATGCATAGGAGTTGCTCTGATAGTTACTCTGATAGTTGACTAGGCTATTCGAAAGGTTCGCTGTTCAAACATGCAGATAACTAGTTAAAAGTACGAGGCTCTGTAGTTATCAATCTTCCTGGAGACAGCCGGCAGAGTAACTACCTCCTTGGAGACTTGTCAAAAACTTCAGCTCTGCCCTCAATCAGTGTAGTAGCAGACTTTGATAAGACTCTATCTCCCTATCACCACCGAGCTCAGCTCGGATGTTATCCCAATCTAAAGCCAAGTCAATATTGTAAGCATCCCCCTTGGAGTTCGCGCAGTTGGAAATTTTGTTTTGAGATTAGGGTAGGGGTCGGCCCCAACCACAGGCGGGAGATGCCTAAAAAATGTCTTATCATGACAATAAACACTCGTCAGTTGAAGGAAGCATGAAGAATATAAGGTATCACTCACTGTTTTTGGAGTCCTCGCAAACACTTCGCCAGTGACAGGATCCTTACCAAATACCTGCACAGCAGCGGTCAATTCGCCCACCCATTGAATACCATAAAATACCACAGAGCTAAACGGTGCTTGTTCCTTGCAGTATTGAGAGCTCAGCACTGCAGGTTCCTCAGTGATCGCTCTCGAAGCAGCTTTGGGCGTCTCAATAACTTGGCTACTCCTCAACGGGCTCTTGTAGCTCAGGGATTCTTTAACATCGATCAATATTCCGATATTCACCTCCGTCTTTTGAAGGGTTCCTCTGATTCTCTTCTCCAGGTCCAAACTGGATCAAACCATGGCCGCGAACGGCCCATGTCCAATTATCTGACCATTGGTCTGGGCTATGGGCGGAAAGTTCCTTTGTAAAATCTCGCTGAGTCCCTATACTCATATTTGTTTGTTCGAATAGCGATCACTTCACCCGAAAAGTCAGCAGGGAAAATTCCACGAAACAATTTGTCTCGTTGCTCCTGGTTCAGGAATTCATCGCCTGTCGGCACATCCACCTTTTTGGGAGTACTAGGGTATAGGACCGGAGGCCGTGGCTCGTCCGTGAAGAAACAAGGCGTATATAATTACACAGAGCCCCTGCATGAAACGGTAAAAAAGACATACTAGTACTCGGCTTCAGCAGTCGAGCATAGAGACATGTTAGTAAAACGACAGAGCCAAAAGAATAAGCCCACGCTGGTGGCTAGCAGGTTAAAGTTGTATGAAGATGGGCTAGCAGGATATGTAAAAAAGAGAAGGTCGAAAGCTCAAGCTGGCTCTTTTATGTTTTTTTTACCAGAGTGAATCTGCCCATATGGTGAATGGTAGAGCAAGGGTATAGAATAAAGAACCAGGTGAATACACCCAAGCAAGATGATTACACAAAGGAGATAGAGGAAGATTTGAATGTGGGTCTTATCAAGTATGTAGTGAATGCAGGCTTCCACTTGGTTGTAGGCTACCACCAAGGCGAGCAAATGAGCGGTGCCACTGCTGTAATCCGCAGAGGAAAGGTTATAATAATGAGGCGGCCTTTTTGTAATAGTAAAGGGCCGTTTATATTTATTTAGCATAAATATAAACGGTCCCTTGTAGATGTGGTGGCCAAAGATAGCCATCAATGTTTGTCAAGTGTTGAAGTTGAAAGTCGCTTTTGCCGCTTTAACTAGTGTCGTCATTAGTTAGTCGAGCTTATCTCACCGATAAGCTATATAGACAATCGAGATTTAGTAGGTTAAAGAAAGAGAAGTTGGTAGACTGGATTATTATTACTGGTAGATGTCACTATTTAGATCAGAGTACTATACACGGGTCTATGTATGTTTGACACAAGCCTGAGTTGTCCGTAGTTTGCTGTTTCATGTGCGGCCGTCATCCTCGAGAAACTCCACAAAAGCATAAGAGCATAAGAAGCGTAAGAAGCATAACATGCATACGTAAAATCACATAGGAGAGACATAAGAGACACGGAGAAAAAAAAAATGAGAGAAAGGAGTGTATACCAAGATGCAAAGAGATAGTAAGAAAAAACTGAAAAAATGCAGACTGAAGGCTGAGCTGTGAGATGGGTGGTAGATTCTGGTAGATATGCGGGCTCTTTTATTAGATGTTGAGACTGAGAGAGAGAGATCAGGTAAGGGTGGCCATCATGGCGCGGAGAAGGCGAGGAGTGGGTGCTGTGAGATGCTTTGTCAGTAAGGACTCTGGTTATGAGTAGGTTGGATAGGACATACCCTTGTAGTCTCTCTTGACGACAACCTCTGGCGCGTCTACAGCTGTCATGAGCTCACGCTCAGACATGTGGTGATGGTACGGCACCAGCAGCCGCTCTGGATGGTCGTCGGCGACCTCTAGGACACGGATGGGAGACGAGCGTCGCCGGACATGACGGGGTCTGATTGAACGGACATCCATGGGTGGAGATGGGGTTCTGCCTCCGCGTCTGGAGATGGATTGACGCCGCTCAACGGTCAGAGGAGTGTCTTTGGCTCCAACGATGACGGTCTCCTTCTCCTTGCTTCTCCGTGGAAGAGCTATATGCAACGGATTAGTTTCTGTTATAGTTATTTTCCGGAGACATGGTAGTCAACATACCGCCTGCTCGTGCTCTCTTGCTGTACTCTACCAACTCATGGATCCGGTCGTCGGTAAGGATCTTGTAGATCAGGATATCCTCCTCCTAGCACGCCGTTAGCTCCAGAACAGACATGCAGAGTAACAAAGAGAAACAAGAGAGAGAGAGAGAGAGAGAGAGAGAACACAACTTACATATTCCTCGTAGTCGTAACCCAGGTCCTCGAGCGCAATAGGCGCAACCATATGCTTGGGGATACGGGTGGTCCCCGGCTTGGGGCTCGCCCGTCTCGACTTCGCGCGGGGTGGTGCTGGTGCATCGAGCATGGCTAGGCTGGACGAACGTCTCCCCCGCGGGGTGATGCTTCTGGCCGGCTTTATATCGGGCACGCGAGTCGAGCTGCGCTTCCGCGGGGTGACTGGCGGGCCGTAGTCATCCCTATCGTAACGGCGGTAGTCATGGGAGCGCTTGGAGGCCGCGAGATCGAACCGGTCGAGCGAGGACTGACGACGCAGCAGCGTTGGGCGTCGAAACCCTCGATCGTCACTAGATCGAGCAGGGGATATGTCTGGCCGTCTGCCACCACCGCCGCGGTTGCTGTTGCTGCTGATGCTGCTGCTTCTGCCTGGCCGGATGACGGGTACGAGGTGGGTGCTCTGGGTGTCGTTGGCGGCCGGCTGGACGTAGTCCGGGATGCCGCTGAAGAGCGAGCGCTTGTCCCTGCGCACCTCGCGGTCATCCTCGACCATCGTCGCCGTCGCTCTGCGCGGCCGCATCTCCCGGTACGGCTCCTGGCGTGCGTCTCGCTCTTTGGTGAAGCGCTCTGCGTCCCAGCGCTGGCCGCCTGCAGCAGCGTTCCCTGTCGGGCCTGACATGTGGACCAATGCAGTCTGCTGCAGCCGATCAGAGGAACAGTCCTAGGCCCGGAGTGGCTCAGGCGAAGGGGAGTTATAGATAGCTGTCTGCCGTCCCGCGAACGGCGAGCGAGCTGGCTGGCTGGCTGGCTCGAGTAAACAGTCTAAAACGGTGGTACGGCTCGTTCCGTGATGCTTTCTGAGGTTTGTCTGGTAGCTTTCTGGGCCTCCCCGTGGATGGATCAAGCGGCTGTCTCTGGAGGTCAGCGGTCGACCACGCCCTGGGTACGCAGATGATGCTGATGAAGTTGCCCGCGGGTGCTGGAGAAGGATGAAGAGGAGGATGAAGAGGAGGAGGAGGAGGAGGACGCTGCTGGAGCAGAGGAAGTAGTAGAAAAAGTGGCGACAGCCTTGTTTCCCGTCGCTTATGATGGCATCCAAAGTCAAAACATCTCAGCTCGGCTAGCAGCAACTCAAGGAAGAGGAAGAAGATAGCGATGATAGTGACTGTGAGAGCAGCTGCCCGGCCTGTCCGTCTCGTCCAGCGGCCTCTTCCTCAAGCCCGCGATGCCAGCAGCAGTATATATAGCCAGCGGCATCAACGACCGCGCAGCCAGCTTCAGCCCGCGCCAGCCAATCCCTTAAACCCTTGCAGACAAGACGGGAGAAGCAGCAGCATAAAAAGCAAAGAAGATGCACGCGAAGAAAAACCTCCTTCTAACCGCCGGCCAAGCACCAGAAGCTCGTTCTGTTTCAGCTTTAAAAAGAACGCTGAGACGGGCTTCTGGCGGCCAAATTTCATGCCTTGTACATATGTATATCCTACGGCGTCTCCTGGCCCCCAGACCAAAGCTGCCCCAGCGACTGGCAGCCAATTGATCCTTTACTTCTGCATGCCTTTCAGACAGAAAGGGGTTTCCCCTTGTTCTGCTGTTTTGGGTGCCAATAATAGCTTTGTCGGCATCAAACAATCTGCTTCCATACTCCGTACACTCCATATGATCCGCGGGACTGCGATCTGCTCTGATTTGATTCTTTCAACACGTCTGCTCTTCGCGCCCGGCAGATGGACAGGTGGATGATCTTCTGGCCCGGCATTGGCCCTGCTCGCTGCTCCGGCCGGGCTGGTTGGCTGGTTGGCTAGTTGGCCGGGTTGGGCATGCATCGGTAGCAGAGCGCCTGTTGCTCCCATCTTGCCCCGGTTAGGAAGAAAGACCCCCCTGAGAGATGCTGATTGCTGGGGAGAGGTTGCCACCAGTACCACTACCAGCCACCGCCAACCACCCGTAGCTACCGCCCAGGAGGTGTGCCTGCTGGTCCTGCTGGTCCAGCTGGGTGCCTTTGCCCGGATCGAGCCGCGTGGTGGTCTTCCCTTGGGCCGAAAGATAGAGGGAGAGCTTGTGGATGAGGTCATACCCACAGCTACTCTACGGTACCGGCCAGCATACCAGCAGCGTTATAATTTAGTCGGTGATGCCCCGGAAATATGCCCAAAAGGACACCAAAGCAGTATGGCTCAGCGGAGAGTCAGCTTCTTAGCCCATGGCTTCATCATCATCCATAAAACGGTATTTTTGTTCTAGAATACAGCAGTGGGGATAAGATATATCTTCTTTTTTGTGAATCTTCCAAAAACGCCCCTACTTCTTGGTAGTCTTTTTCCTTTACAGCAACCCAAGGCCCAGTCCTGCAACAAGGGCACATCCCAGCCCAGAGATGTCCAAGATGCTGCCATTCCTCCACGTCGGTGCATCACTCTTCGACACCTTTATAGACACTGGTGGTTTGGCCGTGCAGATGGGCTTCTTGACCACCGTCTGCGTAGCTGCTGCACCGCCAAAGTCACAGCCAGTGCGCCCGTTCCCCTTTTTGACCTGGTCCTCATAGTACGTGTTGAAGGCCCAGGACAGCTGATCTATCGGGCTGCACATTCCGTACATTCCATAGACACCGCCCGTTGCGTTGGAGGCGATTCCGTCACAGGCCATGGGTGAGAGACCGCACACCGTTGAAAAGAGCCGGGACAGGTCTTCGTCCCGGACGGTAGGCTTCGCTCTGCAGGTGATAGACCTCGTCATGCAATCACAGAGCTCCTTGTCCGGCGTTGGGGGCAGCTTTCGTGATGCTTGCCAGTCGCTGCTTATGGTAGGGCAGGGGGCATTTGCCGTGTTCACCGGTGTGTAAGCAGCCATTTTTGGCCCCTTCGGGCTCACCTTGGCCATCTGGTTTGCGAATGCAGTAAAATCGGGCAGCTTCTTGATCCTGGAGCCAGATACATCGACAAGTCCTGCATGCAACACACTTAGTAAGACTCCTTGTCTTGTACCAAACGAGGTTGCTTACCATAATTGTTCTGTTCCTGGAAGTACATATAGACGATCCCACCAGACCAGGTGCCCGTCATCTGGGGGCCGTAAATCGCCTGCACCTCACTAAACTTCCGGGGCTGAACAGTATTGCATCCATATTCGGCGAAGAACACCGGAACATTATATTTAGCAAACTCCCGAGTGCGGGCTGCATATCCAGACGTCTCAAAGGTAGAGTCACCACACCACTCGTAGATGTTATAGCCCCAAAAGTCAATACGCTCGTCATCTATGCCGCAGTCAAAGTACGCAGCAAGGTTCTTGCGAATATCTGCATCGTCATCAGTCGCATACCCAATACCCATCGGTCGATATCCCTTTTCGTAGATGTAAGCCTTCATGTCTCGCACTGCAGCCTTCACAAAAGCACTGGCCTCCGTGGTGGAGAGGCTATTAGTAACTTCATTCCCGGCGAAAAACCCAATGACATTCGTATATTTCGCTAGCGAGTCTATCACGGAGGTGTATCGATCATAGAGCTTGACGTCCCATTCCGGGGTGTCACGGTTGATCGACTGGGAGGGTTCGGCCAGGTCGGCCAGGACGTAGATGCCGGCATCAGCTAGTAGCTGCATGCATTCATCATGGTTCTTTTCAGGATGGACGGCATATACCCGGACTACGTTGGCATGCAGCTCCTTAAGGAGAGGGACATCTCTCCTGCATCCCTTGGGGTTTGCAAGGGGGTCATTGTATGTCTCGACGGAGTTATCACCATCTATCAGGAATGTCAGCAGCAATTCACACACACACACACGTCAGCTCACACGCCCCGTCTATCAAGCATAGATAAGTACCTTGATACGCCACTCCTTTAATAAAGCTACCTCGGTCGTCAGCTATAGGGGTATAATAAGGGTAGCTTGGGGGTCGTGGAGACGCACAACTGCTGGCCACTGGTCTTGTAGAAGAACCGAGATCCCTTTTTTTGTTGCACAATATCAGCGTCTGTTAACCATCTTGGCTGGGGTAAGAGAACCTACTTTGATCACGATGGGGTCAAGCTCCGCTGCGGTAACAAGGAGGGCCCAATAAGCTGCTAGCGCAATGGATAGAATGGTCTTTAAGGGTCCCATAATGGATACCGAGTATCGTTTTCCAAGAAATGATATCCGATATCATATACAAATTCCCTCAAGGAAAAAAAAGGAGCTCGTAAGACGAATGTTTGATAGACAGACAGATTATCGATAAACACCAGCATTTTGCGATTCACACTGATAGACAAAAATAATTGATATATTGACTGTACTACACATAGCAAGAGCGACCAGGAAAGATAGCATTCCCTTTTCAAGTCTGTTTATATCAACAGGTTGCCATGGCAAACACTCAAAACACCATCATGACTTCCTCTCCTGATATTTCACCATTCTTGGGTATAAAGTCGTCCTTCCATGGATGTCAAGATACCACGGAGTACGTACTCCGAGACGGAAAGTCTGGACGATAGCTGAGCAGGGAAGCCCACGCTCCCGTAGAAGGATCCAAAGCCATGAATCCACAGAGGATGCTGAACAGCCCGTCGTTCGATGGTGAACTAGGCCAGCGGTGATGGAGCAAAGGTGGCACTCACACAAGGCCAGGCCATGAAGATATATGCCGGGCACGTCTCCCAAGGGGACGCCCAAGAGAACGCCCAATATCGCCTATTCCTAATGCCCGAAGCTCTTTGCTGTCTGACAGTGTTTGATATCGACGGCTTTCGTGCCCAACGCCGGCCAGGCTCAAAGGAGGTTGACCAGCCAACCTCGGCAAATGGATGGAACCGTATTATGTAATATTGCCAAGAATTAAACGACAAAAGAGGAAGGTGACAACCCCCACATAATAGTCATGTGCATGTGACTTCCCCGTCTTGGCGTAGGATTATGTATTATGTAATGTGACCCCCGCGCAGCCCAAAAGTGGAAGGATATTGTATTACTAATCAACATCAGCCTCGCCTTGGGGATATCAACATCAAACATCAACTTCACCAGCCCGGCAGGGGGGTTATGAAAGGTATAGAAGGCGTTGAATAACTGGCTATATATTGTACCTCTGGGCAGTTATTCCAGTTCTCTACCGTGTATCCCCTGCCCTTGATTATTCCAAAATAAATTGTGCTACCACTACACTCTATACCATTGTCTGCTGTCGGCAATTGATCACCACGTCGATAGAGATCATTACATACATATCTTTGATTTGATACCCAGTACACCTCGTACAAAATGGCGGAGCAACAGGTTGCATGGATTGGATTGGGAAACATGGGAAGGGTACGGCAGTCTTTCTCTTTTGCTCTTGCAAGTGTCTTGTCCAGAAATGCATATCTATACCTATCCATTCCGTTTCGCCCTTCTCCAGTTTTGCTATATGAATTCATTACGTTTATCAAACATGGATGTCTGTTATCATCTTCAGGGAGCAAAAGTGCTCGCATACCACGATACTGGGCTGGGCGACCGTCTGACCTGCCTATGGTCCCTTATAGGCGACCTTAGCCTTTGTTCTAGCATCTCAGGAAGGGCGCGTGGCGCAGCGGTGAATGTCTGTGGAATTTGTCAAAGCCCCACGCACACGGCCCCTAAGTGTAGTGCCAACGGAGTGCCATGGATATCCTACGCCTTGAGAGCCGCTGCGGACTTGCGTCGCGTAGATTGTGACTATTGATGACGGAACTAAGCGCACATAGCCAGCTCTTATAGTCGTCATAGCAGCGATAGCATGCGTAATGAGGAGTGAGCACTGTTCGTTCACTTCGAACCCTTATTTTTTTTTTTTTTTTTTTTTTTTTTTTTTTTTTTTTTTTTTTTTTAATTTTTTTATATATCTTGGAATCCCTTTTGCATACCTTCTGCATACCAACTTGGGGATGGCGTGAACGGCGCCGAGGTAGGCGCAACTTGGAACGCCCGACAGTCTGGGTTCGAGCCTCGCTGGCTGCTCTTTTTATTTTTATTTTTTATTTTTATTTCCTTTCCTCTTTTTATTCCTTTTAATTTCAACGCCAGCTTCCATCCTTGACTGTCTCGACTTCTGCTAACTGCTTTCTCTAGGGCATGGTCAAGAACCTGGTCGAAAAGGGACCTCTCTCGAAGCCCCTGATAGTCTACAACAGGACCCAATCTAAAGCTATTGACCTTGCAAAGACCCTATCACAGCAGATAATTCCAGTATCAACAGTCGAAGAGGCAGTGGAAAAAGCTACTATTATATTCATCTGCCTTGGTGATGACCCTGCTGTCGAGAGTACTATCGACACTGCCTTGGAATCAACAGATGTCAAAGGTAAACTGTTTGTCGACTGCTCTACAGTCGCTCCAGATACAACCAGGCGCCTGGCCAAACTCCTTGAATCCTCGGGTGCCTCCTTCGCTGCCTGCCCTGTATTCGGGGCACCGTCAGCAGCAGAGGCAGGAACCCTGGTCTGTGTCCTTGCCGGGCGCAAGGAATCCGTTGAGCGCGTAAAGCCCTTTTGCACTGGTGTGATGGGCAATGCTATCATGGACCTATCTACAAAGTCAGAGGACCCAGGAAAGGCTTCCATGCTAAAGGTTCTTGGCAACAGCGTGATATTCCGGATGGTTTCTGCAGTCTCTGAAAGCCTGGTTGTTGCTGAGAAGTCTGAGCTTGGTGTCGAGGCAATACATTCTTTCCTCGAACTCTTCTTCCCAGGGGCGGCTGTGGCTTACTCGAACAGGATGGTATCTGGCATGTACCACACGCTGGAAGAACCTCTTTTTGCAGTCGACTTGGCGCGAAAGGATACAAGACATGTCATGGATATGGCGAAGGCTGTAGGTGTCAGGATGAAAGGCGTGGAGGTGCTGGACGAAGCATTACAAGCCGCCAAGTCTCATTCAGGAGCAAAGGGAGATCTGTCTGCTATCTACGGCGTCGCAAGACAGGATGCTGGATTGAAGTTCGAGAACAATCAGTTAGGGCAAGGATCATATAAGGAGTAGCCGGAAAAATTTTGGGATTAATGAATTAGTAAATTATTCTATTTGCTAATTAACTAGCCAGCTAGGTATCATAAAGTATTTACTTGTGGCGATACAACTATCGGTCACTTAGAGAGGATGAAATGTTCGTAGGAGTAGTGTTTCCTGTCGTTGGGACCCTTGAGAGGCTATCTTCTCCGCCTCTTCCAAGGCAAAGAGCAAAGTACTCGACCGAACTACGAATTCTAGCACAGTATTAGTGAAATTAAGAGCAATGAAAGGTCTTAAAAAGGAGGGTGGGCCTACCGTCAACCTCAATTGTGTAATATACTATGGACTCTGCTAGGTTGGCAACTCCACGGAGGAACCCGCAGCTAGCCACCTCTCGAGTACTACCAATATGCAAGCTTAGTCCGGAATTCATGTTTGGGTCCACCCACCGAACATCCTGCTCAGTCAGGCAGTGGTCGTCTTCATCGTCGAGTGGATGGTAGTCTGAATCAGAGTCGCCTTCGTAAGGGTCAGTGAAGTGTCGTGGTGCATTCAAAATGGGCTGTTGAGCAAGCCAGTCTCTCCGAAGCCGCACAACTCCCTTGGAGACTTTAACACCGGAAGGCAGACGGTCACCAAAAAGCTGAGCGCTCACACAGACCTGCGAGAAAGGTTCTGCTGAATCCACGAGGAGTCTAAAGGGTGTAACTCGACCCTGGCTGCCTATGGAGTTTTTGCGTTGAGCCTTGAAGCCCCCCTTACTGATTCTGTTCTCATTCAAGATACCCCCTATTCTCCCAGCGTCATCGGCTTGGTCGTCTACTGTGAAGACTTTCCAATCCGGCGAAATTCGCGATTCAAAATGCTGCATTACCTTGAACCGAGTGTATTGCTCCCTTAGGACACCCAGGTCGCCAATTGAGAAGACATGGTCCAGAGATAGCAGTCCTTCGAGCTCTTCAGGGTGTTCGCTCGGGGTATGGGGTAATGTCCTGGTATCAAGGTATGTTCCTATTGTGCGACCCTGCAGTGCGACTCTGGAAGGGAGATGGCAATCCAGTCGAAGAGTATAGTTCCCCTTCAGCTGCCGTATGGCCGAGAGCCGGCGGCTGAGTATATGGCAGATGATGTTGTAGAACCGAGAGGAGACTTTGGTCCACGGCAAAAGCTCACGCGAGGGGAATACTTCTAAGACAGTGAAGAGAAGCTATAGATCCAAGAAGCGTTAGTTGTCACCTTTCACCAGGCTGCTGTGTCTATTTCAAAGGCAATGGCATACCTCGTAAGGAAGCGTGTATATAGGCGTCGAGCCACCGCTAATGGGCTCCATATCTCTTGTCGTTTATTGTGCCCTGGCAGTTAACTATTTAGATCGAAAAACTGAACACCGGCGCCGAAATCGTTCGACCACGTTAAAAACAAAATATGAATGTTGCGTGGAGAAAGAAGGAAGAAAAAGAAACAGACAAAAAGAGAAAAGGAGAAAAGGAACAGCCCAAGCGAGCTGGTTAAATAGTCAGGCCATTCAACCAACAGGCCCGGCGGTTGCTTCACCTCCCTTTTCGCGCTTCCTTGTGATGTCTTTTTTTTCTTGCGCTGGAACTCGCCGCCAAGAGCCAAGTGTAAGCGGAGGATTAGTCATCCGCCCTGTAAACACTCTGAAACCGCCCGCAGAGGCCAACCTTCCAGCCTGACTGGTTAACTACTACCTACTACTAGGTATAAGTCGACCTCGCCTGGTCGTGTCAAGCATTCGTCGCCCGTCTTAACCTGGTCGCGATGAGCTTCTTCCCATGACGGAGAGGGACCGTTCACCCCTCTAGGCATGGCCCGGCGCGCCCCTGAGTATGGATAATGGCGGAGATACGTAGGGTACGCCGTCGAGCTTATCGTCCAACGTGAGGTTTCGCACGAGAGTTGCCGCCGCTGATGACCAATGTGGCCCTGGCTAGATATCGAACCCATGCATATCCATGCGTCAGCTGTCATGGGCCCCCTTTGTCCTGGGGAGTTTGCTCGTACCACCTCACGGGACGGTTCGAGTTGGGCTGTCTCGACTGATAGCCCTGCTTATCTCTCTTCTCTGCTCTAGACTCTGACTCCAGGAAATGGCTGCTTCTTCCATGATCTCTGTTGGCACACATCGCCTCTTCATCTCCATGAGTGGGGCCCCGCGGTCGGCCAGGGATCCTATTGCCGTCATTATAGCCGGGGCTGGGGATGTCTCCTCTTCACACGTCGCGGTTGAGAGACTAGTCGCCCCCTTCTGCGGAATTGCCTTGTATGACCGGTCTGGCCTTGGTCGCAGCGAAGACGGACCTCAGAAGCACACAGCCGACGTGGCTGCCACTGAGTTGCATACACTCCTCGATCGAGCAGGAGTTCATCCGCCACTTATACTCGTCGGCCACTCCTACGGCGGAATAGTGGCGCGCGAGTACCTCCACCTATACCCAAACGATGTAGCGGGTATGGTTCTTTCGGATGCTGCTACAGAAAGAGCCACCCAGTATTTTACGATACCAGACCCGAACATCGCAGCGGTATTGGGATCCCTCAAGTACTCTCAGGTTACCGGGCTACGAGACGATTCAGTACTGACTCGTGATGAATGGAGAACGCGGGCTGCGGATATCGCTCGGGGTGGAGTAGCCGCCCAGGCTGAAGCAGAAGCGTCTATAGAGATATGCGAGACTCTCGGGCAAAAGGAGCAATACAGAAGATGTGCCATGGGTGCCAAACCATTAAGTGTAATCCGCTGCAACAGTGCAAGGGACTACGAACGGATTTATGAGAAGGGTGTCGAGGCAGGAAACGGTACTGAAGAGCAGCAACGAAAATTTAGAGAGCTCTTGGATAGATGGGATGATATTGACCGCTTGTTAAAGGAGGAACAGCTTCAACTGTCATCAAGGAGTCGACTGAGACACGTCCCTGATTGTGGCCATAACATCCATCTCACTCGGCCGGATATTATTGCACAGGAAATACGGTGGGTGAAGGAGACGATCATAGAAGAATCCCAGCTCTAGATACCCCTTTACTAACATTATTTTCACTGTACGTCGCTTGCTTTAATTAATACCCATAGGTGTATAGGGCGCTTTATGTCCATTACATGAAATATTCAATACCATGAGATGGTTGCAATAGTATCTGAAGAGATTTATCCTCGGGCGATTGCTGATGATATCAAACTGATTAAAGAATAATTTGTTTAATGAATCGGAGCGTCCCTATAGACTATTTATGTCACGTCAGCCAAGGATAGCCAAGCTTTGTGTGTAAGCAGCGGACCAATAAAAAGGCTATAAAGTTTTCTAAGCCAGCCAATGAAATGATTTCCAGGTCTATAAACGAGGCTTTTAGCTTTTATGGAGCTTCAACGCTTCAACTCCCCAAAGCTGCTGAAACAACATGAACGACTCAGACCTGAATGCCAACAATGCCAAAACTCCGCACACTTCCCTTCTGGCTGGCCGTTAAAGTGTTTATCAGACGCATTATATACAAGCTGAAGACTCCCCTTAATTTACGAGGGAGTATTGCTATTCTTCGACACAATCACAAACATCCATATCTCACGCTTCTCCGCCTGTTTATTCCGTGGCCGACATGGCGGTTTCCGTTACCAGAGCCGGTACCCGCGAAGGAAATGTTAGGAAATGAAGCTCTGATGAACCGCCGGCGTCGCAGTTTTAACCAGTATATGTCTGTGCCTATTTGGCGTATACGGGATACCCCCTTACGCTCCCTCCACCGGCTATACGAATCCATGGCTTCAGGTGAATATACCCCTATAGGCCGAGAGACCGAGTACTTTTGGTACAGGGGTTGGCCACTCGAGACAATCGAGGACCCCCAGGACCCGGATCCTATTCGATACGCGATTATTGCATCTCTTGTAGAAGAGCTTGTCTCTGCATTCAACTGGAGGCTAAGCCTAGGAATGAGGAGAAATCACGAACACGTACTTAGAAGCTCCGACGACGACCCATACCCACCGTATATACCACTATCTGGCCCCAGGTGGACTGAGCATGTGCCTCCAATCATGCCAGAACATCTAGAATGTCTACCACTGGGGTTTACAAATAAAGAGCACCAACTCGTGCTTGAAGAGAAAGGTTGCAACAAGATATTTCTGAAACGTAATATCGTTACTAATGTTGGCTGGCTCTACACTATATGAGAAGTAGGTACACCGCTCTTTCATACCCCAAACGTTGCTCTAATCTTATATATCTTTAGGCTCGTGGTGATCAGCCCTACCAAGCGAATAGTAGGCTTGTATAATTTCTCAACGCCAACTCCAACTATCTAAATATCTCCTCATGGTACTTATCGCGATATGCGGTTGCGATGAGCTCCATAACTTGATGATCTGGCAGCACATCAAAGGAGTTGACATTCAATGTACGGATATATTCGCGGTCGAGCGGCCCATCCTGCCGTTCCCTCAAGCATTTAAGCATTGCTAGACAATCGTTCATGTCGAACTCGGCCTTTCGGCCTCGATCTACCGCATAAATCCTCCTGATTTTTCGTTCGACTGCCCACTCCATTGGGGCTGCCAAAAGAACGAGGTTTTCCCCTTTGAATAGGACGATATTCTGCTCCTCCGCCTTACGAAATAGCTCCTCTCTCGTGGAGCTTGTCACGAATAAGGCCACGTCCTCATTTGCCCACTCCGTGTCGAAGAAGAGCCGCTCGCCTATCTTAAATATCGCTTCTTTGAGTGGTCTTTGGATATCTGGGTCTTTGGCCCATTCTGGCTCCAGCAGGTAGTCGAGATCTCCGGTCGAATTTCTACTCTGGAGATACATCACGGCCAGGAAACCTCCGGCGGCAATCATGCGAATAGGAGCGAATGCCGCAATCATTTCGTTCTTCCCCATTTCCTCGTCCAATGCCTTCAGGCCTAGTCGTCATATTAGTGACGGTGATCGAAAGTACTATGTAGGTCTGTCTTCATACCTTGTTCAAAGTCCCGTTTACCAAGGTAGCTTTTTTTCTCGGGTGAAGCCATCATCTAACCGCTGACCGTTAATTGTTCAGGTAACGCATCTGTCCATATCACGAAGCAACCCGTAGGCTCAAGAGACACAAGGGACCTGTTGACAGACGCAGAAGGCATCGAAGACATCATTTGACTGGTGCTTAAAGCCTAGGTATTGCAGTGGCCTAGGTTTAAGAGAGTATTATAATTAGAAGTAAGGAGGAAAGAATAAAAATATCACAGTAGCGCATTAGGCCAGCCCCAGGTAGAAAGCGAAGTGTGTTCCCCAAGAGAGAGCTTTACCCGTTGTGGTTAGGTTGACTAGTTAACTGCCTCGGCAGCGGGTCCACTTGTCAGTTAGCAAGCGTGGCATCAGCGTCAACTTAAGTATGGAGGTGTCAGCATCGACTGTCAACAGAAGTACTATACCAGTACTTGGTAGTTATTTGGACACAGCTTCTCGCCCACCACACCACAGACACAATGGCTCGCCTGAGCTACCTTCTCCTCGCCTCCCTCTCCGTCTTCAATGGCGTCCTCGCATCCAAATCCGCCGTCTTGGACCTTACTCCTAAGAACTTTGATGATGTTGTCTTGAAGTCCGGCAAACCAGGTCTTGTCGAATTCTTTGCTCCATGGTGTGGGCACTGCAAGAACCTTGCACCCGTCTACGAAGAGCTCGGCCATGCATTTGGGGCAAACAGCGAGAAGGTGTATATCGCGAAGGTCGACGCTGATGCCCATCGACCTCTAGGCAAGAGATTTGGTATACAGGGCTTCCCCACGCTCAAATGGTTTGATGGCAAGAGTGATAAGCCAGAGGACTATAGCGGTGGAAGGGATTTGGAGAGCTTGAGCGAGTTCGTTGCGAGCAAGACCGGCCTCAGGCCTAGGTTGAAGAAGGCCCAGCCCACCGAGGTTATGATGTTGACCGATTCTACTTTTGATAAGACCATTGGTGGCGATAAGGACGTTTTTGTTGCTTTCACTGCCCCTTGGTGCGGACGTATGTTGACCGGTTCTCCTCCTAGACATGATATTTAACTTCGTTGATGCTAACAGGTTTCTTAAACAGACTGCAAAACCCTTGCTCCAACCTGGGAGACTTTGGCCACCGATTTCATCCTAGAGTCTAATGTTATTATTGCAAAGGTCGATGCTGAAGCTGAGAACTCCAAAGCCACGGCCAGGGCTAACGGTGTTGCCTCTTACCCAACCATCAAGTTCTTCCCTCGTGGCTCCAAGGAAGCCGTTGCCTACACTGGTGGACGCACCGAGAAGGATTTCGTAGACTTCTTGAATGAGAAGTGCGGAACTCACCGCGAAGTTGGAGGTGGTCTGAACGATAAAGCTGGTACAATTGAAACCCTTGATGCTATTGTCGCCAAGTACATCTCCGGAACCAGCTTCGAGCCCATGGTTAAGGAGATCAAGGAAGCTGCTGGAACCCTCTCGGCCAAATATGCCGATTACTACGTCAAGGCTGGAAATAAGTTGCAGGAGAATGCCGAATATGCTCAGAAAGAGCTTGCTCGTCTGCAGCGTATCTTGGACAAAGGAAATCTTACTCCTGAGAAGATTGACGATTTGGTCTCTCGAAGCAACGTCCTCCGTCGGTTCGTTGGTGAAGAGAAAGCCAAGGATGAGTTGTGATTGATTTTCAACTCATTCTAGTTGCAACTCATCGTTTCTTGTTACCTGCAGGGAAGGCTTTATATTGAATTCAAAGCAAAAGAACTGATCGTTTTTATGTCGTTGTATGGCTATGGAAAATTGCTTATATGATTAGACGCTATTTTATTATCTATGTAGCGATGACTTTTATAAAAAATACAACTTTTTTTTCTTTTTCTCGTGACATTTATCAAAATGAACATTCAACGGGGTATCTAAGCGGCTAAGTAATAAGTCCAAATAATCCGCCATTCATGAAAGGCATAACCGTAAGTAGGCTCTAGCCTTCTGACGCGGCTCCAAGTTTGACGGCCGTATTATTATTATTCTGAGTGATCCTCTTCAATGACCTCTCTGCTATCATGACTTGGCGTATCAAGTCGAAATTTCCAACACCATGAGATGGCTATTGAATTATCACTCAATAACAATGATAACATAAAAGTTTCAAGCTGAGTGGGTAGAATCACGAGCGGAAGCAATCGAATTCTCGAGCTCGTCAATACGCCGCGACATATCATCCACTAGAAGTCCTCATCCCATTAGACTATTGGTCCAGAATGGCTGAACGACAGGCGTCTCAAGTAAAGTATGGTAGCATGTAAGGGACAAAATCTCACATTTTCCTAGTATTTCTGTAGAGACGTTCTCGAAGCGATTTTGCAATTGGTCTAGCAGCTCGTCAACTGCAGTCACGAGTTGTTGGGCACTGCTCTCATCCGCTACCTATCAACAGAAACAATATGAGTTAACAGGTCATACTAAAGATACCACTGGAAGCTCGGATGCTAGGGACATCTATAGCTTACTCCTTGCTGTGAAGTCTGCTGGTCATCATTGGGGGATGCGCCGTAAGAGTCGCGGTTTGTAGTACTCATTATTTCCACTTCTGTGAGGCGCTAAGAAATAGCCTATGATGCTATTCTTCCACCAAGTATAAAGATTCTGAGACAATGAAATGTAGAGGGCGACAAGGAAATATATTTAGCTTGTGTCTTGATCTTGATGTGTTATCATCGCGGGTTGCAACTTCTCAGCAGACGGAAGCGTTTAAGTGGGAATCAGATAAGATAAGATAAGATTTGATTATTAATACAGACTAACCGTGTTTGATATAGCTTCATGTCCAAAATTTTCTAAGCAAAAGCAAAAGATTTGATGATAGCAAATTCGCTTTGGCGCACCAGGAACGCATTTCTTTTTCTAATTCTTCCATGAAGAGCGCTGGTTTTCTTCATAAAGCGTCAATAATAATTGAAAACTAATCATGGCGAAGAAAAGCAAGCTCCTTTCTGCACTGGACGCGCACAAAGGGCGCAATTTCGAGCTAGAACACCAGAGAAAGCTGCAAAAGGCAGCACACAAGAGGAAGGAGAAGCAATTGAAAAAGACCGGGAACGAGGAAGAAGAGAAGGAAGATACTGAGCAATTGGTAAGATAATTAGCCATTTGGCCCTTGAGTAAGACACGTGGAATAGCTGTTAACATGTATTGTGCGCGCAGAAAGACGTTACCCTTTTAAATGGGAAGGAAAAGTCGGATACCAAAACGGGTACAAAGAGCCAACGAGACATGAAGAAGTCCAATAAGAGGGATGAAGACAACGAGAATGTAGAGGAAGAGGAGGAGGAGGAGGAGGAAGAAGAAGAAGAAGAAGAAGACGAGGAAGCTGGCGCAGAAAACGAAGATGGAGATGAGGAAGAGGAGGACGAAGAAGAAGACGAAGACGAAGAAGATATCCCACTCTCAGACCTCTCTGGTGACGAAGCTACAGACGTTATTCCTCACCAGCGGCTAACGATCAACAACTCCACTGCCATTCTAGCCTCCCTGAAGCGAGTTACCCTCATAAACGACCAAATGCCATTCTCTGAACACCAAACCCTTACCTCCACAGAAACCATGGATGTCCCCGACCCAAATGATGATCTGAACCGCGAGCTTGCATTCTATAAAGTCTGTTGTGCTGCTGCGAGGACAGGACGAACGCTATTGAAAAAAGAAGGAATTCCATTTTCAAGGCCTACAGACTACTTTGCTGAGATGGTGAAGGACGACGAGCATATGGACAAGATCAAGAAGAAATTATACGAAGAAGCAGCTAGCAAGAAGGCTAGCGCGGACGCGAAGAAGCAGAGAGACCTGAAGAAATTCGGGAAACAAGTACAAATCGCCAAAATGCAAGAGCGACATAAAGAGAAGAGGGAAACTCTGGAAAAAATAAACGAGTTGAAAAGAAGTACGTTTTATGCCCCTTACTATTTCATCGCTTATCCAAGTCAAGTGTTGCATGGAAATACTAACGTGACATGCTTGAACTACAGAACGCAGAGGTGCAGGTAATGGCGAGGCGGAGGAGAGCGAGCTCTTTGACGTTGCGCTTGAAGAGTCAAGCAAGTCTGACTCCCGCCGCGGAGGTCGAGGCAAGGACGGCGAAGGATCCCGCTCTAAGAGACAGAAAAAAGATGCAAAGTTTGGCTTCGGTGGTAAAAAGCGCTTTGCAAAGAGTGGTGATGCTATTTCTAGTGGTGACCTGAGCTCATTCTCTACCAGTAAAATGAAGGGAAAGAAAACAGGGGCAGCGAAGAGGTTAGGCAAAGGCAGACGTCAAGCAAGACGATAGGAAAGATAGGATACCCAATTTCATCGCTTGATGTTGTACCTTGTTTTATATTGTAAACATGCTCGCCTTGGCTGGCATCAAAAAGTTGGGACGTGATAGCGTTGAATTACTCTGTTTACATGGGTTCTGGTTAAGGAGTAAATATTGCTTGGAGCATCATTGATTATACAAGCTTGATATCTTTTTCGGCGGGGGCCTATTGCCTGCATACAAGCGTGATATAGCCAATGAAATAAACGGTCAACAGTATTTGCATCTCCCTTAGGGTAGTAACAGGTATATCCCAACTCTTAGCTCCGTGACAACCTCAGAAAACCAGATGGGATATCTGCTATATATATGGGACGCGGCCCGGTGGCATGTGTTTACCGCATTCCATAGGTATTCGGAAGCAGGTGAACGCAGTGGCATGCCGGAAGTCGATTTGAGAGGATTAGAAGCCATCTTAAAGCAGCTATCTTGCATCCCAATTCATGGCGCAGTGGCGCTTGGGAGGAAGACCTCCAAGCAAGTAAATGCATCACTGGTCTATAGAGGCAAAGCAATTAAGCTTTCCTCGCAGCGAGTATGAGTGCTTGCGGTATGTGATCTTTCATATGTCCATATTTGTGAGTGTAGGATCAGGATCAATAGGATCTCCCATGATATCTGGAAGCGCAGGACCACCTAAACCGCGGATACGGCTTAACAAGTTGTTGACTGAGACATTGACGTTGAGTCGTTGCTCTGCAAAGACCAAGTCAAGTTTTGACTGGGTGTCATCTGCGTGGACGAGGTTATGATCATCAATTGCTCCCTTCGATCTCTTCAATGTAGCTCTCGGTATTTGCTTGCCACAGCCGGTAACAGGACAAACCCATGTGTCTGGTGGAACATTTCCGTTCACTACTGCAGTGCCGTCTTTGTCATCTTTGTTGGCCTCTCCATCAGAGTATGGATGATCTTGATTTTCCGCAGGCGAGGATTCATGAAGCAATTGTGCTCCTCCTTTTGTTGGTGTGTCTTCTGCAACAAGGATATCCTCCATCTCCTCTTCAGAGTCCACGGAGGCGTAGTCCCGATTTCGTTTACCCGCCTTTTCAGATGTCTTTGGTCGAAGGATTGATTTGCGGTTTCTCCGCCTCCGATTCTTCTTCACTCGACCTTCGTCCTCCTCATCCTCTTCTGATTCTGGGCCTGATTCGGATGCGTCTATATTCTGTCGACGTCGAAGAGGCGTTGCGCCAACTGGTGGAATATCTTCAAGTTCCGTAGCCTCTTTCAGTTGCCGATAAATTGCTCTTCGATGCCAGTCCGAGGAGGCAGTACCCTGCGCTTCATCCATAAGTTTTATCACACTCCCGGCCCGTGAATTTACCAGGTTGATTGCATCCTCCAAAGAGCTCATCTCGTATTGCTCCAGCAATTCCTCGGCCACGCTCTTCAAATGTAGCTTCCGCTGAGCCAACAGTCCCGCATCTTTCATTTCCAGGATAATCTCGAAAATGGTATTGGCCTGAGAATTTTCTTCAGCATTATCTCCAGGAGGGGAGTTCTCCATTACCACGTCCGATTTCGAGTCTTCCTCCGAATGGAGATCGTTGAACAAGTCCTAGAGAATTGTGAGATACCATTATAGAATGTAAGCCAGGGCAGGGGTTTGGTACCGGATACTCTTCACGTAAATGAGAATACACCAAGGTGCTAGGCCAGTCAATGTCCTCTTTCCCTTGAACCATTTGCCGAATGAGAAACTCATGATGCTTGTTGAAGACCTCCAACGATTCTTCGGCATCCTCACAAGCACCATGCGTGTGCCGTGTATACTACCATCGAGTTCATCAATCAGTGTGTCCATCTAACAAGACAGAACAGTGGGTGACCGACCTCATCCAGCAAGAACTCCCAGGTCAATTTTTTCCGGCTCTTCCCCTTCCGCTTCTTAGGCTGGTGCTGATCAACTAGGAAATATAGCAGATCAACAGCTTCAACAACCTCCTGGAACATAGGCTTGTAGCCCTTCGCAGGAGATATCGAGAACCACCCCGCATCGCCAGCTGCCCAGATTCCAACTCCACCATCACCGTCTTGCCCATATGCATAGTGCGTCACATTTTGAATGACCACGCGCTTTTGAAGGTAGTCACCGTCGAGAACTAAATGGAAGAGTAGGGGCAAAATTGTCAGCGCGGAAGCTTCATTTGACTGAGAGGGCTGCGTGAACTGTAGATTCCGGCAGTCGACGGAGTGAACATGGAGTTCGCATTCCCCTTACCAAGAGATTCTTGACCTTCATCAACTTCCTCGAGCTGACCGGTAACCATCAAGGGGTTATCCTCCGATGCAGAGAGGATGTTCGCATAGCGCGTCTTACCAGGAATGTAGACCTTGACGTCCTTCAAGCTGAACTCCTCCCAGTCATTTTCATCCGTCAAGCTGGGATCCTTGGAAGCTAGGACTTTTTCTATGCGTGCTGTCATGTCTCCGAAACCACCATGATGGCGAATAGTGTCAACGCAAAGCTCACGATGCCCTGAAAGCTGTCGATTGTTTGAAATACAAAGAGTCGCATCGGGACATTCTGATAAACAAGGTTGTGGTCACGTAATTACTGTAATTTACCTCTATCTACATATGTTCATTTACAAATACAGGTATGTAAGTTACAAAACTAAACCTTCTGAGTTGAACTTCAAAGCTCCAAGTTGAGTTGCAGCTTTCAACTTTCTCGCAGCACCAATTACACGGTAGACCTGCCTTTTTTTCTGACGGATATCGGGGATTTCACCGAGTCTAACAAGGTGCAACAATATTGCCTATGAGAAATCCTTTCCTCGATGAGCTTTCGCCGCCTGAATTTGAAGCTTAAGTTCGCAATGTCCGACGCTGCCAGAACTATGGACGGCGTCTTTGGTCAGTCTGCTACATATGAGAATTAAGCCCTTGAGATCGCTACTAACAATATGATTGTATAGCTGTCCACAAGCCCGCAGATATCACCTCCGCACAAGTCCTCCGTGACCTTCAGAGACAGTTCAACAGATCCGATTTCTTCAAACCGTGGCTAGCGGCCGAGCGCCAGAGATTACAAGAAGAACCGTCTTGGAAAAACCGTCGCCGAGGAAAGAAGTCAAAATGGATAGATGTCAAGCTTGGACATGGTGGGACTCTAGATCCAATTGCGACAGGAGTCTTGATAACGGCAGTTGGCAAAGGTACCAAGCAACTCAACAACTTCCTTGCATGCACAAAAACATACGAGGCTGTCGTTCTCTTTGGTGTAGCAACGGACAGCTATGATCGTGTCGGGAAAGTGGTTAGCAGAGCACCCTATGAGCATGTCACAAGAGAAAAAGTTGAAGAGGCATTGAAGCAATTCCGTGGCAAGATTATGCAAAGACCATCTATATTCTCGGCATTGAAGGTCAATGGAAAGAAGCTATATGAATATGCGAGAGAAGGCAAGGAGCCACCTGCTGAAATATTAGAAAGACCTGTTGAGGTTTCAAACCTTGAAATTGTGGAGTGGTATGATGGAGGCTCCCATAAGTATGTGTGGCCTACGGAAGAAGCCGAAGGGCCAGAGAAGGACATTGCGAAGAAAATGCTAGCAAAGGGTTCAACTCTGGAAACTGAGCCAGCCAGCAACTCTACGAATGATCCCGTCGCAAGTGAAACGTTAGACCAGAAAGAGGGGACGAGTCAAAAAAGGAAAACTCCTCCATCAGATACGGCAGGCAATGAACCAAAAGAAGATACAAGGGAAGGGGAAACAAGCCTTCCAGCGAAGAAGCAGAAACTGGACCCTGAAGGCCAAGGGGAGCAAGTTACCACTACCGAGGACAAAAAGTTACCACCTACAGCACCTGCAGCGGAGACAGAACCATCACCAAAACCACCGGCAGTAAAATTGACAATGACCGTGTCTTCAGGGTTCTATGTCCGATCTCTGTCTCATGATTTAGGCCTTGCCGTTGGAAGCAATGCTATTATGAGCGAGCTAGTCAGGACACGACAAGGGGACTTCGAACTATCACCTGATAAGACTCTCGAGTATTCAGACATGGAAGCCGGCGAGAGTGTCTGGGCACCCAAGCTCCAACGATTCTTGGATGAATGGAAAAATAAGGGTTCCGAGCAGGAGGTGCAGCCTGAAGATAAGTCTGTTGCAACAGATGAGAAGCAGGAAGCAGAAGATTAAGTTTCCGTCTGTGTATACAATTACCTTACATAGATTAATAGATGTAAATAGACACATATTAACAAGCCACAGTGGATATATGTATGGTATGCAACATAGCAAATTGAATTGCAAGCAGAATCTTCAACGGTAATGCATGTCTGTCTATATTTGAAGGGGGTAAACAGGAGAAACACGATCAAAAGGAGCTGAATCGCCAACCCAGAACAAAACACCCTCAAAAAAAAGCACAAGCGGAAGAGCAGAAACAGTTCAACAGAGGAAAATAGATGGTATAATGGATTTTGATCCCGGCGACGAGAATCAAGTAAGGACGGACGCCAAATAGGAAAAAGGCACACAAGAGACTGGTATAATAAATTAGGGACAATAGCGAGTGGGGAAGAAGTGGGAAATAAAGAGATAAATGAGCCAGGGCACAGATTAAAGAAGAGCGCAGAGAGAGGATTCGATAGAATGACGACCCTGATTATTTTTTTTGTCCGGTGGATGCGGATGGGGAAGGGAGGGTACACAACTTCAAGGAGAATCAATTGGAATATTGAGAATAGTATGTGAGGCAAGTAGATGGATGGGATAGACTGAAGGAATAAATGGCGAAATGAGGGTGCGTGTGGAGAGATTGGGTAGAAATAAAGAGTAAATGAAGGGAAATATGGTGCAGAGGCTTGTGTTCTGGAGGAATGTTTGCTTCACCTGAGATTCTTCCAAAAAGCATCTTATCTGGGTTAACGGTGTTTGTTTCCCAAGGGTTTGGTGATAGACCAAAGGGGTTATCCAGACGCACAAGGAGGCCGGAGAGGAGGATAAGGAAAGAAAGCTATCAACGACGGTCCAGGAGGTCGGGGAGGAGGGATGAGTTGGGTTGTGGAGCCACCAGAACAGGATATCATAATATCATATAACTCATGAAATGGACGGGGTCGCAAATTATCGGAATTAATCACCTGCGGGGTGTACTTTAGATCAGGTAGAAGGTAGTAAGATAAGGAACGCAAAGGAAAAATCGCAACGAAAGGAATATGCGGAATGAACGCAATTTTGCAGCGGGGGTATTAAGGAGAGAAAGGCGAGGCTGGTCTTTTGAGGGCGATTATTGGGTATAAGCGTGGTGGGCATCGATCAAGGCTGTTAATATTGGTCAGTAAATGAACGATCAAGTTGAAAATCTGACGGAGGAGGGGCGTTGATTTGATTGACTTACTTTGGAGAGTTAGACTCTGTCCTTGCTTTGATTCACAGGCGCATTGGAGTGTATTTCCATCACAGAAATCAAGGAGAATGCTATTAGGCAGCTCCTGTCTATCATGATCAGGTACATACGGTCTTCGGAATTCAGAAAGGTGGTAGCGCTTCACGGTGTTTCGAGGGTTCCCGTCGATTGTTCCGGGGGTGAGAATCAAATATCCGCTTTCATCGACTCGCATAAATCTACGCTTCCACAAGAGGGTGTCAGGGAATTGAACATTGACTTCACCGACGTCGACGACATGAATTGGTGTGCTGTTACTGGCTGGAGATTCTTGTATCATTGGTGTTTGAGGGGGAGCTGGGCCCTTTTGATCTTTGGCTGTCGATTTCCGTAGGGGGTTCGTGGTAATGGAGGACATGCGGCGAATGATTCGTGACTTGCGAGACCCCTTTTTGTCTTCCTTTGTCTCATCTATGCTCTCGGCGTTGCCGTGTGCTGTGTCACTTGAGGACGGGGAGTGTACAGCGTCGAACATCGGTCGAGTGATGGGGGTTTTGTTTGTAGTATCGACGGAAGGGGACTTTGGCCCAGTAAACGAGTTTCGCTTAGAGCCTGCACCACTCGAACAAATCGAATGACGTTGTTCGGGGCTTCTGATACTCAGGTTGGAAGCTTGAGCTGACTTCTCACCGTTTTGCTCGACTGTGATCTCGCTCCGGTGAAGGTTCAGGGAGTTTGGCTCCGAGTCCGATGGATTGTCGGATGCACTGGCTGACGCCCCACGTACGATTCTCGCAGTGACAGAAACTGATTTGGACTTGGGTCTGTTGGAAGACTTGGAATCGCCGTTCTTCCCCGATGCAGCCTCTGCAGCTTGTGGTAGAGCTAGGTTGCTGGGAGAAGGGGAGAGAGATCCCGGAGACTGAGATATAGAAGTACGCTTTCGGAATTTTTCGAAGGCAGAGGGGGAGGCAGACTTTTGTGGCTCAGGTCGGTTTGAAGCCTTGTCTGGTATCGCGCCAGCTTCTCGGCTCGAAAACATTTCCAGGGCCTTGATGCGTTTCGAGATGCCAGAGGAAACATTTACCTTTTTAGCAACGAGGACGGGAGCTGACTTTTCTGACTCAAAGAAAGCCCTGGATGAAGCAACGCCGACTGGAAGGGCCTCGATATCCGATCTCACGGAGGAATTGGAGACCATGCGGGAACCGTTCCAACGGTCAGCAGGGGAGGGGCCCCTTCCACTGCTGCTTGTAGGCGTACGAGGAATAGTGATTGGTCGAGCCTCTTGTAGTGTTGCACTACCCAGTTCATCCATGAAAGAATCATCCGAAAGGAGGATATCCTCCTCAGCGTTACTGGCATTGGATGGGATTTGAATGGGGTCAAGCATTGCAATTCGCTTTTCCTTCTGGCTGGCCACTGCCGTATCAGCATCCTTGTCCGTGTTGGACTCTTCAGCAGCCTCAGGTGTGTTATCGGTGACCTCTTTATCGTCAACCTGGATGATTGGCGAAGGTACAGTGACGGGTGCCTCTTCAACTTTTAGTTCTGAATGCTCATCGGTCGTGCTTCGGGGTGTAGGAGTGTCCGAGCCCAGGTCGGATTCCGGCTCGGTACCCGGGACTGGAGCAGTAGAAGCAGCAGCAGCAGCAGTTCCGTTGGCTAGGGCTGGAGCGTCTTCTTCTGTTTCCGCTTCCGGCTTGGGAGCATTATCGTCGACGGAGTCGGGGATCTCGTCAGCAATACTCGATTGAGAGGAGTTGGCGAATACGGTGTGTTTTGAAAGGGCGTCCGACTCCGTGTCCGACACGTTTCGTAGGGTTGAAGACGAGCTCGTGACCACTGAAGACTTTTCGATCGAGTGGGAAGTGACGGAGGAGGAGAGGGAGGCATCGAGAGAACCTTGCGGGAGGGTAGGAGGCGAGGAAAGGGAGCTGGAAGATTCTTCGACAACAGGTTCAACCATCTGGTCTGACATCTGGTCTGTCTGTGGTGAGGGAGCTGGGTGAACAACTGTCATCTTCGGTGCAGCGTATGCCACTGGTTTAAGGAGCTCCAATTCCTCAGGAGGTGTCTGAGGTGGTGTGGGCTCCAAGTCCACCTCCTTTTCAATAAGGGGAGCAGCAACAGGTGAAACGCAGGCCTTCTTCTGCCCGACAGCGACTGAGTGATGCGACGGGGATAGCTCAACAGCCGAATCAGGCGTTGAAGCCTCAGAAGAAGGTGTTTGGACAGTCTCGTGCAGTTCTGGCGATGTTGTAATTTTTCTGCTCTCGACGACAGCTGTCTCTGCTTGTGGTGTATTAGCAGCATCCTTGTCAATAGTTGGGCCCACAAATGCCGATCCTCCCTTAGGAGAAATTCTGCTAGAGATTTCCCCATCATCTTTCCTTTGCCCCTTTGCTTCTAGCAGGTGTTCTGGAGTTTTCGATTCAGCCTTCGATTCAGCCCTCTTCGGCTGTCGAGCCATTTGCTGTTTGCGTAGTTCTAGGGCCCGCATTAGACGCTGTTTTTCCGGCGTCATCCCGATGGTTGTAGCACAGCTTCTGATCGATCTCGGAGACGAAGGCGCGTTTCTCGAGAAAGATCCGATTAGCACTGGCGGCGGGACCAGGAGAGGAGGTACAGGAGGTACTGTCCCCTGAGTCTGGGCCCCTGGCTGCTCATAGTCTGGCTGTGACTTGGGCCGCGATGTAGACTGCTTCCTCGACCGCATTCCCGCAGGGAGCGACGCAACCGGACGAGGTTCATAGGATCGAGTCATGGAGCCTGCAGTCTTGGGCCGTCCACTGGCATCCAGTGATGGTCGTGGTCCAAGTCGTACTTTGGGTCTCCGAATGGTAATTTGATCCAGCTCGTGGAGAGACGGCCTGACTGACTGAGAGGACGTTCGTGATTCGGGAAGCGGCTGAGATAGCTGGTCGAGAAGGTGCTGCTGAGGAATGCCATTTGCGCGAGTTGGACTGCTCAAACCGGGGGCTGAGGGCAGTGGTTTGTGCGAGAGCGCCTCTGGAGCCAGCATGACACCGTCTGGCAGGCCCTTTGAAGGTCCGTCCCGCAGCATACTATGGCTAGGCACCGCGGTGGCCTCTGAAGTTCCGCTGAAGACGCTTCCTGCTCTACTATGGCTGGACGAGGTTGGAGCCAGCTTGATGCGCTCTTCCTCGTCTGGTCCGTTCTCCTCGGCATCTTCGGTGATTTCTCCAAGCCGTCGTTGTCGCAGCGAGCTGGTTGAGGAGGTCATGGAGCCCGATGCGGTGTGCAGCATGCAGGTGGATGAGAGCGCATTTTCGGTGAGTTCAGACGGGGTTGTAAGTGAAAAGACGGTATCGTGAGGCGAGAACCGGTCGAGAATCGACTGGAACTGGACAGTGATTCGAGCTATCGACGCAGAGTCAGCATTATCATGCAGGCGAGGGCCCCATAAGATGCGGTTGGTTGAGCAAGACGAAGGCGGGTATATAACTTCATCGAAGCCCATACAAAAAGCCTCGACAAAAAAAAAAAAATAATAATAACAGAAATAAATACAAATAAAAATTAACCGCGAAGATTGAAAATACCTTGGATGAGTCTCGAGATTCCTTCAGGCACGTATCTGAGTATGATCTTTCTCCGGCGATACTGTAGGAAGCCATACAGCGGCGATTTCTCCTCGTAGGCGGTTATTGTCGAGCGAATCTCCACGACGCCCCCGGTTCCCTTGTGCAGCAAAGCAACGACATCTCGCGAAACGTATTTCAGCAGGAACCTGGAGCCAGCGAGTCAGCAAGCGGCAGACAGATAGACGGATGGCCATGAGTTGTCTGCATGCGTTGGTAAGAGCATAGAGCCGCTCTTTAATAATAAGATGGAGAGGAACCATGGTTGCAGCGCCCAACTCAATTGCAGCAGGACTGGGGACAGGCAGCACTCACCATCCTCCGGCCTCAGCGAGCGCACTCTGGTAAGACTCGATGATAGAGGGATCATCTAACCCATTGAGCGACATGACGGGTTCTGCATTGGAATGGGATGTTTGCAGCGCCGGAAGGACGAGAGGGAGTGACACAGTCGGTCGGTTGTTGCAAGCAGCAGCAGAACAGGCCCAGAGTCGGGTCAGGGGGCGAGACGCCGTCCAGGAGGGCGTCCGAGGCTAGTCGAGAGTATACGAGGCCGGCGGCAGCGAGGACGGGCACGTCGAAGGGGCAGAGGCAGACGGAGAGCAGATGCAAGAAGAAGAAAAGGCAGACGGCGACGGGGAAGAAGAAAAAGAACGAGGAGGTTGTTTTTCTGGTGGTGGAACCGCAGCCAGCACTTTTTTCCTTTACAACAACACCGCGGCTCAACCTCTCTCCCTCTCTCTCTTGCTTCTTTGCTCTTTGCTTCTTCTTCCTCTTCTTCGACTTCTTCCTACGGTCTAGGGCTTTTCTTTGATGGGCGGCAGGCAAACGGGGCCTCGTTGCTTCTGCTCCGGGCGGCTCTGGCTGAAACACAGGCCGACTATCTATCACCATTCTACATACATATACATGCACAAACAGCTACTGCGACGACGTGCCATCGCACAGAGGACAGACAGGCTTGCTGGCCGTCTGAAAAGCAGATCCTCGACGGCCCTACACGCACCCAAAGTGACATGTCACCAGTCTCGCCTGCGCAAACCCTGCTAGACGAGCCATTTCGACTCGGTCTCGCGCTGTGTGCGTGTCTATAGAGCTTCTAGAGGAATGGGACGACAGCAAACACGCAGGCCAGGGCCTTCCAGGGGGGTACCTCTCCTCGACCTTTGCCATTCGCCTGTTCACAAGAAAGAATTCAGAGAGAAAAAGAAAAAAATTAAACGAAGCCAGGTGGGAACGGGCATTGCAAAAAAGAAAAGGACAATAAAATATATAATAATAACACCGGCGAAAGAGAGGGCGAGAGATCCGATCCACCCAGCGCTAAAGGGGATTGCTTCATAACGCAGCTCGCCAATCCTCGGAGGATAGATATAAATACTTTTTTGCCTCGATCCAGAGATTCTTCCTTTGATAGACAGCGGTCCTGAAACCTGGTCCGGTTCCTGACCCAGCAAAGTCGCCTTCGATGGAGTAGGTGTATGTTATTAGAGATATCAGAGTCAGCGGTGTTGGTTAAAGAGGCAGCTGTAGCGCTGCGTTGTTCCGGAAGTTAGTGAAGTTGAAGTTGAAGGAAGATGAAGATGAAGTTGAGGTTGACGAGCGGAAAAATGTTGCGGCTCTGACGTTATGCACTTCTAGCTATCCCAAAGCAGCAACGCCAGAGCGTCACATGTCTGCAGTCACATGTTCCGACCGCCAGGACGGCGTTTTTGCGGGTTTTGATTTGTTTGTTTTTGGGCGAGAAGAAGGCGAGAGCTGCGGCCTGTCTGCTGGCCGGCGGTGGAAAGTGACTTCTGACCTCCCTTGCTGACCGGCGAGACATGTACATGACATGACCCATGGCAGCCTGACGTGCTCTCGGAACAGTTAACCAGTTGGTTAGGCGGTGCGATGGCGCTGGAGATGCGATCCACCTCCCTCCCCCTAGTCCGATGGAGACAACCTTAAAAACACCGGACGCTGTCAGCCGTTTGCAGGGCGGAGCAGGCCAGGCAGAGACGTTGGACAGGCAGCCGTTTGATGCCGATAGAAGCACCTACGAAATTCTTCCGGTGATGGTGAATAACTAGCTATTGGCCGACTGTCAGACAGCCAAGTCTACGATAGTTAACTGTGTGGTGGCCAAGGAAGAGACTTTGGATTAGTTGACTAACAATATTACGCCATCTACAGTATCCAGAAAGCAAGGGAGTAGTTGGGCTACACGATAACAAGAAATCAGGTTCACCTGGATTCGCCTTCGAAGATGTTCATCTTGGGGTTGAAGTCTTCCGTCCACTCAGAGACCATCAGGGCAGCAACGTTCATTCCGGAAAGCGAGCTCGTCTCCATCGTTGAGATCAGACTTTCGATTCCACTGGTATACCACAGGCCCGGAGACAGTTTGATGCTCTCAAACGTCACCCGGGGATATAGGACAGGATATGGGTGCCACACTTTCTCATAACTCCAGCTGATGTCGGCCTCTGGAAAGTCGGCAATAGTCCCGTTTATCGGCCCTTCCAGACCCAGGATACCGGATAAGAACATCGCATTTAGGCGTTCGGGGGAGAAGACCTTGTATACGTAATGATATTTGCCCTCATCCTCCCCTGTATTTGGCTGTCGCACCTTTCGAAGAGTGCTTATGCTCCAGAACCCAGTAGGACCAACTCCGTCGCGGCGATGTCCCAGGTTGAGACCCTTGGGTAGGGTAGTGAGAACAGTTTCTGGTACCATGTTGCTCAGCGGCAGGTTGAAATATTTAGGAGATAGCTTATGAGGTGAGGAGAAAAGAGTGACATGTAGCGTCATATAGGGAATGTTGTCAGGTTGGTTGTCAAGGGGGGGTTCGAGCTTGATATCAGAGAACTGGAGTGGTGCAGCAAGTACAACTTGGTCAAACACCTCGTCCTCGGTTCTGTTGGCCTTGCAATTATGAGAGACGGTATAGGTGTTATCCTCTTCCCTTTTCAAGCTTGTAACTTGGGATTCAAGTTTCAAGACGGCCTGGGATGCTTCTACCATACCGCTGAATATCTGCCAATTTCCCCCCTGAATGGAAACCGCACCTTGAGCTGCCATGCAGACCATAGTCTCCAGTCCATGAATAAGGGGAAGGTTTTGACCATAGTTCACGCGAGTACTTGCTTGGATGATCTCTCTCGAGAATGCCTCCGATATGTGGTTTTCTTTCAGGAATTCTGCTCCTGTAGCCCAGGTTGCCTCAACCAGACCACTGCTTCGTGCGGCTTCCGAAAGGTTCTTCCACGGAAACAATGGATATCTGTACAATTTCAAAAACTTTCCGACAGTAGACTTCATCAAGTCCTGGGTTCGCATGGGGGCCCATCCATATTTCCACAGAAGTTGCACTATATTCCACCATCTATAGTTGCCCTCCCTCTGCTGGAATACGAATTTGCTTCCATCCCACACACCCAGGTTGTCTGTTGCTTCTTTGGGTCGAGCAACGCCAGCATCTTGAATGTCAAGGCCAAAGTTCTTTGCGGCTCTCATGAGATTTTTATTCGCCTCGACGAATATGGATGCCCCCAGCTCTATGGGCAGTGATGGATCATCGAATACGTCAACCGTGGTGGACCTTCCGCCAACATAGTCTTCGCGTTCGAATATCGTAATGTTTACGGGAATGGAATAGTAATCGGCGTAAGTTCGGAGATAGTAAGCGGTAGATGAACCCCCCGACCCGGCACCTATTTGACAGTTAGTTGGATTGAAAACTGCGTTGGCGATCACTGAGTCCTGCAGAATATGTAACGGAGACATTACCGATTATTGCAACTCTTTTCGGCGCTTTCGGGGCTGCTGGTGCATCTGCTGCCAGTGGCTGCTGCACCTCCTGCGACAGCACAAAGCTCGCCAGCAGGAGGATGTACAGAACAAGGGTAGAACGAATGCTATGCATCGTGATTCTGTTGTAGTGCTGCCCAGTCCAATTACACCGAAGACGAGGGTATTATTTCTAGGAAACGGGGGCTTGCGAGTACTACCCGCTGCTGTCACACTGGTCTTTCTCAACAGCGAGTAGTTACATTAATCAAAAATACTATCAACCACAGAACGAATGTCAAGTCAAATGCATCACAGTGGGTTCCTCTTCCTCTGCCTGTGATGACTGCGGTCGGCCGCGGAATTTTCTTGATGTCTCGAACACAGCAGTGAAGATCTCGGCTGCGCGTCAGGAGGAAGTCACAGCAGCAGCAGCACCGACAGCAAAGAAGGCAGCAAGCACAACGAACAGTTCGGCCCTCCACCACGGCGGCCCAAGGCTTTCTTAAACAGACTCTGCGACACACGGCAGGATGATCTACCCTATGTTGATGTACGGCGCCTTAAACACTATGCATCTGGCAAAGAGAACAAATGTTGGTTGAGCGAGTAAGTTCAACTGCACAAGACAAAGCTGGAAGCCCTATTAATAGCAGATAAGTGCTAAGATAAGTGCTTATTCCGAGATCAGCATACAACCAGAAGAGAAGGGTGAGTATTGGCTGCAAACTCCGTACTGCGCATCGATATTCGCCCGCTATACATGGACATGTGCCATGGCGTGCGTCTTTTGGCTGATCACCCGCGTTCCTGTTGGTTGCTCTTGGTAGTTAACTAGTTAGTTACTCCGTATCAAAGTTCGATTTAAAGCAGCCTTAACACTAACTAGAAGAACTTCTCCATTCCAAAAGAGCTACTAAGATATACGGAGTAGCATAGGAGGCTGTCGATATCTTATATGCCAATATGGTTCGTTATCAGGGAGAAGTTGGAGGTTGAATATAGTTAACCATTAGTTACTCCACGATATTTACGTCACATGACAAAAGTATTTTTAATTTCGCGTTCCGGCGCGCATCACCAATGTAAACACCATCCATCTCCATCCTATTCCAGCATGCCACGTACACCCCTACGCCCAATTGATGGCAATATATAGAGGAATAAGGAACTAACTCCTTATATAAGAGCTCTAATATATGGGAGGAGCGATTCCGGCTAGAGAAATTCATATATTTCGCAAGCAATTAGTATTTCACCCCAAACCATTATATATACCCTGAAGAAAAGAGCAGAAAGAACTAGGGGAGAAAGTATTAAACGAGCTAGTAGACCTAGGAAGCTATTAGAAGCTAATATTTAATATATCCTACATACTATTAAGAAGAACCCTTTTATTACTCTTTGCGAATTGCAGTCCGAATATTTACTCCTTAAAATTAGTATCTCTACAAGGTCCCTCTCTCGATATATTAAGGAATCAGCCTATAGGCACTAGAAGGCAAGGAAAAGGCCTCAATTAATAGAAGAAGTAGCTACTCTACGTAAGGCCTAGGCTTTAAAATATAAGGATAATACCTAGGAGGAGTAGTCCAAGGTTATATAGTCTAATAAATACTCTATGGAGTTAGGAAAAGGCAAAGATAACTTATAGGTCTTCTATAAGTATAAACTTAATATAAAATAGAAGAAGGAGTATATAAGATTAAAGATTAAGCTAAAGAGAGTCTCGATAATAATCTAGGGTACTATTTAGGGCAAGGGTTATCAAGATCTTAATATAATGACTCGAGATCCGGAGTTAAATATAAGGGGGTACTCTAGTAACTCCTATTTTAATATCCTTAAGGATAATTTACCTTCTATCTAGGAACCAGGTATAATATTTATATAAGATAATACTCCTATATATATAGCCAAAAAGATCATAGATTAGTTGCAGGAGAATAGAATTCAAACTATAGACTAGCCCCCCTATTTACTAGATATAAACCCTATCGAACATACTTAGGCTAGGCTTAAAGTAACTCTTTATAGACTAGACCTAGATATCGAGAAATACGCAGGGCCTAAAAAGGAACTCAAGGCTAAATTTGTAGCTCTTATTGAGTAAGTATAGGAGTTATTAGGCTAGGATTATTTTAATAGGTTAATAAGGAGTATAGATAATAGAATCAATGCTTTACTCGAGGTAGATAGGTAGTATACACGGTATTAAATAGGGGATAACTATCCTAGCTATTTCTCTAGCTAATTTAGAGCCTATTTTATTAATTTCATATAATAATATCGATATTTGGTAGTGTAATATTTAATATAAGAATAGGGGTACTCATATAAAAATTGGTGGCGATCCCAAAAGCAAAATACTTTTGTCCTAGAACTGTAACTACTCCGCACTCCTGACCCCACTTAATCCCCCTAACTAATATAAAAAATAATAATAATAACTACGGAGTAACTAGTTAATATAACAAAGCTTTCCTTAACCAGCTATAATAACCCTACTATAGTGTTACATCCGGTGCAATTCCTTGAATTACTTCCTCGAGAAGAGTGTCGCGGATGAAAGAGGGCTACAACCATGCTCTCTAGTAATGTAGGCTATTAAAGTTGTAAGCTTTGCTTAGGGTAACTAACTAGTTATATAGTTAGGGAAGAATCAGTTAAATCAGCCGGTAAGCTTATAACTGGATTGTAACTCTGAGCGATAGCCTTGAAAGCCTATGACTATATATGAAAGCTACAAGGGATTGTACGTGATAAGTAAGAGTCTATTTTGGTGGTAGCAACTGTTAAAGGTCACTATACAATTAACTTTATCGTTGGTAGTTAAAGTCACATCGAGAGTGATGATTGATTTGATCCAATGGCTCTATCGACAATGTAGAGAAACATTTTACTACGTAGTTTCACTTTCAGCTGGTACCTGTCTAGGTTAGATAACTATTCCAACCCTCACCCTTAATTGCTTTCAATCAGAAGTCCCCTTTGCGATGCTTGTGATGTCTGCGCGAGTGGCCATGAGAGTGTCGATTTCCAACCTGCCCCTGAGTAGGCGGGTCGGTCGCTGCGGGCAAGGAGATCGAGTGCCCTTTTCGAGACGGAGTTGAGCGTACCACAGAGCTGTCGGTGCTGGCATCATCAAGTCCCTCTGCTGGGTCTGTTGGAGCAGGAGGAGGGGAACCAGAAACAGATGAGCCAGGGCCGTAATTATCGTGCCACCATTTGGCCATAATGCTTTCTGGTGAATCTGCTTCCGCACAGGTAGCTGTTAACTGCTTCGCACGCCTGCGGAGATGAGCAGCACTATTAACATCAACCGGTATTTCGGCTGGATCCAGACTCCCAGGATCGCGTTTATAGTTTTGAAAGGTCCAGTCATACGGAGTCGAGAACATTGGATCAGCAGTGTCGACACGAAATCCATGGTCCCTGATAGTCTTAGTTACCCCATTGTCTTCCCATTTAGCTGTAACACGGGTTAGAATTTATCCATATAACAGAAATGATCCGAGGGGCTCACCAAAGCATCTATGTTCTGGAACCATTGAGTTAAACTATTGACCATATTAGCGCCAGAGTACTGTCAGATATCTCTAGCAAAAAGATATAAGAAGATACATACTCCATACTGTCCGATGAATCCAGTGGCAGCAAGTCGGTTATCTCCTGGAAAAGGCCCCTTAAATTCCCAAGTGATAGGGGGCGGGGACATCAAAAGCGAGTAGCACGGCGCCCAGGTTGCTGATATAAAATACTGGAACTCATTTCCTGTTTGTTGAGGTACTCCGGTTATTATTCAATCGTTCACCGGCTTAACAGATACCATAATTCTTGAAGAAGCCTTCATACCTTGTAACCCGTTGGCATCTCCATCTATGGCACGGAGCGCTTGTGGTACGTTGCCCCCGGACTCGAGTAATGAGCCCATGGGGAATTCATCACTATCAAAGATTAGCCATCGTATCCCCACAGCCCGTCGATCCTTTCATACATACACTTCACAGTAGTTTCGGTCGGATTGATCGGTTGGCCAATCTTTATACTTTATGTGATGATCACTCCTCCATTTTTCCTGCCTTCGCATGTCTACCCGCGTACCTGAGATTTTGACACTCCAGTTAGTTCTGATCCTGTTAGCAGAGCAGAAGGTTCGGAGGGTCCCTTACCTGCATAGTGATAAACTCTGTTGCCTCCTAGAATCTTGTCAATGCCCCATCGTTGATTATCACAAACCTGTTTAGAATCGAGTTAGCATCGAATGGTTTCGATAATGTCCAAAGATTGCCATATACAATATAATGAATGGTGGCAGGCAAGGTACTAACCTCATCGTACCCAACCCCATAGGAGCAGGTGTATGTCACAGAACAATCGCTATCCGTGGAAGCGTATGTAACCAGAGCATGTCTAAACACAGTCTATCAGTTCTTACTTGAACACATTAGAGGACGTGCATCAACTTACGTTCCAAATAACCTTTGTCCTTGCGAATTGACTTTCGTCTTGTGACCAGACCCCTTCTTTCTTGTCGCGGGAGTTTTTTGGACTTTATTATTCCCAGGCCTAGGCCTTAGGGCGCCCGAATACCCACCCTTAACTATAGCGCCAGGGACAGATGCTTGAGATGTAATACAGACAGCATAACTTATACCGGCGACGGCTACTGCACCAATCCCGCCGGTGATGACACCCAGTACCGCACCACCAGCAAGAATAATTGCTGTCACAGAGGCACACTTGGCTGCAGCGGACTGATTGTCTCGTTTATTTAGGTTCGAATATGTATTCACGACTGAGTTGGCGTCAATGAGCGCTACGTCTTTGGCGTGAACGTTTTCGGGGGGCATGTATCCTCGACAACAGTACTATACAAAATTAGTATGTAATGATTCCGTATGGGGTATATCGAATACCTTTTGATACCCTCCGTTACACGTTTGACTGCTAGAATTAGCCTCTTGTTCCTCTAGTGGAATTGACTCATCAGTCCGTGGCTGACTACTTCAACGTACTCTTCTTTTCTAAAGGGCGTGACAGGATATCGCATTAGTATGATCCTCCGTATCCATGTGAATATGTACGAAGCAAGGCAACTTACATCCCTAATTCTTTCACTTCAAGAACGTGGTTTGAATTTACGGCCAGAATGGAATCCAGCTCGTCCCGACAACCGCCAGAGCAGCTATAACCTATAGTAAGCCCTTGAAGAAGTTCGAATAGCTAGTCTTATGAAGTTTTTTCATACCTGAGTCCCTGGCCACGCCAACCACGCCATTCACACCGACCCTATAAATTTATTAGTTGCTTCTGTTGAGCGGCGGAATTAGAAAAGCCTACCGGATTTCCGCCCTGTAACAATAGATTTCTGATTAGTTCTCTATGCGGAGTGAATATATGAATCGCAAGAAGTGGAGGGGGACTAACTGATACACAACATAGACTTTGAACCGTATCACGATCTGCGCATGATGTATTAAATTTGATGCCGTCGACCTGGCCACGCATGTAAGTAAAAGCGGTATATCCTTCCGCACAACTCTCGCCGCAAAATGAGGTATAACAGCTGTCCGAGATATAGGCCGATTTCCGTACTTCGGCTTCAATTCCAATCAATCAATAAGCAAACAACTCCCAATGGATCTATTAGTAAGACAGGTTACATACCAATAGTGTCCTCAGACCAGGAATCATCACCGCCGTCAAAGAACACTCCGCCAGTAAAATGAATGTTGAATTTCCCAAGTCCAGTTCCAATCGTATGGGAGTTCGTGGTGCCATTCAGGTCATCAAGGTCAATAGCTAGTAAAAAAACAAGACTCTCCATTTAGTCTCCAGTCTTGACTAGTGGACAGGGTTAAGTATAACAACGGAGAAGAGGGTAACGCTTCCTTACCCCAGATCATAGTCCCTCCTAAGCAGAGTGAGTTGGCGTAGTTGATTTTCTGGGCGAAAGTTATCTCGTCATCATAGCTGACCCATTGGTCATTATTCCAGGTTATCCAATTGACACCGGCCTCTAGGAACACCTGTTAGTACAAATGTAATGCAATTTCAATAACAGGTAAGGCCCAATTACTCTTATCATATATAGGGGTAAGATTGTGTTCATTAATAATCTCGACGATTTCTATGGTGTTAAGACTGTGAGCCACTTCTCCCAAAATTTATGGAAGGCATGTGCAATACGTACCAGCATTTGAAAGAGTTCCAGAGTTCCTAGTGCATCGTCCTGGTGCACCTCCCTGGGTGAAGCGACAGCCTGGTTTAGAACAGGAACTGTCTTCTAGAGTGAATGAACGGCCGTACCAGCCGAGGCCAAGTATAACCTTGGCGGGCTCAACGCCAGCTCGCCAGAGTAGATCTAGCCCTTCTCCAATTTCAGTCAGGTTTGTATGTGGTCGAATCTAAATGGCTGTCAGTATCTCGCCCATTGTAGCATGAAGAGTAGTGGCAGGAGGGGGTTTGCGCGTGGGAGAACAGACAAATGGCCCTGAGAACTTGCTTGATGCATCCCAAACACCGTGGATATCATATGTCATTACGTTAAACCAATCCAAATAATGCTGCATTTTGTTGACATCAAACCAGCGTAGGTACCAAAAGCTTGCAGGGAGGGTAGCACTTAGGCCTTTGAATATCCAGCAAGTTAGTCGTCAAGCACACACAATGGGCACACGAAAACAGATCAACCGACCGTATTGGCCCTGAAAAGCCGCCCGCATCTCTTTCAGAAGTAAAACAAGGTTTGCAGTATCTTCGACTTTGCCTCCACGGTCCTCAGCACCGGGATACTATTCAGAGCTTTCGTCAATATTCCCTACTAAGTAAGTCGGGATGATTGGACACTGCTTACCTCCCAATCAAGATCGGCACCATCAAAACCGTACGTTTTCATGAACCTCAGAAGAGCAGAGATGAACTTCGCTCGATTGGCCGTAGTACTGACCATATCACTGAAAGCCGTGCGAGTATTCGGTGAATTGGTCTCGTCCTGAATCATGTCATCATCAGATCTTTTGCCTAGTAACAAACGGTGCCAAATAACTTACGTTGAATGACCAACCCCCGATGGCAGCCCAAACCTCCATACCACTATACAAGTTTTACGTTAACTATAAGTCATGCTATTAGCCAAGTGGTAGACTCACGGGTGTTTTTTCTTAAGCGCAATGACTCGAGGAATCAATTCGGCAGTTGTGCTTGTCATGGGCGTTATCTCGAAAGTGGTTGGATGAAAAAACATGAAAGCTGTGCGTTTAATTAGCCAGCTGCTTTAAATTTCTTTTTTCTTTTCGTAAGGCGTCCGATCCATACCGAAATTTAAATGCGTGATCCCGTCGAGTTTAAGCTGCTCGGGTGTCGAGGCCTGGCAGGGTCTTTCTATCGCCCTACTGAGAATTAGCTATGATCGGCTTGGGTATATATTCGCAGCGAATGGTGTACCAAGATTCATAGTATGCAATCCTTCTTAACGCAGCAGAAGCGCCTCCTACACAGGAAGGGCGAGGAACATCTCCACACCCTCCGTAACTTGACTGACACCCAGTACCGCAGAACTCTACAAAAACATGTTAGATCTACTGTATCCGTAAGAAGGCTAGAATCGTACGATTCCCATGTGAAGTTATCCTTACCGGACGTTGACCCGCAGAACCCGTACTGGCTACAGCAGACGTTCAGAGGGCACTTATTTTTCCCTTCTATCCCATACTGACCACATTCTGCTTTCGCATCGCAGTTCCTAACAATGGTCAGTATCTTTCACTCCCGGGTGTAGTCGCCAATAAACATTTTCTGTGGATTGACATACGAAATGCAGTTGTCTTTTCCACAAAAGTCCGGGGAATAACCGCAACCTCCTTGCTATACCAACACAATTATTAGCCATGACTCTAAAAGATGGAGTTGAACAGACTTGCCTTACTGCAACAAGCTCCGTTAACACAAGGGATCCCAGGGGCGCATGTTCCGATTGGCAGGTCATTTGTACTTGCGAGTTTGTGGGAGTTGTAGAGAACAGGGCGACCAGCAACACTTATATTGGCATCTTTAGCGAATCGTGGTGTTGACTTCGACGGAGGCGTAAATCTCGGTTTATACAATGTCTCGTTGAGAGCTTTGCCATCAGCGAGCCGGATCAGAGCAGTGACAAGCCATAGGCTCACCCATGCTACTCGGTGACGAAAATCCATATCAGGTCAGAATTTAGCGGGGTTAAAGTTCGTTTCCTCCCTTTGGAAATAAGGGTTTGTTGCTGCAAAGAGGGTATTGATGGCGGCAACAACTGGCCCAAAAGATGAAGGTCAATTGAACTCAGACACGTCCGTATACGACCTATATAGTATGTTGCTCAATTCCCCTGTACTGTCAAGCCTTGTCAATAATAACTGAAAGAGAAACATCCTATTCAGATACGAGCTCGACAATGCAGCTTCCCAGCCGGTGATAGGAGTCCCTTCGGCCATGACTATCGGTTGCATAATCAGTGAACAACGTATGTCCCTGTCCCCAGGAAATTAAGAAGGATCTTGCATATGTAAATGGCATATGTACGTAAATAAAATATGCGCCAAGGTTCAAAGTGAGTATGGGAAGGGACAGAGTATGGGAAGGGAAAGGGTATGATAGCAGCTGTCGAGGTTGGCGGAGAGCTAAGTTAAAGTTCGGCTATCGGGAGCGGCGTATGGAAGAATTAACTTTATCTAACTAACTTAAGTTAGCTAAACCTTCGCCCAGGCCAACCTTGGCGTCTCGACCCAACATCCATTGGCATCTCGACCTCTTCGTATCCTCTCGACTCAGCTAGAGGAGATTGCAATGTGATTCCAGTGTGATTCGGAGAACTGCCCCTGTTTTCAGAAGGTGATAGGAATATGTTCCAGCATTGTCGAGCTACGTCGGCCAGGATTTACCATGCAAAGGAGTGCTGAGTACCCCATGCAAAGGAGGTGCGCACTCTATCAAGTTAGTGGAGGCTCTGGAAATAGGATCACACCAGCCATCCCAGAAATTACTACGATAATGATTATGGTATGTGTTGGAATGAATTTGGTCATGGGCCGACCTCGTATCCGGGGATTCTCCTGTTGCTCGCCCTGCAAAGGAGAGATATATTGAGGATCATAACTGCCTCAGGAGACTCGAGCATTCCGCAATTAGTGCCGTAAGTCAAGATATAATGATTCCTCGAAACCTCATCTCAGGACTCTTTCTTTTACCGTTCGTCGTTGCAGAGCTAAATATCTATGGGTATTTGGATCTCAAGACTCTTGCAGATGGATTTCATACGACTACGGCTTGCATCGCCGCCTTGTACGGCGTCTTTTTGCTTTCCCCAGTTTCCATTGACATAATCTAATTCTATTATTTAGAAACCAAACTGTTGATTGCGACGCCAGGACTGCAGTTGCCGCAGCTGTTGCTGATACCTACTACTGGACATTAGACAATGTGACCACTCTATGCACTTCCCAATGCCAACAATCACTCACCTCCTGGACCTCCGCCGTGGATGCGGCGTGTGGGAATCGCCCTATTGTCGAAGATGGAATAGTCAAGCTTGCCTCATCCACTCCCCTTACATATAAAGAGGGATTCGATTTGGTTTGCCTCAAATCAGGGTATGACCATTATTCTCTTTATAAACGTTTTGAATGTGTTAAGCACAGCTAACACTATGCACCTACAGAGACTCGTGGTGCATGATCGAGTCTCAGGAGTGGGAAGGATCAGATATCCTCAAATATCCTACAGATTACTGCTCCACTGGAGATCCAGAGTATGATGGGCCAGAATGTTTTGAGAAAGGGTTTGATCAGTTAGCCATTGAAGCAGGCGATGAGCGCATGACTTCTCTTTACGAAAAAGATCTGGTAGGTCGGATGTTATGGCGGGCTAAATAATATCATCTTCAATGCCGCGCTAACTAACTATCTTATTTTTCATAGCTGTGCAGTGATTGTTTTCTGAAGGTTTTCCGCCAACGATTGTTGTCACCGTTCCTTCTCAAGGGCGGATATACATCATACCTTGTCGAGCAATTTCAGGATATGCAGTCGTATTGTTCCACAAGCATGCCCTATGCTACATCCACCAGTGAAGTCTTTATGGGAACAGCCACACGGACAATGCCAACAGGATCCCCCCCGCCAACGACTACTTGCGGTGGACCCACCATTCAGCCCACAGATCCGCCTCTGTCGTGTGAGGCTATCACTGATAAATATAATGTAACTACCGGAGACGTTCGTCACAGAACTGGAAACGTTTACTGCGAGTTTTCGGAGCCGCTGTGTCTTCCAGGGCCCTGCCAAATTGGTGTAGTCCCACTCGGATCTACATGGTGAGTTCAGTCTTGCTTCCAAGCCCAGATTTTTGAAGGCTAATGCCATTGATCGACAGCACGAGCCTATTGAAAAAGTATTCCAGCCCGGAGTTTAATATTACTCTGAGCCAATTCTTGAACTGGAATCCCTACCTAGCTGGATCATGCGATCTGCTACGCTGGCACCAGCGAGTATGTATAAGGTAGTGTACAACCTTTTTCTATTTCCCTTTTTGCAAATACCCCTATAGACTTCGTCTTACTGTTTGACCCAGACCTCCTGGTGGTAGCTATGAGAGTCAGCCCCCAGTTCACCAGCCGACAGGTGCTTCAGAATATTATACTACCGGTAAGAGGCTGTCTCAACTCATATTTATTTGCCCTAGGGAGACGAGGGCTGCTGATTCAACTTTATGTTTTAGCCATCCCGCCTGCCCCCACATCCACAGGAACAACTCCATCATGTGGTCGATACTATGAAGTTGTCGCTGGTGATCAATGCAACACAATCGCTCTTCATTTGTGAGTCGGACTTGCTATCTATCACCCATGTCTTAATTCTAACTCTGATTTTACTAGTGGGATAACTGTCGATGCTTTTCTTTCTTTGAATACCCAGATCGATGAAAGGTGTTCGAACCTGTGGATTGCTTACGCCTACTGCGTTGCACCTGGTAAGCAATCTCCCAAATTTGATACAAAATGAATATCAAAGTAGCCTTAAGCAAGGATATAAGGGGGAGTGTTAATTAAAGGAAACACTGCCGTATTATAGTTCAAGTGCCCCCAAAATCCACCAATGGTCTATGTGGTCCAAATAACGGTTACGCAACCTGTGAAGAAACGGGTTATGGGGACTGCTGTTCTATCAGTGGATATTGTGAGTCCAGCCATTTTACCCTAGCCACCGTCATTACCCCCTGATCCCCATAACCGGATACTCATGACACTGATTGCCCTGTTCGTACTTAGGTGGATCAACCAATGACTATTGTGGACCAGGACATTGCTACTCAGGGAAATGTGCTCCCAGCAACGGAACTACCGTCACCCAGGATGGGACGTGTGGTATGTGAATCTAAATTAACAACCAAAACCCCTTTCATCCCGCAAGTTGTACTAATTGCCTCGCAGGTCCTCAATATCATGATTGGATCTGTGGTGACTCAGCTTTTGGAAAATGCTGCTCTGTCTATGGATATTGCGGGAGTACGCCGGACTTCTGCGCAGCAGGGAATTGTCATTCGGGTGCCTGTGATACAGACATTGGCGAAGCGAGTATTGACGGTTCGTGCGGACCAAGCTTTGCAGGAAACAAAACATGTGCCGGCACTCAATTTGGCGCATGTTGCAACATGGAGGGATATTGTGGAGATGGAACCGACTACTGCTCACCCGGGAGATGCTATTCTGGAGCGTGCCAAGGGCCCTAGGATACATTCAATCGCTTTATATGTTACGGTCCTCTATCTAGATTTGTGGATATAATGAATTGTTAGGGTGGGATTTAAATGAGTAGCTATATGTATTACATCGGATTAGTATTATGTTTAATTTGTTATACATAGTCATATAAGAGCAAGACTCCATATCCAACTGTGACTAGTTAACTAGCCACAGATCCTTGTCAAGTTTTATTTACCTAGCTAACTATTAGTTATTGACTGAACGGAGGGCACCCCAAACCACCAACCACCATCTACTGGACGACCTCTCACTTGGTATTTAGCAGAGCATCCAAAAAATGACAGAATCCCTACCAAAGGATAAGGAGGAAGATAACGAGAAGGACAAAGAGGATAAGGAAGAGGACACGGAGGATGATGAGAACGAAGCAGAAGAAGAAAAGTTTGACCCCACCCTCTGCGCGATGCTATACAACCGCCTTATCCGAATTGGCTTTGATGGCAGCAATCGAGAGCAGGACGGGGAGTCCCTTCGAACCAACTGGTTTGAAGTATGGAAGACCGATCCTAAGGTCGAAAAGTGTCGCGAAAGATTCAGCGAGCCTCTGATTAAATTCCTTGAGCAGATTGAAATAGTCGTTCGCAAAGATGGCTCTGCTCCCTATCACGACGTACTAATCTATAATTACAAGTCAATAATGTCACCAACAGGTATAGATGATGACCTAGGGTTAGGGGTGTTAAAAGATGAGGGCTATGACTGTATCTGTCTATTTTCAACCAATATGGCCTCCGTCCCGCATCGGTTGGGCTTAGTTATGGATTTAGACGATCTTCTTGTCCGATATATACCTAGCTTTTCTTGCCATTACGACATCGAGGATACCAGACGCTGGTATACGTTGGAGGATGTGTTGCTTAAGCTTAATTGCATGGCCGAGATTGGAAAATATGTGCCTGTTATTCGCGACAATGAGTTCGGGAGTACATTGGAGCCTGGGTGGAAAGCCGTTCCCTGGACAGATTCCACTCTTAACGACACACTCGCTGCGTGGGAGGACCTGGTTAATACGATTGCTACACGTCTTCCTGACGATTCTTCCAAACGAGATACCCAGTCTGAACCGGAACGATTAGCTCCAGAGGATAAAATACCGTCCTCCATACACGGCTTTACTCGTGCATTTCTACTGCGCGCATTGAAACCGCCTTTCAAATTCATCGCTCCTGGGCTAACTGTCTACGATTATCGTAGCCCACCACCACCAATTCCCATGAAAAGGGACCGGGATGGGACTATGATATATGCCACACCATACCAGGAGATTCGCGGTGCAGTGTACCACAGTCCTATCATTCTATTCCCATTTGAGGAATCAGTGGAAGGGGAGATTGCTGGGCTCTGGATCCTCCCGGAGGAGGACTGGGCAGATTCCATCCGCCTAGTTCTTCCATATGAGTTAAAGAGATTTCCTACAGCGCGTCGTATATTCTTCTATATGCAAAGCCGTACATGTCTATTCCAGAGCCCAGAATGCCCGTTGTACGATGACCACCATACAAGTCTAAGGACTCTGTTCATATTTTGGAAAGAGTTGGTGGAGAAGGGAGTCTGGACCGTGGGTGCCGAAGGTATTGAGGGAGGGAAAGACTTCTATCGACATGCAGAGGATAAAGAAAAAGGGGAATGGTTTGACGTTGGAGAATGCTTCGATTTTCCGCCACACGTAGAAATTCACCTCTAGCTGATTGGGCCCTAAAATACTCTAGTCCTCCTTATTCCATTCTATATTAATTCCATACCTTCCTTCTGGCAGTTAGTTGCTTGCCAAATGCTGGGGTTCAGGATCCTGGGTATACTTGATAGCACTATAAGAATGAGGGTTGACATGCATATATCACGATGATTGAGCACGTTGAGGGATGTGGAGGAAAATATTAACATCTAGAATGACCATGGACAGGGTCACCAGTGAATTCGTTTGGTCCATACCATAATCAATGAGTTTGGGTTCTTCCCTGTCCGTTGACCATGATGCTGCAAGTGATGGTATTTAAGTTGAGGGTTAAATCCTATTAATAAAGCGCACCACTTAGCTGATGAGTAACTAAGTTCGAAGCTTAAGTTACGCCAAGAATGTTAGCTTAGTAACCAATTTAGATAAGGATCACGTGCATCACTGATAAACAATTTTTGGGCTGCAAAAGAAATATTTCTGACAAGTTTTATAAAGCGACACAGAGGGGAACGAACAATACCTTTTGGCACGAGAATAAAAACATGGATTCATACGATAGTGACTCGTCCGGCATAGACGAGGAGTTGGACGACTGCACAGAAACTGGAGTTCTTCTTGGATATGCTTCAAAGGAAGAACTCAGTGATGCTATCAGTCACTTAGGGGGATGGCCAGTGGGTATACCTTTCTTCTTACAATTCCGACACCACATATAGTTATTTACCTCTGGGAATGGCTCCTTGAAGATATTGAGCGTTAAATGTCAAAATTTCGTGCCCATTATTCCCTTCAATGCTAACAGCAGCTTTGTTCTTATCAGACATGGCTTGACCCCGCGACCCCTCCACCAGGCAATTTCGCCAAATGCAAGGTCTGCAATGACCCGATGCCGCTTCTTCTGCAGCTCAATGGCGATCTACCAGAACACTTTGCGCACGATGAGAGATGGCTATATATATTCGGTTGCGTGAGGCGGACATGCAGTCGCAAAAAGGGGAGCATACGAGCTCTACGAGCAGTGAAGAGGCACAAGACCGTCGAAGAGAGGGAGAAAGTATTTGAGAAGCAGAAAGAAGAAGCGCAGAATAAGCCCAAACGAGATCTAGGAGCTGATCTGTTTGGAGTAAAATCCTCCTCCGGCACCTCGGGAAGCTCGAATCCTTTCTCGACGTCCTCAATTGGTGGTGGGAACAGCCTTGCCAACCCCTTCGCTTCACTACCCCCTACATCATCACTTGCAGCAGTGGTACCGCAGAAGCCGGATGATGAGACCACGGCATCACTATCACCCGCGGGGGAATCTCTTCCCGAGACATTTGCGCAAAAGGCCAGCATTTCAGCACAACCTTCTAAGCCCGTAGCTGGGCCACAGGCTCCCTGGCCAGAACAGTCTGCCTTCCCACCGCCTTACCCGCATTACTTCTTTGACGCTGAATATGAAGCACTTTCCAAGACGGAGGCTCCAGTGCCTTCCAATGTAAAGATAGATACCCTCGAGGCAGAGAATGAGGGTTCTTCGTCAACCGGTACAAAGGAGACGGAAAAGGAACTATTTGAATCATCTATGGATAAGTCGTTCATTCGGTTTTCGACACGTCTGGAGCATAACCCGGAACAAGTACTGAGATATGAATTCCGAGGCACCCCACTGCTCTACTCCACGAGTGACGAGGTAGGGAAGCTATTTGCTTCAGAGAACACAAGTCAAGCGCAGTCGAACGTGAAGGTGCAAGTTAGCGGAAGCAAAGGCAGTAGCAAGATACCCCGGTGTGAGACATGTGGTTCAGAACGTGTATTTGAGCTCCAGCTTGTGCCGCATGCTATCGCCATGCTTGAAGAGGGCATGGAAGGAATAGGACTGGGGCCCAAGGACGATTTGGGCATGGAATGGGGAACTATCATATTAGGCGTTTGTGCTGCAGACTGTGCACCTGAGACCATAGGGGAGGCTGGCTGGAGAGAGGAATGGGTGGGTGTACAGTGGGAGGAGAGATTACAGCCTAAATGAATAGAGCAATTGGATAAAAAAAAAGCAGAAGATAAACAGCAAGTTGGAAGGCATAATTCGTTTTTTGATTCTTTTTTGTTTGGTTCTCGTCCAGCCGTTAAAATAGAGCCATTAAAAGACGTAACATGGGCAAAATGCAAAACCCAGTACCACGCAGGTATCGTATCTATCTAAGAGATGAATGCAAAGGGGTTAAAAGAATAGGAAATAAAAGGCAAAAAGAGGAACAATCAAGCAGGCTGCTCGAAACCTCTCCGAATAACCCTGCCAAACATCTCAATGCCGACCTTCTCACCCTTAACTTCACCCCTGGCTTCATTCTCCTTATTCCGCGGCACACGCACGGTGACGTTCTTTGCATCATTCGCACCAGAAGCACCGCTCTTATCAACCTCCCATCCACAAACATCTACAACAAACTTCTCCAAAGTGTCCAATCCCTTAACGTCAAGCCAATCCATAAGCATCTCTGCGCTGATTTCACGGAAAGCCTTTCCAACTTCGACCGCAATACGTACGCGAATCAACTCTTCGAACCCAGCTACGTCTGCAATAAGGTCTGCGTAGAGGTCATCTGAGTTTAGGGTTGACCAAAAGAGGGAGTACTGTGCTGATTCGAGCAGGGTGGAGAGACGAGCTAGCTTCTGTACTGATTCGACGAAGTCTGCTGTTTGGATGGGGAGGGTTGCGGAGGGGCCCTGGGCAGGAGCGGAGTTGTGGAATGGTTGGGTGTAGGCGGGTAGGAGGGCGAGGGAAAGGGAGAAGGCGGGAGATGGGAAGACGGTTAGAGCCTTGACCAGGATGTTTGTTGTTGTTTCGATGTTGAGAAGGTGTGGGTTGAATTGGTAGCTGTTGATCTCTGGTCAGTTACTGAGCCGTATCAATTGCAATAGCATGAAGTAAGCGTGAATATTATTTTGGGTTGAATATCATATTAAAAGTTCTCCCCACATATACCAATGGCATAGTCGTGTTAATAGGAAACGTTTATAGGTAATTAATCATTTCAACAAGGGCAAGGCAGCGAAATAGCGAAAACCAGCAGGGGAAAAAAAAAAGTAGGAAACAAGATCAACGTACAGTTTCAGCAGGGCTAGGTTGGCATAGCAGTCAAATGTTCTGTCCTCGCACTGCTGTACGACATAATCTTGGAAAACAGTGGTGGTCTCCGGGTTGTATCTGTCGAGGCCGTTTAATATGGCGTCCATATGCGGCGGACGCGTCTTGCATTTATCAAAGCCCGTCGACATTGTGAGTTATTCTGCCCCGCGGGTGTGTATGTACGTGCTAAATCCGTGGTGCTGTCTCCCTCCCTCGCTTGCAGGGGACAAGCAAAATGGGTATTAATCCAGTCGTGCAGGTAGTTCAGACTGTGTGAAGCAAGGCTATCAAGGATTAGACGTATGATCGGCGCGGTGTAGAGTAGTTGTAGAGTATATTATTGCACGTAGCGCGGAAATGCTCAACGAACGATAAAACGAACGAACGACGATGTTTTCGCTTTTGATATTTTTGTGCTTTCGACTGTGGCTTTGTGTCCCCTTTTGGCATGTTTATCCGAACCGCTTAGTCATGACTTACTAAGCGCGGTCATTTGTTGAAAGTAGACCAAGTAGAAAAAGCGCAGAGACGAAGAGCAATTGAGGCAGCGCAGGAGCTGATTAGGCCGTGGCGAGCAGCCAATTGCATGAAGTAGACATGTTTCTCTTCTTCTGCCTGCCTTTTGCCTGCGCCCTGTCTGCCTGCATCAAACCCGAGCATGGTCGGAGCCTCGGCGAAGAAAGTAGCATCACGTGAGGCTCCTCGGCTGGACTAAGTAAGAGTTTTCTTTTCGGTGTTATTCAAGTGTTATTCAAAAGTGTTGGGAGAAATCGCCATTTTGACTGCCAGCAAAATGTACAACTACGAGTACGACTGTAACTGCAACTACGACATCGGACGGAGAGACACAAGTAAACAGCGGGATTAAAATATTTATTGGCGCCCGGAGGAGCACAAGCGGAGTTAAGTTATTAAATAGAGTAGTCGAAGTACAATAGAGTAAAAAAGGTGGGATTTGGAAAAAGAGGGCGCTCGACACACGGCACACGGCACGAAGCGATGCGACGGTGGAGAGAAAGGTAAAAGAAAAAGGTAACAGTACCAGTGAAGAAGAGAAAAACGGAGCTGGGTCCCGGCCCTGACAGAAAGGAAAAAAGTGGAAAGAAAAGCGGCAGGTGAAAGGAAATGGGATATCAAGAATCAGGCCGAGGAACGTTGCCGGTCCATGAAGCCGTGAAAATAAAAAAAAAAAAAAAAAAAAAAAAAAAAAAAAAAAAAAAAAAGTCGAAGGAAAATAAGCCAGCGTGAGAGCAAAAGAAATCTATCGGTTGGATCGCAAAGCAGAGCAGTAACAGAGCAAAACACAGAACAAGGAAAAGAAAAGAAACGGTTCGAGTCCGAGTGCCGAGTTCCGAGTTTCGCTGGTCCGTGAAGAAAAAAATAAACACCCTGAATATGATGACTGAAGCAAAGGAGATGATAAGTTATAGGAAATGACAACAAAAAAAAAAAAAAAAGCCAGAAGGGGTATCGAAACCCGTACACCAGCCCTTGACCGATAGTGCCCCGTCTAAATGAACTGGAAAGGAAGAGAGTAAAGAACAAAGTAGAAAGTAAAAAAGAAAGCCGTTGGACTCGTTGCGTTGCGGAGAGCGTTTAAATGGGCGGGTCGGGTCAGGTCGGGATAGTGAGGTTGCGCAAGAAGCAGTTGACAGGACGAGACAGAGAAAAGGCGGGGAGCAGCAGGTGTGAAGGGAAAAGAAGTAAAAAAGAAATAAGAGTGTGATCCGAGTCGAGCTTTTTTGCTTTTGAGCGGGCAAGCGATTGGACTTTTTGGCGAAGCAAGCGAGCAAGAGTTGAGCAGAGCAAAGCAAGGAGGATAAGAATAAGCATGGGAGAAGGCGGAGATAGTGTTTTTGCTTGCTTGCTTTGCCTGGCTGAGGGATTAATGATGGGATGGATAGTTTTGAGTAAGTCTATGGGTTGGGTATGCCTGGTATCGATCGGGTTTGTTCGTAACGTCGTAAAGCGGTCTGTCGGTGGTGAATAATGCGTGATGGGGATTTGAATGCTGGTGGGCCAGACCGTGCCAGACCAGACCATGTTCGGGGTAACAAGTACTAAGCAGTTGTTGTTGGGAGTAGCGTGTTTTGGATTCAGATCGGCCATCGCATCGGCCACCCACCCATCGTGCATGGGGCAGATAACTTTGGCCGGTGAACAGGTTGGAGAGCAGAGCCCGGCCGGGTGGCAGCGGTGACGAAGCAAAAGCATGCAAGTCGGAGGCAGGGAAAGGATGATGAAAAGACAAAAAAAAAAAAAAAAAAAAGCAAAGGATGCCTTGTTTGCGAGTCAGGCCTGGATGAAACGAAGCCTGACAGGGCAAGACAGGGCGGAGAGAGTTAAGGATTAGGGATAGTCGGCCGAGGAAGGATGAGGAGTGAGGGGGAGGGACCGGGGTAGCAACTGGGCAGAGCAACACGAACTAGACAAGACGACCACCACGACCACGACCAGCAGAACAAAGGCAGTGTGGATGGATAGTTGGAGTTGGTTGATTGATTATGCCACCATCCTTCTGCGCTGGGAGATGGGAATTGGCTTTGGAATAGAGGTGGACATGTTCAAGCCCGAGAACTGCTGGGACAGGCTGTGGTCACTGCCAGCAGAGGTGATACCCGTGCTGCCACTCCCTCCTCGTAGTCGATCCGAAGAAGAGCGAGAAGAAGTAGTAGAAGTCGTGTTGGCGTAGTCTTCGTAGTAGGCAGAGGCCGAGTCCGGCATATGAGCGCCGTGAGCATTGTCCGACGGAGAAGCGAACATGGCGCTGAGCTGCTGTAGCAGGGCCACGAATTGAGCATGTAACTCAGCAAAGATGTATTCGTTGCCGACGATTTCGATCAGATTCCGGGCCCGGACCTGGCCTGCTCGTCGTGGCAGGCCGTCTGGATCGAGAGCCCGGCCGGTCAGGAAAGATGAGATAGGAGTGTATGCACGGGCAGAGATAGTGGTAGATGCCGTCGCAGATGAAGTAGTAGTGGTGGTAGATGATGAGGAGTGGACAGGCGAAGGGCCGTATTCTCGGATCTTTTCTGATTCCTGGAACTTCTCCGCGGCACTGACGATGTTATTGGCAATGCGACCAAAGGTGCGCCAGATGAGGGGGCTGGCTCTAAAGGTGCGTCCGGCATCCTTGCCGGCGAGAGCAACGAGGGCGTAACTTCGACGCTTGCCGCGGGCCATGGGGTCTGGGAGACGGAAGACATAGGCTATGGTATATCCTGCAGACTGATCGCCAAAGGAGAGCGGGCCGGAAGAGAGACCACGGGGGAGCAATTCGCAGGACAGAGTGCGGATGGAGGCACGGCGGAGCAGAGCGTAGTCTTCTGGGTTTGCGGGCCCGCGCATGGAGAGATAGGTGACTACGTGGGTGTGGCAGGAGGAGTCTGACGAAGAGTAGGACGAGTGCACTGACACGGGAGAGTAATAGTTATTGCTGCTGCTCCCGCCGTGGTGGTGGTGGTGGTGGTGGTGGTGGTGGGAAGAAGAAACGGAGGTCGAGCAGGTATGTGATCCATCATCATCGTCGTCGTCATAGTAATTGCTGTGGCCATTGTTGCTGTTGTTGCTGTTGCTGCTGCTGCTGTTGTGCATGTAGTGATCTGCATGGCTGCCGCGGCAGGCAAAGACGACTTCGCGTGACCGCAGGACAGGACTGCTGTGAAGGCCACGCTCCTCGACCGAGCCATTGCCATCGACAGGCAGCTGTTTGCTGACGTCCTCGGGCAGCTTGAGACGGCAGCTGGCACAGGTATCTCTGTCGCCAGCAGCACCACCAAACCGAGCAGCAGCAGCGGCGGCCTTCTTCAGGTGCCCAGCACCACCACCACCACCACCACCAACTGCACCGCCGGTACCGCTATTGCTAGCATTGCCATTGCTGTAGCTGCCGTTATTCGCAGCCCTGACGGGCCTCTCAGCCGTGAACCAGGGATGGTCTTCTATCCGCGGCGCCGTAACGGGCGCAGAGGCAGGCGGGGTGGCGAGTGGTTCGATGGCCGAAGTGGTGATGCAACGATCGGACGACGGCGAAGAGGAAGAGGTCAGCACATCGGCCGCTGCCGCGCTGGCCGCGCCAGGCGCATCTCTGTCCCTGACATGCAGCGAGCCCGCGGACGAGGACGAGGACGAGGACGGTGATCCGTTTGGCGAGGAGGAAGGCGAGTCGGGGGTGCACTGCCGGCAATGGGCGGGCAGTATCTGCGAGCAGAGGATGGACGTTGGGCCATGCACTTCGCAGAAGTGCGTGAGGGAGAGCTGAATAGATAGATGTCAGTAAGTAACAAGTAGCAAGTAGCAAGTAGCAAGTAGCAGCTGGCTTCACAGCAGGGAGCACCTACGATGAAGTCCATGGTGAACGTCAGGCGAGAGTGAGCACTCTGGCGCGAAGAGACATGCTTCCGCGAGGGAAGGGTGAAGGTGTTTTGATGGTGTTCGGCGACGGTGAAGTCGGTGATGTCAGGCGAAGGCGGCGCTCGCTGGCTGGCTGGCTGGCTGGCTGGCTGGCTGGCTGGCTGGCTGGCTGGCTGGCTGGCTTGTATATATTTATTATTATTATCCTCCGTCAGATACGACGAGGACGACCCAAGTTCGACCCAGCAGCCAACACAAGCAAAAAGGCCGCGCTGTGGAGTAAAATAAGATTAAAAAAGAAAAGAAAACGAGCAGAAGAAGCAAAGAAGCCACCGGAAAAAGCAAAGTGACGAAAGGGTTTCAATTCTTCTTTGCTTCTTCTGCGTCTCTTCTGGCTTCTGGCTTCTGGCTTCTGGCTCGTCTGGCTCGTCTTGTCTTCTTGTCTTCTTCTTGTTCTTCTTCTTGTGTCTTCTTCTGCGGTCTTCCTGCGTCTTGCGTCTTCTGCGGCGGCCTCGGGAATTTTACCCTTTTTATCTCCTTCAAGGGCCTCCTTCGTCGCCTGCTCGTGCGACGCCGTCCTGCTCGGCTGCGACGTCGGCCGGAGATGGCAGTCTGAAGTAGATGACGATGATATGATTCTTTGTGAGAGAGACTCTCCGCCTAGTCTGTATAGTGGTGCTGTAGCAGCAGCCCCATGCGGCCTTTTACTCTTTATCTGCTATCTAAATAATAATAAGACAATACTTGGGCACCGTTAAAAGGACGCTTCTTCCTGTAAGCCTGCTTCTCGTCCAGCCGGCGGGTCTGTCGTCGTAGCAAGGGCGCCTTCGCCTTATATTATCGACTCGGCCACCAAGGGGCATCCTTACCACCCCGATCACGCAACTCTTCAGGTTTTTTTCTGGCTTGTCTCTCCTCCCACTCGCCATGCTTCTTCTTCTTCTTCTTCTTCCTTTTCCTTTTTTATTCTCCGTAGCAATAATAGATCGATGATATTACTATTATTGTTCTTGGTCGGCCTATAAAAGCTGATCTATAAGAAAGCCGTATACTTACAGCGTGTATCTTATGTCGGCGTATTTTTGGTATCGATGTTACATTACACGTGACTTCCCGAGGTCCTGGGTCATCGCCAAGGCCTGGATCTCTTACATAATCAGGGTTACATGCGAGGAAAAAGTTGAAGATTCGAGACGGCGAGGACGGCGAGGACGAGGACGGCGACGACGATAGTTAGTCGATAGTCAGGGAGTAATAAGGAGTAAAAGGGAGAAGGAGAAGGAGAAGAGACCAAGACGAAGAGGCAGAGACAAGACACAGCCATCATCAGCCGCTGCTGCCCAAGGGGCTGGTCGCATAAAGTAGACAGAACGCCCTTCCCAGACCAGCGTTTCACGCTTCTGCCCCTTAGGCAGCTGCCTCGGACCTCACGGAGATGGACGGGCTCTAGTAGTGTAAGTACTTAGTCGTAGTCGTAGCATGGGAGTCCACCTCCTCCTCCTTCCAACGGCGGCCCCAGACATGGCCGCCCACGAGAAAAAGGGGGCACTCCATCGCCTCGTCAGCATTGTGGGATACCGTTGCACTCCAAGTGGGCTGCGGCAAGATAGGGGGACACGCGAGCAGTTCCCTCCTGTTCGCTGGGCTCCTCTGTCTCCCTCTCCTCTCTCTTTCTCTCTCTGTGGCAAAAGCTGGAGCTGGTCGAGATGGCGATGGCACGCACCCAGATCAAGGCACAGGACCGAGCCGAAGTGGCATGCCGTGCATGAATGAATGAGGGTTTGGGTTCTTGATGTTGATGTCGATGTCGATATAAGTAAGTATCTCGGCTGTATGCACGTTTGTTATGTATGTAAGTAAGGAAGCCTGTATGTATGTATGTCTGTATGTATATGTACGGACAATCGCCGTTAAAGAACCCAAAAGACGGAAGATGACATGGGTTAGGGTAGCACGCACAAACACGCCCTTGTCTCCCGTCCCCCTTCGTTCTTCGTGCTTTCTTCGTCTCTTCTTCGTCTCTTCTTTTTGTCTTCTTTTCCGTCTCTCCGTTGACCCCCCCGTAGTCGTCTCTCGCTTCTCTGCCGTTCGGTCGCTGCGGCTCAAAGGGGACCGTCGTCTCATATCATTATCATTATCATTATTCTGGCTTGGTCACCAACAACCAACGAAGTATAACTCCCCTCCCCTCCATATAAATTCCCCGGACGACGATCCCATTCGTCCATGGACCAGCCGTTCACCGCTCTTTTTTAACATCCTTCATCTCGTTGGTCCAGTCGCTGTCGTGTTCCAGTCCCTCTCCTGCCGTCGACCGGGAAACTCGTCACCTCACATACATACATACATACATACAGCATTCCGTCCGTACGTACAGGATTCCCATCCCATGCATGCACAAGTTTCTATACTTGTGTGAGGATAAAGATGCATGGCATCGGCATCTCTCTGTCTTCATTGGGCATCCATCTCTCTCATCCTGGCCGGCCTCGCATGGCGGTTATTCACAGACAGGACAAGGGGAGGGTGGGAAAGGGAGAGGAAAAAAAAGAAAAAGAAAAACAGCCGAACCCTTGACCCCGGCCTCTGCTTTTTTTTTCCTCTTTTTTCTCCTTCTTCGTCCTTCGTCCTTGAGTCATAATCATCGTCATACAGGGCAGACAGGCCATCGTAATACAAGGCCCGTTTGAAGGAAAAAGAAACGAAGAAAACACGCCGGATGAAAGGGGGAGGGATTCGTTTCGTTTCTTCTTCTTCCTTCTCTCGCCCTTCTCTCGTCCTGGCTCTGCTCTTCTGCCCCATGGGGAAAGCCAAAATGTGATGTTCCAATCGCTTGGTGTCGATGGTACTGATACACATCTCAACCGCCCTTCGTATATCTGGCTTGTTCCAGGGACCATACTTCCATAGTGCGATAGTACCATTTAGCTGCAGGCGGAAAGCACGGGAGTGCCGCGGAATTGTGAGCTATCATAGCATTAGTTGCTTTCTCTTCCTCCGCCGCCGCCGCCGCCGTCATCGTCCTCTCTTTTCTCGTTCTCCCTTTCTCTGCAGTGGCCTCGTAAACCGTGAATCATGCGTCGTGTCCGGAGTACGTACGGTGTACATCAAACGGTCGACTGCGGCTTTGTGATGCGTCTCCGGGCATCTGTACAGTCCCCCAATACTCCGTACATCCCCCCCTTTTGCTTTTTCCCTTTCTTCACCAAGTCCAACTATTACTTCATAGTTATCCCTCGGATCCTTCTTCCGCTTCGTTTCTTTTATATAAAATACCGCTCCCTTGCAAGCCCTCAACCCGGTCTGCGTGGCTTATTCTGAAGTACCTCGCCTCTTCGGCTATTGCCAGGTCTCCCTTGAACAAGGCATATATATACTTACAACCCCGATATTAATGATACCTTCTTATGTTTACGGAGTACGGGGCAAACAGGCACTTACAGAGATCAACCGTATCTTCATACAGAGTAAGTATACTCCAGACGACTGCGCTGTGTTTCATCCCTGGACGCGACGAACCGTTCCGCCTAGCCTGGACATGGGTGTCTGGATAGCTGCGTCGAGATTGACCTCAACATGCACGATTTACTCGCGCTCTCGTCCTGACTTACATGATGCAGTTGGCCTGTGTTCGGAGTAACGATGTCGATGCATGTGTACATGCGGTGTCTGTGTATATGTACCCATGCAGTGCGGTGTTTGTGCTCTGGCCGTGTAGTTAAAAAAAAAAATGCATTCAGCCGCGATGACATGGTCTGCTCCCGTTGGCTGTCCGACCTGGCTGACCGAAGCATCGCCAGCATACTCCGTACATTATAGGCATCGACTCGCCTGTTTGGGGCCCTGCTGTCGCTATCTCCAGGGATACAATGCATGCCTCGATCCCGTTATCGTCCATGGTAGCATATTGATGTTGGATGCTGGCTCGTGTTCATGACCAAGGTTGGACGATGCCTTGTTTGTAGTCGTAAGTCTTATGTATATCTTATATAGGTTATAGATGTGCATGCATCGCCTATCAATCTATTAATTTATCTGGCTGTGTGTATGGACGAACCAACCGCCCAACCAAAAGGTTGTTAACCAAACCAAAACCCCAAGTAGTTAAACCAACCAAAGCTGTAGTATAGAACCACCCAGTGCAAAGGGGACCAGACAAGATCACCACTCCCGCTCGCTTCCGGACGAGTCCTCGTCCTCGTCGTCTCTTCTCAGCTTCCAGATGTCCCTCGTCTTCTGGTTCTTCCCCAGATTCCCGTTCTTCGTCTTCTCAGGCTGTACCCACGGCACCCGCACTGCCCTGTACAGCCTCTGCTTCAGCCGTTCCTGATAGATCTGTCGCTCCTCTCGGCTCCTCCCCTCGCTCTGCATCTTCTGCAGCTGTGCAGAAAGGTGTTTGTGCGCCCACTTAGCGGCAAAGTATTCCTCCGTCAAGGCCCAGTCAGGGTTATCGAGATGGCCTCGCACAAGCACGATTTGATGTCCTCGCTCCAACGCATCGCGCACAGCCGCAGATCTTATGGGCATGATAAGCTCCAAAGCCTGGCTAGAGGTGTCGATGCCCCGGACCAGGGCTAGACCAAGCGAGTGTGAGTGCTGCGGGTTCAGATGCGCGCATGTTCCGTTGCCGCTGAACAGATAAGGGATGCCTTCCTTGGTGCGGTGTAGATGTGGCTGTAGCCTCTCGGCTATGGCCTGTCGTTTTGTCGCTGCTGCTGCTGCTGCTGCTGCTGCTGCTGCTGTTGGTGATGTTGCTTCTTCTGTATCACCTTCGTCTTCTTCTTCAGCCGCGTCTTCGGATCTACTATCCTCTTCTGCACGGAAGAGCATATCAATGGGCTCGACGTCATCGGGAACCGGTTTGATGGCGTCGGCATGTTCAATTGCCACGACGGCCACTATGGCCCCATCCAATAGATCGAGTATATGCTCCTTATCATAAGGGAAGCCAGCTATCATCACACCAAGGATGCCTTGGCTGCTGCCCGAATAGTTCACTTTCACCGCGCGCGTATGGCACAGAGGAGTCGCAGACCAGTGCACGCTAGTCGAACTTCGCTGCTCACACAAGAATGCATTGGTCGGATGTCGACTCTCTTGCATGTGAAAGTAAGATAGCATCTGCATCTGGCGTAGCTGGCCACGCGAGCGCGTCGCATGTTCTGTTGGCTGTGAGGGCAGCGTCCAGAACGGGATGTGAAATTGACTTGCCACAGACTTCAGGGGCCCAGCCACTTCTTCCGGCCCAGTTTCGCTCATATATACTACATCAGACAGCCTAAGCGCCTCCAGAAATCCGGTTAGAATCTCCAGGCCTTGCCCAAAGATCCAGCCGGGGTAGTTGATGATTAGCGGACACTGCGAGTAAGTTTCATGCATACTTGTATAGTAGTACCGTAGAAGGTTCATAGTGCATTGAACATAGTGTTTCGAGTCGTCCTTGGGAGAGCTACTGCCGATATGATGTGCTCGGATGATTGAGCCGTCTTCTGGGCATAATACTGGGTGCGACAGAGGCGGTCCTAGTGTAGGCGATCGGATATGCGCTAGATAGACATGACCTATCGGTGAATACTCTGGTTGCCCGGGATCCAGATCAAGGAATAGGACGCCATCGCCGTGTTGCGCCTTGTTATTGTCTTTCTCTGGTTGAAGACTGAGTAGGTGATTGAGCAGGTATCTGTTGAATGTTGATTTCCCCGACCCTCCTGGACCGCAAGTGAGAACGTTTAGATCCCTACCGCGCTGGGATAGACGCTGCATCATCAAACTCCATTTCTTATGTAGATGCAATGGCCGAATATGTCGCTTGTAGGGATCTTCCACAGACGAACCCATCTATCATAAATTTTCTTGAATTAGCATGCCCACTACCCACTATCGTCATACTTAAGAGAGCTAAGGAAAGCTTACGAGTGAAAACGAGGCATCCTCCTTGCTGAGAGTCAACATGCATCGAGGCGATATCGCCATGGGGCCATTCCATATGCGATCGAACAGGTTCGATACCTTCGCGAGCTGAGGCAGGCCGTCGTCCACCGAAATTAGCTCGAATTCTGAAAACCCATTCACGCCCGAGATGGACTTTAAAATAGGCAGTGAGTGTGTAGACGGGGCATAGACTCTGTATAAACGATCACACGGATATAGTTTTGCTCCCATCACACTCACTACCCCTCGCTTTACCCAGAGATCATAACGACCGATAATCGCCAGTGACTGCTCGTCAATTAGTGAAATTTGTGCTTTTTACTAATGAAAAGGTGCAAGCAAGCATACCTCCCCGACCCGTAACCGTAGACAGAGAGCGTCGTCTCTAGCGTATACGATGTCGTCTTGAGTGAAGGTGCTCCTTGACAGAATGAATCCCTCCTGAGCTGGTCCAGGCGCATTCCTAGCACTTCCTTTTAGCAACTGTATTTCAACATGACTGAGTAGATATGAATTCACCTCTCTCTCTTGTTCTCTGGCTGCGTAGGCTCTCTTCTACTGCCGTTCGTTATTGCTTGACCGGCTCCCCCTGGACCGGCATTGCGGACACCTGGCGCACGCTTTTGGAAAACCCCGGCCTGGTTATGGGGTATCGGGGTCGGCGATGCATCTAATTCCTGTGACGAAGAGCTTTCCGAGTACACAGGTGTAGGCGCTCTCTCGATCGCAGCGTTGGCTTGACGGGCCCTTTGCGCAGCAACCGCGCTGAGACCTAGTCAGTAGAAGTGGTAAGCAATTGATGTCCATATAAAAATCAGGAGAATCTCAACCTACGCGGCTGCAATTGTTCTGTCGCCCTTCGTTTCATCGTCTGGACCGGCCTCCCTTATGACTCCAGGGACCAGCAAATGTTAAACGAGTGTTATCTCCTTCCATCTCTCGCTGTCGACTGAATTTTGTTTCTTTTCTTTCCGTTCGTTTTTTTTTTTTTTTTTTTTTTTTTATCTTTATCTTATCAGCGTTGGATGTGGCCCGTGCTCGGCGCAAAAGGAAAAAAGTTTTAAATGAAAAAAATAAAAAATAAAAAAAGACAACCTTGAAGAAGACGAAGATACCAGAGATACCACCGTTTTGTTTATATTAGGACAAGATAAAGACCTAGGGCGACTTCTGTGTATCTTTTTTTTTACAAAACGCTGAGGCAATTCCCCCCCCAGAAGCGTGCGATTCTACGAACACTCGATATAGGAAGCTTCGAATCGGCTGTGCAAACTACAATATGAAGGCAGCGCCGTTGAGCAAAGAGACAGTCTCGGACAGCTCGAGTTCTTTAGAAAGCGAGGAGGAATCGACGTCTTCAGAGGAGCTGGAGCAACAGCAGAAGAAAAGCAAGGAACCCGTTGAATCAACGGGGGAATCGACAGAGGAAACAAGCGATTCCGGCTCGGAAGATGAATCCTCTGAAGAACAGACACCACCGCCGCCACCATCTACCAAGAAGAGAGTAACAATACAAGAAGAGTACGCAATTGGCCTGCATGAAAGCTCCATACATTGACATTCTCCCTTAGCTAACGCCTTACCATATAGAAATACGGTCAACCCGGTACCAACAAAAGCATACAAGCCTCCGCCGGGCTTCCAGTTCATGCAGAAATCATCGACCCAGCCTAGCGACATATCACAATTACTATCTAACCTCGACGGCAAGCAACTATGGCATATAACCGCCCCCATTGGCATCCCGGTGTCGTCGATAGAGAGCCTTGCCATGGATGCGATCACAAGCGGAGAGCCAGTCCTAACACACAAGGGAACAGCCTACAAACTACAAGAAAACCAACTGGGGGGTTCTGAGAAGCAGAAATCACTACTTGTGCCAGACAAAAACGGCAATGTGTACCGTCGACACAAGCTCCCGGTGTCCCGAACATACCATCTAGAGCAGGTCGTCAAGATTCCGCAGGGAGATAGTTTTCATGCCAATGGATCGGTCGACATATCGGCCTTGACGAAGAAACCGCCAAAGCAGCCTCAACATTTACAGATGCGCTACAAACCATTTGGTTCGGCAGACCAGCTTCCAGAAACAATCGGATGGAGTGACGAGGAGCCAGAGCCAGAGGCCAAGCAGTTCAAAATGCCCAAGGGAGCCGACATAGATCGCAAGGAGAAGCATAAGAAGCGGAAACAGGACGCCGTGCTTGTGCCGGACGAGGAAGAGGAAGAAGAAGACTCAAATACGAAGAAGAGCCTACCGATCCGAGAAGATGGCGAGAAAAAGAAGCAGAAGAAAGCAAAGAAAAGCAAAGAAGACAGCCCCGAAGTGCAGAAGAAGAGCAGCAAGAAACACAGAGACGAGACTGAGGAAGAGAGAAGAGCCCGCAAGGAAGAGAGGAAGAAGAAAAAACAGTCGGGATAAATCAAATGAGCCTGTAAAAAATTATAATGTAGATATAGAGGGATACCAAAGCCATGCCATGCTCCATTTCTCCGGTCCCCCAGATCTCCGACTTTTCCATAACTAGCCTCTCCTGTCTATCTTCCGCCGCTTATCAGCCCAACAACGGCTATACTCGCGAAGGGCGCAAAATAATATTCAATTATCAATTTCTAGCCCTTGCAAGCTCCGACTCCGGCGAATTTATCCATCGAACGGCCAGCGCAGGAAGAAGAAACGAAAAAAAAATAACTTAAGAGCGACCAACCAAAAACCCCACCGAACTTTTTAGTCCCGCAGAAAAAAAGAGGAAGAGAAAAAAACCAACCGCCGAAATTTCGCTTCTTTCTCTTCATCAACAAACAAATTCCCAAAGGATACAGAGCAGCTTGTTGCCTTGCCTTCTTGCTATCAAGGAATTGACCCAGAGATCTACGCTGCTGAAGACTCGTCGCCATGTCTACCTACGCTCTGTCCCAGGCTCATCGCGAGGTAAGTCGGAGCTGAGCTACCCCTCCACCAAAACGGCTGCGAACTGCGATTCTAACGACTGTCGAACAGCAAATGGAGAAGTCCCTCGTTGACTCTGATCCCGAGATCGCTGAGATCATGGTATGTCTGCTTATTCTTTATCTGCTGCCTCTGGGGATCTGTGGTTGCTGCTGGCTGGGCGAGTTACAGTAAGGGCGGCTGCTGACAGAGAGACACTACAGGAGAAAGAGATCAAGCGCCAAAGGGAGTCCATCCTGCTCATTGCCTCTGAGAATGTGACCTCACGAGCTGTCTTTGACGCTCTGGGCTCCCCCATGTCGAACAAGTACTCCGAGGGATACCCCGGAGCCCGCTACTACGGCGGCAACCAGCATATCGACGAGCTCGAGCTGACCTGCCAGCGAAGAGCCCTCAAGGCTTTCAACCTCGACCCTGAGAAATGGGGCGTCAATGTCCAGTGCCTTAGTGGAAGCCCTGCCAACTTGCAGGTCTACCAGGCTTTGATGAGACCCCATGACAGACTTATGGGCTTGGACTTGCCCCACGGTGGCCATCTGAGTCACGGTTACCAGACTCCCGCTAAGAAGTACGTGATACAGATATCCAATCAAGTTGACAAGTCGACAAAGCTCAGTTGCTAACCATCTGGTGAAATGGCAGGATCTCTGCTGTCTCTACCTACTTTGAGACCTTCCCGTACCAGGTCAACCTTGAGACTGGTATCATTGACTATGACCTCCTCGAGTCCAATGCTAAGCTCTACAGACCAAAGTGTCTTGTTGCTGGTACCTCTGCCTACTGCCGCCTCATCGACTACGCTAGAATGAGAAAGATTGCCGATGCTGTCGGTGCTTATCTCATTGTCGACATGGCCCACATCTCCGGTCTCATTGCTGCTGGTGTTATTCCATCTCCATTTGAGCACGCTGATGTTGTCACTACTACGACCCACAAGTCTCTCCGTGGACCTCGTGGAGCCATGATCTTCTTCCGCAAGGGAGTCAGAAGCACTGACAAGTCCGGAAAGGAGATCATGTACGACCTCGAGAACCCAATCAACTTCTCCGTCTTCCCCGGCCACCAAGGTGGTCCTCACAACCACACCATCACTGCTTTGGCCGTTGCCCTCAAGCAGGTTGATACCCCCGAGTTCAAGCAGTACCAGGAACTAGTCCTGAAGAACGCCAAGGCCGTCGAGGAGGAGCTCAAGAAGCTCGGCCACACTCTCGTCGCCAATGGAACCGACAGCCACATGGTCCTCCTCGACCTGCGGCCCAGAGGTCTTGACGGTGCTCGTGTCGAGGCTGTCCTCGAGCAGATCAACATCACCTGCAACAAGAACTCCATCCCCGGAGACAAGTCTGCCTTGACCCCCTGTGGTCTCAGAATCGGTGCTCCAGCCATGACTTCTCGTGGTATGGGCGAGGAAGACTTCAAGCGCATCACCCGCTACATCGACACCGCCATCAACATCTGCAAGGATGTCCAGAGCAAGTTGCCCAAGGAGGCCAACAAGCTCAAGGACTTCAAGGCCAAGGTTGCCGATGACTCGGTCAAGGAGATCGTTGAGCTCAGAAAGGAAATTGCCGAATGGGCCAGCACTTTCCCTCTCCCAGTCTAAATCGACTTATATACCTTACCCTCTCTGACCTTTTCCCCTCCTTTATTCCCCTTTCCTTGATCTCATGAGCCGGTGCATTGCTTCGAACGGAAACAGAAAGAAAAAAAAGTGGGTAAAAAAAAAGCGATGAATTTTCAACCTTTATATGCAAACACGATTTTTTTTGGGAGCGATGGCCGGTCAAAATATGTGTTATGGATCTTCAACAAGCAATCCATGGTGTTTTCGGTGGGATGATATCAACTTTCTGCTTAGTTCATGCTGGTTTTCCTTTCATTCTTGTTTATATATTTGTACATTCAACTATCTCGATGGCAACCGTGTCTCATCACCGGCTGTCCTGGTCTGAAGCTCTAGCTCGCCTATAATGCATGACTTTTTGACCACCAATCACCCCAAAGTTGACTATCTGGTAAAATTGAAAAGGGAAAGAAAAGAAATTGGTATCATGACACCGCTCATTTATCGTACAGTCCGCCATCTTTAAAACGCGAAATAAAAGCATGCCAGTCATAATCCGCCCGCAAGCTTCTCACTTCTCCCTCTGAAATCATCCAAGACACCTCTAAGCCTCCCAATCCTTTTCTCCAACATCACTATCTCCTCTTCCTGCTCGGCAATCGTCCGCTCAATATCAGGCATCTCCTCAACTGCATTTCTCGCCTTTTGAATGCGTATCTTCACCGCACTGGCTCCTGTAAGCAATGATTTTGGATCTAGTCCATCCAACGACGCGATCCCGCCGCCGGGCGTCTGCTCCGTAGATTGAGACAGGCCCGGCTCCCCCGGCTGGCCGGTAGCGAAGCTGGATGACTGGTTTGAGAGGAGACGTGCCAGCAGGGCGTGGAGGGGCGGGAGAATATCAAATGTTTGTGGAGGAGGAAACGGAGGCGCGACTGTTGGATCGGAGGAGCTTATTATTGCTTCGTCTTGCTGTGATTGTGACTGTCCCTGTGGCTGTTGGATGGACGGAGTGTTTGGATGCGTGGAGGAGACGCCGGGGGTCTTTCGCGACGGGGTTGCGCGTGACGGCGACGGCTGGACGGACATTATATTATTATCGTTAATATTATGATATTATGCAGTGTTGTCTCTCCTTGTTTATTCCGGGGAGAATGCAAGGGTGCTTGCTCTGATATCTCTGTCCAACGGGCCCCGGCTTGTTGAGAGTATTGCGGGAATTTGAAGAGATAATGACGTCGTTGCGGTTGGGATTTTTTTTTCTTCTTCTGGATTTGCGCGGAAGAAGAAACGATGTTCCGGAACGCAGCGAAAAGCCCCTCCTCCATCACTCTCGCCGTCCCCCGCCATTGAGGACTCGCTCTGGAGATTCTTGCACCTCTCGCACTGGTAACAGGCTGACAGATTTGGCTGATCGATCTACCGTCACTCAATTGTGTCTGTTCACTTCTATTAACCATGGCGAAGGTTGAAAACAAGGCGGTGTTGAGTACGTTGAATATCTACTCCGTTTGTTGATTCTCAGAGGGACGGACGCTCTATAGATGAGCACTTCTAGATGATACTATCTATTGGTAGAACTTATATACTGACTTAGTATCTAGTTGTTATCGATGGCTGGGGCATTCCAGGTCCCGATTCCCCTAAGGACGGTGATGCCATTGCCGCTGCTGAGACCCCAGTGATGTCCGGTTTCGCTCAGGAGGGATCCAAGACCGCCCAGGGATACACCGAGATTGATGCCTCTTCCACGGCCGTTGGACTTCCAGAGGGCCTCATGGGCAACAGTGAAGTCGGCCATTTGAACATCGGTGCCGGACGAGTGGTGTGGCAGGACGTTGTCCGCATTGACCAGACCTTGAAGAAGGGTCAGTTAGGCAAGGTCGAGAACATCGTCAAGTCGTTCGAGAATGCAAAGAATGGAAACGGGAGACTTCATCTGCTTGGGCTTATCTCTGATGGTGGAGTGCATTCTCACATTAACCATTTGTTTGGTTTGCTTCAGGTAGCAAAGGAGATGGGCGTGCCAAAGGTTTTCATCCACTTCTTCGGCGATGGAAGAGACACAGACCCAAAGAGTGCAGCTGGATACATGGAACAACTGCTGCAGAAGACCCAAGAGCTAGGTGTAGGTGAACTAGCTACCGTCGTTGGCCGATACTATGCCATGGATCGTGATAAGCGATGGGACCGCATCGAGATCGCCATGAAGGGTATTGTCACTGGGGAGGGTGAGGAGAGTCATGACGCTGTCAAGACGATCAAGGAGAGGTACGAAAAGGGTGAAAACGACGAGTTCTTAAAGCCAATCATCTTCGGTGGCCAGGAACGCAGAGTCCAAGGTAAGCAACCCCTGCCAACACTCCGCAAGCTTCTTGAGGTTCAACCAGGTCGCTGATTGTGATAAACGTAGACAATGATACCCTCTTCTTCTTCAACTACCGCTCAGACCGTGTCAGAGAAATCACACAGCTCCTAGGAGATGTGGATCGGTCTCCAAAGCCAGACTTCCCTTACCCAAAAAACATCTCCATCACCACCATGACCAGATACAAGACCGACTATACCTTCCCAATTGCTTTTGCCCCCCAACACATGGGTAACGTCCTTGCCGAGTGGTTGAGCAAGAAGCAGCTTAAGCAGTGCCACATTGCTGAGACTGAGAAGTATGCCCACGTCACCTTCTTCTTCAACGGAGGTGTTGAGAAGCAATTCGAAGGCGAAGACAGAGAGATGATTCCCTCTCCCAAGGTTGCAACCTATGATCTCGACCCTAAGATGAGCGCAAAGCCAGTTGGAGAGAAGCTTGCGGAAAGAATCGCCGACGGCAAGTATGAGTTCTTGATGAACAACTTTGCTCCACCGGACATGGTTGGCCATACCGGTGTCTATGAAGCCGCTATTCAGGGTGTGGCTGCCACTGATGCTGCTATCGGATGCGTCTATGAAGCCTGCAAGAAGCATGGATACATCCTATTTGTCACTGCTGACCACGGGTGAGTGTTTTTTCAAGTGTAGGAGCCTGTGCACTGTGGTTATCGTCAAACTAATATTTCCTTCTAGAAACGCCGAGGAAATGAAGAACGCAGACGGAACTCCCAAGACTTCTCATACCACTAACTTCGTTCCATTCGTCATGGCAAACGCTCCTGAAGGTTGGAGTTTGAAGAAGTCAGGGGGCGTTCTCGGTGATGTTGCTCCCACAGTTCTTGCGGCCATGGGTATTGAGCAGCCAGAGGAAATGGATGGCACTAGCTTGCTTGTCAAGGCATAAATGGATAGATAGTAAATACCTATCTCTAGAATTAGAGTGTGTAAAATGGAGGTCGTTTGGATAAGGTTGTAAATATAGGAAGAACATGTTGATGCATTCATAGAATGATGTCCTAGAGTGCGTAGGATTCAAGTTCGTGTGTTCTAAAGAGAGAAGAGAAATATTAATTATGTTTTTGATTGTATGATTTTTGTGCTCAATAGTTAATGATTAACTCGGTAGCGCCAGATCTGACTAGCAAGAGCAGGGGTAGTCGCCGCGTTCAATGACGGTTTCCGTCTAGCTAGTGCTTGACTATGGGTATATTGACAGCCCTGGCTTATTTCCTATTCCTGATAGAGAGACATGGAGAAACTCTCATGGGTAGGACTCGGTATTCATCTCCTGGTTGCCTGAGTAGTTCGGCGGTAGGTAATTGGAATAATCATCGTTACTCTCAAAGTATCAAATGCATAACTGTGATTGTTCTCAGGCAGCTACAGGAGCTCCACCAGGCTGTGGTTGCTGCAATTGCGACTGTAGCTGAATGATCTATTTTATAGAGATGAGCCATGGTTTCAGGAAAGCTCGAGAAAAGAAATACGAGCAACATACCTCTCCCCTCTTATTATCACTCTTCTCCTGTATCTCGGTGATCTGCTTCTCGATTCGTTTGCTGTCGATAGAATAATCAGTATCGCAGTCCAGGATAGCCACACCTGCTTGGTAAAACAGCTTCACTGTACATTTCCTTCTCTATAAAATCGAGACGGCCTTCGACAGCCATGACAGCCTCTGTCTTGTCCTGCTTCAAAAGCACTGGTCCAACGAGTTTATATATGTTCGCATCATCGTCGAGCGTTTTGAACTCCTAGCCAGCGTCCAATCATCAGCAATGGCATCTTTCCCACTCCTACAGCATAACGTCTCACCTTCTGCACACTCGTATTCTCCTGCTGCTGGGCTTCAAGTTTTTCTCGAGCTGCGATAGCTTCTTCGAGCTCTGTAAATATCGAGGGGCAGATGTTAGCGGGGGGTGTCTTTAATTAACCATCCAGCTTGGGGGTTGGAGATAGTCGCAGGAGGCTGACCGGTCTGAAGCTTCTGATACTCTTCACTGAGAGCCTGAAGCTGCTTCTGGGCGTCTGCCATGTTTGAAATCGGTCTTCTTCAGCGTTGGAAGGGATTGCAATTGTTTGAATGTGCCTGCTGCGTCGTTGTCGCCCCGTTGGCCGTTTTTCTTATCTAATCGCAGATCTGAGTCGCTCGCCCAGCAACCCAAAAAGAAAAAGGCTTAAAAGTCGAAGCTGGGGTCAGTCCAAACAACAACGGAGGCAACATCGATATTTTGCGGATTTTAGGCTGCCACTTTTCACCTACAGACGAACAGACGATCGTTTCTTATTGCAGAGATCAACGATATGCATACTACCCCAGAGATACTCTAAAAAAATCCCCCCGTTTCCCTGTCAAAGCCCTATTCGAAAGTACCACCATTTGGACCCAACACCAAACGCCTATCGCCCCCCCTCATTCAAGGCTGTTTTGATAGCGTTGCCAACGGACTGAGCAGTGCTGCGATCTTTTCTTTGGTTCTTTTTGTCAGACTACACATCTAGAAGAGTGGACACCATGAGTAACACCGATTTCCTCGGCCGGGCGATCGACACCGTGAAGAGCGCGATTGAACTTGATAATGCGGGCGACTATGAGAAAGCATACCAGACATACTACTCGGCTCTCGAGCTGTTCATGCTCGCTCTAAAATGGGAGAAAAACCCCAAGTCGAAGGAGATGATCCGGGCAAAGACCGGAGAATACATGGAGAGGGCAGAGAAATTAAAGAACCACCTTGCGGGACTGGATAATCGGAAGAAACCCAGTGCAGTTGGGGCAAATGGGAAGATTGCACATGGCAGCGGGAAAGGAGGGTGAGTTTGGATTCCGTATCTTCTGTATCAGCTTAAAATTGTCCTCTAACGTGGATTTCTCTATTTCCAGCAAAGGTGACGATGACGATGAGGACGCCGAGTCGAAAAAGCTCCGTGGAGCTTTGGCAGGGGCTATATTAACGGACAAGCCCAACGTAAGGTGGGAAGACGTTGCTGGTCTGCAAGGCGCAAAAGAAGCTCTCCAAGAAGCCGTCATACTACCTATCAAATTCCCGTCACTCTTTACAGGGAACCGCCAACCCTGGAAGGGCATTCTGCTTTATGGACCGCCTGGGACAGGTAAATCCTATCTGGCCAAAGCAGTGGCCACAGAGGCAAAGAGCACATTTTTCAGTGTGAGCAGTAGTGACCTTGTCTCGAAGTGGATGGGAGAGAGTGAGAGGTTAGTTCCCAGGCATGATCTCGGATATGATACAATGGACACTCACTAATATATAATTATAATTAGGCTTGTTAAGCAACTCTTCAATATGGCTCGAGAAAATAAACCTGCCATCGTTTTCATTGACGAGATAGACGCCCTTTGTGGCACCCGTGGTGAAGGAGAACCAGATGCGTCACGCCGTATCAAAACCGAGCTTCTCGTCCAAATGGACGGTGTTGGCAAGGATTCAAGCGGAGTGTTGATCCTTGGAGCGACGAATATTCCCTGGCAGCTAGACTCGGCAATTCGACGACGTTTCCAGCGAAGAGTCTATATAAGTCTGCCAGATATGGCTGCACGGATGAAAATGTTCAAAATAAGTATAGGCAGTACACCGTGCGAGTTGACGGTTCCTGATTACCGAACTCTCGCGGAACTAACCGAAGGCTACTCGGGAAGTGATATAAACATTGCGGTTCAGGACGCGCTCATGCAACCTGTCCGCAAGATCCAATCCGCC